TTTTTCCAATTCCCGCGCTCCCCGAACAAAAACCCACCCTCGACGAAAGCGCGTCAACATGGCTGGCGCGATTTGAATGCAGCTCGGATGGCGACCACCCCCTTATGACTAATTATTGTCCGAGGGTGCAGACTTTCAACCCACCCCTATACCTGATGAGCTTCTCTCAAAGCTCCATTTTTTTTAATCCGCGCGCGCCCCGCTCAAACGCGGATTGTTTTCGTTCGAATCGGTATACACAGAGGCCATCTTGGAAGGCTCTAATAGGAAAAAAAAAGAACCAACAACTACCCTAATTGGCTCGTTAATTAATAGAGTATTCGATACGCCGCTATAATATCGTAATTTACGGTTCCGTATTATAAGAATTTATTATTTATTGTTGTGATGTTCGGAGCATATGGGGGGGTTGAGGGTGGGGTAAATGGGGCACGAAACGAATTCCGAACAAAACCGCCGAGGAATTCGCCTACGAGATTTTGACAGTCGCTTTTTTGCCCATCAATATCAGACTGGATGTTGATGTATGGCGGGGGCGGCGGAGCGCTCACCTCGCGAAAAGCTGAGTGGGTATATTTTTCTCGCGGAAAAGGGATGCAAATAAACGGGCGCGGGGTGGAGGCCGGTTTCGTCGGTAGACCAGTGAAAAATCGCTCCGAATGTCCCGGCGGACATTGAAATATTACGACTTTTACAATGACATATCATCGAGGCCGTTTGTATATGAGAGATTTTTGATAGATGAACTGCGGGTGGTTGTATTCGGCCTAGATTTTTGATGTTTTACATGGAAACGGTTGATTAATAGCCCGAACGAATCGCGTTCTCGCGGACCCGGGGAAAAATAAAATCCACGGTAATTGATGTGTTGGAACAATAAGGTCGAGTTCATCCCGGCGTTCGGTCTTCGTTCGCGAAATGTTTGCTTAGGGTGAAAGGACTAAAGGACTAGAGGACACAAGGAAGGGAATGAATAATGCCGAATGGGATGATTAGTTTAATGTTCAGACCTAAGTCCGACCTAACTCTCCATCGCTCTTCTACTAATATTGATTTAAATTTTACTTATTGTTTCCTTGGGCCCGAGCATTATATTCCCTAAGTTTGGCATCGGTATATATTTACCTGAAACCATTGGTGGAGATACCCAAATCATAACTAATTCATACTTCATTGTAATATAATTATTCTCATATTTTTAAGTAAGGTAGACTGGGGCAAATGTAAAAATTGGGTAAATGTAATATTTTTACCTATTATGTTAATGTTTTTTATTATTTTTATAGTTCTTTTGTGCATTAGACAGGGTTTGTTTCTTATTTTTTCTTTATTATTTTGTAGCCCTGTTATTTTTTGAAATAAATAATTAAACAGCATATCAAATTTTAGAGGAACCAAATATTTTTTTACAATTGCCCCATATGTTTTTCTATATAATTGTATTTCACTTTAGAACCGTTTGTTACATTGTGTTGTGAATTTAATGTGGTATCAGCATTTCTAATAAGAGAAAAAATAAAGCCACATTTTAGGATTTAATTTGAACAATTCAAATTTTACAACCGATTTGCCCCAGTCTACCTTACTCAAAAAAACCCTATTATACTTCCACGTCTTCAAATTGAAACTAAGTCTAATAGAATTAGTTCCAAACCATTTCGAATTAGGATTAATTGTACTCAAATTGAGGCTCTATACTCTCGATTTGATTTGTCTACAATAGCTACATTTAATCGATTAACTTTTTAAACAACAAATAATTAATCCAACTACGACTATGTTTTGAACATATCCAAAATAATTATTGACTCACGCTTTGGGGGGTAGGTACCCGAAACAGTATCATAAAACTTTCTACATCGCCTAATTGGGGCAATCATCGGATTCGACTTACCCCGGTTAGCACTTCACACATCGCACGTTTCGATCAAGATATGCCCGTTGGAACCGCCAAAAGGCGACTGAAGAGCAATTTTCGATTCGTGAAAGAAAGCCGGTGTGTCGGAAAAAATCTACCTGCAGAACCCTTTCTGCTGCTTCCTTCCGGTACCGACGCATTAATTCGAAAAGGGTTAGTTTTTATTTTAACACAATAAAAAAGTCCAAGGGCGCACAAAAGGAATTTATACCTGTACACATATGGCATACATTATGCGGCTTTTGTCGCAGCTAACCGTGGGTATGCACAGTTAGTTGGCAACATATTTATATTTCCGTTATTTAATTTTTTTCCCAACCCCGAGGGGTGTTCGCTTTGAATGTGCGATATTTCGAAGTGCGATGGAAGGAAAACCGACCGATTCCCGGCGTATAAATTTCTTATTAAATTGGTACAGAAGGGCATATTTGGGCGTCCAATAGTAATAACCGACGGCGGTCAAAAAGAAATATATCGAATTTAAAGAGACGTGCCCGAAATGGTTTTATGCATGATGCTTCCTCGCGGGGGATGGAAAAGAGAGGAGCTTTAAACGAGATCGAGCTTATAGAGACCCGTTCGATTTCGAATTTATGGCTTTTCCGAGCCTCCTCACCACGGGTTGGGTTTCTATTAAAAATACAGGACTTATTAACTCTAAGTAATAGGCTTAAATCCAATCTAACACTGTGTCAATGTTCTGTTACTATTAACGTATTATCTTCTTTTTACTTAACATAAATAATGATAAAACTGGATATTATTTTTTTGGGGCAACACATACATTATTTCCAATTCTCGTTAAATCCCCGGCGTTTTTTTTTTTAAATCAATCCGCCTCGACATTGTTCTTCCTTTCCTTCCTTCTGCACGCACTCGTTTTTTTTTATCTGTAACAGCCTTATATTTTTCCATAAATTATTAACGAATTTAATGGATTTTCTTTAATGCGAAAGATTCACAAGGTAGAGTTGATCTTCGGGGACATTAGTAGCGGTTTGGATATGGGGGGAAAGGAAAATCCAGCGCCGGATTCAGTTCGCGTTACGAAATTATGATGATAATTAAAAATTTATTTGACCCGTAGAAATGTAAGGTGCTTGTTAATGGATTTAAAAGTTTGTCAAACGAGGATTAAAAATGTTAGTAGAATGCGAGTAGAAAGAAAATTAATTAAAGTAGGGAGAACGTTAGTAAACTGAAAAGAAGGAGAATCAAACTAGGAAGAAAATTATACAAACTAGAGAGAACATTAAGTAAATTGAAAAGAATTAAACTAGAAAGAAAATTAATTAAACTAGGGAGAAAATTGTTCAAACTGCAAAGAGAATGAATCAAACTAGGGAGACAATTATGAATTGTTCAAACTAGGAAGAAAATTATACAAACTAGAGAGAACATTAAGTAAATTGAAAAGAATAATTAAACTAGGAAGAACATTATATAAACTGGAGAGAACATTAGGTAAATTGAAAAGAATTAAACTAGGAAGAAAATTAATTAAACTAGGGAGAAAATTGTTCAAACTACAAAGAGAATGAATCAAACTAGGGAGACAATTATGAATTGTTCAAACTAGGAAGAAAATTATTCAAACTAGAGAGAAAATTCTACAAACTAGAAAGTCCACATCTTGGTTAATCTTGGAGGTTTGTAACGAAAAATAGTAGTGAAAGACAGGAAATTCGAGGAAGGCGGATTGGTGCAGGTCCGTTCCTGCGAGCGAAGTACTAGCGACGACCCTCTGTTATCAGCGAGCGGCCAGCCTTTGGAGGTATTACCATACCGACCCGGGAATAGCCGATATTTCGCTCTAATGGCTGGTCCTTCTCTTCTTTATGTGCATCAATGAAACGGGAGAGACGGAAAGACGCCGTCCCGAGGGCGAAAGAAAAAAAAAATCAATTTCACGACGGTGCACGGCAAAAAAAAATATATAATCCTCCTGTTAGTTACTCAGAGGCACCTGTTAAGCGCCATCGATAATCGCGTGTAATTGAGACCGATTTTAACCCCAAAAACGGCGTGTTTCGACACGGGATGTCTATTGTGACGTTCGGCGTTTGTTGAAAAAACACCATTCCGGGGCAAAATCGACGGGCGGAGTGTTTACCTAAAATATAAAAAAAAGGGTCCCTTCGGCTCGGATTTTGGGGTAGATAATAGATATCACTCGACATAATAACACCGCAATCGAACTCCATTAGCTATTTATTTATTTATTAATATCTCGCGAGGTTTTACACCGGTAAAATTTTAGAGTTTGCATTAGATAGAAAAAAAATAGAGAGGAATCGATACACTAGAGGGGTTCAATTTAATTCCTCGTCGCGAACATCTGCGCGAAACGGCATGCTAATACAAAAATGCTACCCCATATGCAGAATATTATAATGTGCCGAAAATTATGCAGCGGTCCCCCGGTTAAAAAACCGCCTACCTGGAAAAGGTTAGATCGACCCTCGTACTCACCCAAAAAAATAAAAAAGGATTAAGTGTCCCGTCTCATCGGATCCGATAAACTAGTAACGACTCTTCAATCTAGTGCTTTCGAAAGTTTATCTTGATGACTGGAGTTTTTTATTTGAATATTCGTCTAATTGAGGTCGGGACGCGAGAGGGTTGCGAGCATATGCTGATGGGTTTCCTACCCTTAAAATGTGTGTCACAAAAATTCTATTCTTCATTTCGCTTTTAAATTAATTCATCTGATGACATCACGACTAGATAAACGTGAGTATATGTACTATAGGTGATATTTTTTTCTAATTAGGGCCTTTAGCGTTTTTAGGATATGGAGCAGTCGGGCTCCCTTTATCGATAACTTTCCTAATTCAATTTCGCGACGGGAAAATCCGAACGCAAAAAGTATCAAGCCAGTATTATCGGTGTCCTTTGAGAGAATATGAATCCATCCGAAGGAAGATGATGTATAATATCGGGGCGCGGGATTAGACCTTCTAACCCATCTCCGAACCAATCTGCTCGGGCTTCTGATGCGAATATACGATTTTTCGGAACATCGAAATATACGAGGTCGAATCGAAATAAATTCGCACGAATTCGCTTGTATATTGTATAGTAAAAAAAATTACTTATCGAAGTTGAGCAACTTTAGCTCCTTGGTGTCTATAGAGGGTTTACCGTACCTCCTGCCGACCTCGTCGAGAAAAGCCTCCTGCATCTGCCAGACGATGCTGTCGAAGAACAAACCTGCCAAGCGCGAGTAGAAAACCGACTTGAAACTGAACTTGATCGAATAGTCGACGATGCAGGACTGCGGGTTGCTCTTCAAGCCGCGGTTGATGCACCAGCAGGACTCCAGGTAGTCGAACAGCCGCCCGTCGCAGGAGATGGCCTGCACCAGGTGCGGCTCGCTCAGGAACACCGTGGAGGTGTAGTTGTCCGATACCGGCGGGAAACCGATTTCCAAATTCGCCACGATTTTCCCCGGCGGTTGGGCCAGCACGGTGGATTTCTTGCAAAACGGCAGGAATTTATCGTAGTGTTTCACGTCGGCCACCACCGAGTAGAGCTCCTCGCAGGAATACCCCAGCAGTTTCTTCGTCGAGAATTCCTTGTTTCTCTTCTTCGGCTCGAACAGCTTGAAAATGCCATTTTTTACGCGAGACATTCCATTTGATTCGCTCAACTGTCGCTACTGTCAGGCGTTTTATAGACGAATTGTATACTAAAAAACAACTCTAATTTTACGGAGGACTCGTTATTCTCACCCTATTCGCTCTTAATGACCGAAAATACCAATTTTTCCGTAAACTCGCCGCCCTTTCGAAGGGAGATGCACAAAAAAAATATAATAATGCGAAAAAATAATCGGATCTCCGTAGGGTTTTGCGGCCGTATGGAGTGTCTGGCGTTTACGGGAAGAGAATATTAGAGCGCGCCGGGGGGGTTGGAATTGGAAAGAGTCAAAGCGAAAAATGAAAAGGGTTAGCCGGATCCCGAAAAAAAAAAGGGCCGCTTGAATTTACCTATAAACCTTTCTCGTGCAGATGTCATGTGTTGCACCGAATTTTCCAACAATTACCGGTGCGTGTTGTCGAAGAGCCGCTCGGGGTTTAGTCGGTTGAAGGTTGTTCGAGGATTCGGGGCCGAGTGTGGTTGGAATTTGAAATGTCGAGTTGAAAAATTGGTTAATTTATGAATTAACTACAGGTAAAGTTTGTGTAATTTATGAGTAACTTTATTGTGATGAAATTTGTTAGTTTTGTTGAGATGGAAGGTTTGTAGTTTATGTGCGAATTGGCGGTTTATAAAGCGATAATTTAGGCAGTTTTTTTAGTACAAAATGATTAAAAATTTTAGAAATATTTAGAAATCTAGTGTCTTGTGTAATTAATATTCATATCCTCTTATTCGGCAAGCTTAATTTTTGACAATTTAGTTTCATAAAAAACTATACTTGCTTCATTTTCTTCAACCTAAATTCTTTCTTTATATGAACCAAATCGTAGTTAAATAGAATTATTTAGTTATCAGCATAATCATCATTCGCAACTATTATTTCATTAATATTCTCTTTAGCAAGCTTAAATTCTGTTAAATTTAGACTCTAATTCCATCTAAATTCTTTCTTCGCGGACCAAATCCCAATCACAGCGGAATTATTTAGACATCCAAGCATACTGCACCATTAATATTCTCGTCTTCTACAGCAGGTTTAAATTTTGCCATATATATTCCATTCGAGGAAATTGGCGTAGTAAAACGAATATGTCGAGGGAGCGGAATCGCCGGGGACGAAAAAAACCAAACGGTTTCCTCTCAGTTGACCAGGGAGTGGCTATTTCGCGACGACCCTCCCCCATCCACCGCCGGACCTTATTATTCCACCCCATTCTCAATCCACATATGACTAAGCGATCGAAAGCGCCTTTTATAGGGGAGAAGATGGTGGAATCACAGTCAATTTATTTGTTTTACATAATTCTACAGAAACCTTCGAGACCAGTTACGCATACATACATCATCTTTAGTAGTAACTTGGAGCCGTAGAATCGACTATACAATCGCGAATTTTATTTTCAAAAGACAATAAATACACGAACTTCGGATGTGGAATAAAGAGATGTAATATACGCGTGCAGTCGCCGTCTATTTAAAGTTTTATTAGGAAGTCGTAATCTGAGGCGAACAGGCTCCGATCCTGCAGCCGCAGGATTAGGACTCCTCGTGTTCCATTGGTCCGGCCGGTGTTATTCTATCCCGATACACGGGAAGCCGGCCTAACTAACTGACAAGCATTTTTACAACTTCGCATTAGAACAAGCCCAAAAGGCGTTATACAGGGCGTTTTATTTATATATGTGCAATATACCGATTGCTTCGATTCAGACCGAAACATGGTCGTTTCTATGAGTTCTATGAGTTCTATGAGTTCTTTCTAACAAAATGACAGTTGTCAGAGTGAGAAGTTGCAATGACAGAAATGTCACGTGTCAATGAAAGTTGTCTTTATCGCACCTAATAGCCTAAATTGCGATATGAAATGAAGCGCAGTGTATATAGAACGGAGTATAGATGTAGTTTGTTTATGGTGTAGGGAAGTAAATCTGTTCGAATTGGGTATAGCTGTCATATTTGTGCATATTTACGCAGAGGGCCGGCGTAATCCTCTCTCTCTTTCTCTCGCTCCCTCGCCCGACGTCGAGGCATCGCGACGCGCGGTATTGTGGCGTCAGAAGCTATCGTTCGTCTCGGAGGGCCTCTCTCCTGATTTAAATAAGCCCGGACCGGGGACGGCGGGACGGCGGCGGTTTCGGGTTTTTGTCGCCCAGGCGAACTTTATATGTCACTGTCGCTTACACGGCCCGCCTAACTCGACTCGATGTGTATATTTCCAGGGCGAAATCCTTAAAAATCGCGGGCATTCGTCGCGTTGAAAAATAACGCCAATCAAACGCGGATCGCGAATGTATTTACTTTCCCCCCCCCCCCCCCCCCCGGCTTGGGCTAGCTTCGAATATTTTCATTTTTTTTTTAGTAAATCGCTATTCTGGAATCCTATTTCATATATTTGCATTACCGGGTGAATGTGAATGATCGCTGCTTTGTTTTTTTTTTTGAAAGGAAATTCTTGTTGTACTTTATATTAGAGAACACGTACCTTAAATATCTATCATAGTTTTGCACCAAAATTTGGTGATTATACAAGCATAAGTACATGATTTTGAATAGTTCTAAATGCAACATGGTCATTTCTATGAGTGGAACAAAGAAAGATTATTAAAATGACAGTTAAGAGTGAACAAGTGACAGGTCTGACAGGTCGGAGTGAAAAGTTGCAATGACACAAATGTCACTTTCCTTTTCCTTTGTAAGTGTCTAATGGAAGTTGTCTTTATCGCACCCATAACCTATGTTGCGATCAAAAATGGAGCAACCTGTATTATTCCATCTAGATCGAAAAATCTCGATTTGAATATTTTTTTGCCGTTCGTTTTGGACGCGTCCCGCCTGATCGTCTGTCCAGCGCTATTACGTTTTCCTGCGCGACGTCTGCTCTGCGATTCTCATTTGATAACACCGTGCAGAATTGAAATATGACACGTAATATTACGAGATAAGGCCGAGAATGTTTTTCGAGAAAGATTTCGGAGTGTCGTTTTATGGGAAATTGTTTCTGAAATAGCTCCGGAACGTCGCCGTTTATTCCTGCTTGGATTGTAAATTGTACCGGATAACGTCCTTCGATGCGGCCCGGATTATTTCAGTCGAGACGATATTTGTTTTGTATATGTATAAATAATGTTGTTTTAATTAAAAGATGTAATTTTGTGTGTATAGAACATGTGTGTATATAGGGAGAAAGGAAGTGGAAAGTTCCTTATATTCATGATTATGCGATCAAAGTCAAAACGAAATAAAAGGCGTATAAAAACCGACGTGCCCTATCATAAAACTCCGTACGTATTGTCACATTGGCTGTGTTCGGTAGAATATTGTCTATAATTTACCAAAACGAATCCCGTGATATATCCAATACGGTTTTACCCCTACAAAATGGGAATTTCTGTGTTTGACTAGCGCCGACACATCGCACCCCGGCCCGTTTTATTGCCTTGTAATCAACGATAAAACGGCTCGTGTGTTGTTTAATTTCGCTATAAAAAATTTACTAGTTTATTTCTAACCGGTATCCTATTATTTACTATCACAGGAATTTAATTAGGTGCATATAAGAGTGGTATTCGGAAGAATAGAAAAAAACGAACAAAAGTTTAATGTAACATCAAATGACAGATGACAGATCTAGTGTTAGGTTATTGTAATTTGTTTGTTTTAAGTTTCTCGGGCAAAAAATAAATACTTTTTTAGAATCCAATGAAGAATTTTCACAAAACGGTATGAAACAGGTTTTAAAATTACCTTCGGATGCGATAATTTAAAATTATATAAGTTGATTTAGTTGGAGGTTAGGTTTTGTTTTTACTAATTTGACAAGTTTAAAAAGTACACATTCGATGTTGCCACATTACCATTTTTACTAAACAATAATTTAGAATTTTAGATATTTACAGTAATTCGTAAATAAAGGCATATTATATTATTTAACAATTATAAATTCGCTCTATATTTATCGAATAAATCATAACTGTGTTAAGAAATACAAAAAATAAATTATAAATGGCAGAATAGCCCTGGCAGCTGAGGCAAAAAACTTAAGAAAAAGAAGAAGAAACGATTAGTAGCGCAGAAATGAATATTGTAGCGTTCGATATTAGGAAAGTTTTCGCCAATAGCAGGAATATGTTTATATGTATGTATTTCTTTGTGTGTAATTCGGAATCATCACGCCTCGCCCATTCCAATATGCCGTTATGTACCGATCAAAGCCGTAAAAGCGGATGCCAGATCATAGCCGACGTTGTTAGCATGCGAATCGTTGAATTTCTCGTATTTTTGATTTCTGAGATATAGCCGGGCGTCGGTAACCGACGCCCCCGACGGCCCTTCGGGCTCTTCCTGCTACTGTTTGACCTTCCGCCCGCGACGATCGTCGCCGCCATGAATTATGCAATACCTATTTCGGCGCCAAAATGTAATCATCAGTTTTCATATGGAGATGCGGATATGGGGGCTCAATTATTCAGGATACTGTTTTTATGGGTTTTGTCTTCTGTTGTACGTTTCGCGCGCGGGCCGGGAGAGCGCCGCTTGAATTATAACGAGTTTCTAACAACCGGAAAATTTTATTTATTCCCGCGTTTAAAAAAAACGCCTCCACTTTTTCTTTTGATATTTTTTTTTCCGGATAAAAGACGTAAAAAAAATCATCCGGACGCCGGAACGTGACGTGTGCCGGACGCCCGGCGTCCCGACGACGACGGGAACCGTCGTTCCGTTATATGGACGTTTCCCCGGCAATATCCATGACGTTTTTCAGATGGAAAATATTAAATTGAAACGTCGGGAAATGTACCTCGTGAAAGTGTGCATTTATTGAAATACAGTTGTATTTTTCGTTCTCCACGCTCCGACTCAATCGAAAATTCATCAAAATATTACGCATCGAAGAAACTTAAAAAATAGTTTAATATATACAACAAGGTGTTGTGGGCTTCTATATATTCCATGGGGGCGGTATATTCGCCGGTCCTGCGGGAATTCCCGCGGTCCGAGTCCGCTTTTTGTGCGGATAATGGCGTAGATGGCGCGGCCGGCGTATCTCGTTCCACTTAAGTACACAATAAATATCGGGGAATAGCCCCGACCCGAACATACATCAGCCGTCAGGCCGCTCCGGACCTCTTCCGTCTTCCTCTAATGCCCGAGCGACGGGCTCGTTTCCTCGGGAGCGTCGGGACGCCCCGCGCGACGCTGACCGACGCCGGGACGGCGTTACCGGGTTTTCCCGCCGGGCGGAGAAAGCTCCCCTTCGCGAAGCTCGCTCTCTAAGAAAATATATCCGGGGAATTTGTTTTTTGAGCCCCCGTCGCCCCCCCTGTTGGTACGACTTTGCTGACCCGAGACCGATCCGCGGGGCAATCACTGTTTCCGCTGTTTCGGCGGCGGAATGTTTTCCTTTTTTTTTTTTCCTCGATTCTGTTTTCTTGTTTCTTTTTCTCGGAGAGGAAAATAGACGGTCGTTTGTTGTAAAAAGTTTCGAGGAGGGAGGAGGACAAAAAAAAAGAAATTGCCCCGAATGGCCACATTATTACCTATCCCTTTCCGATCGATAAACATACTGTATGAATTCGGAATCGTTCCTGCATCAGCTTTATTACTTTACATATACATACTACATTCGAGTTAACAGTACTCATATTAAATTTGTTCAACTTCTAAATATATAGGACTGGTCGGTTTGAATCCGAAAGTATATTTAAACATTTCAACCGGCTTAGTCTTTGGACTCAACCTCAATTTGAACCTCCTTAGAGTCTCGACAAGTCCAATTTTTACTTGCATCAAACCGAAACGAGAACCTGCAAATAACCCCTGTAATTAATTAATCAATAATTAACACTAACGTTAATTGTACCGATGCAATTCTTAGGTCCTTGTCCGAACGGTAGATGCAAATAAGGATGGCGGAGTTTCTTCTGCTCCGGACCAAACCGCTCCGGATCGAATTTCTCAGGATCAGGATAATAAACAGGGTCTCTGTGTAAGCTTACGATGGGTATCAAAACAGTAACCCCTCTACCGATGGTGCTTTTCGTATTGTTCAGTTGGTACTCCTTCGCACACACTCTATCCAGGTTCAAAACCGGCGGGTACAACCTGAGAGTTTCTAAAAACTTGTACCATATTAAATATGTTAAAGGGAGATTGTAGAAGAGTTGTATTAACCGTCGATGCATTGCTGGAGGTACTTGAGCTCCCCTAGGCATTCGTAAGTTAATTCTCCTTTGGTTAGATCTTCGATTTCCTGCCTCACTTTAGCCTGGATCTCCGGGTTCCTGCTGAGTTCGTACAGGGCGAATGCCATCGTGGTGGCGGATGTATCGAACCCGGCGAAGAAGAACATAAAACATTGGGCCACCTATAAATCGGGATTAAAGAGGATTTTTTCATAGCATAAACTCACCAGTTCTTTCCATGTGAAAGGATCATCGGTATTCGCAGTGGTTTCCATCAACTCGTTGAGCAGCTGCAGCAAATCCGGCCTGTAAACGTCGTTTTTCTTTCGATAAACCAACGTTTTTTCTACCAATTGGAAAAAGTAATCGGACAGTTCTTTTCTAGTGCCGACGAGTCCTGCAATCGCACTGGAAAATTAACTTTACACCCTAAAAATAAGAAGAGTTTACCCACCTAATTTCACAGCCAATTCCGGCGCTTTACCGATGATAATAGAGCTTAGATACTGGAAAACGTTATCGCAAACCTGCAATCTCTTAATCTTTGTCAGAAACTCGGAATCGGGGTTTTGAAAACTGTTCAAATCCAAACCGAACGCCACACTGGATATCACATCAGCAGTATAATTCAACGAATACTAAAGATTATAATGTTAATTAATAATTCACCGTACTGTATTAATACATTTTACTTACATCTACAACGTTGATATCAACGCGGTTTCGTTCAGCTTCCATCAGCGCTTGTACAAGGTGATCGGTTAATTGAACTACCGTGGGAAACATCCCCTTCATTTTACCCGACGAAAAAGCGGGGGTTAATTTGGCCCTCAATGTCCTCCATTCGGCGCCGCCGATGGCGAAGAGATGGGCCGAAATGGGATCGTTTTTTTCGTTGTAGTAAACAGTCCTGCGGGGAAACGAGTCGAAGTCCTTCGCGAGCACGTCCTTGATCAGTTCGGGATCTCGCAGGACCAAAACGGGACGGTTGAGCAGGTACACCCCGCCGAATTTCCACCCTTTTTCTTTGATCAAGCCGTAATAGCGGGCGGTGTGGCCGTTGAAATGGACACCTTCGCTGTCCAAACTTTCGCAATTTCCGTATGGAAATTTCGGTTGTATAAACGGAACGTTTCTCCTTTTCCAATAAGTGTAACACGATGTAAAATAAACGTATGATGATGTTAATAATATGGTTAAAAGAGAAAACACGTCTAGCAAGAAGTATTCGAAATATACACCCATTTTTATTAAAATTACCACTGATTGCACTAAAAACAAAGATAAAGTATTTAATAACGCATTTATATAACAAAGTTAAGTAAATAATAGATATAAAAACGTTGATAAAAATATTCCAAATGCACTAATAAATTTAAAACGGGGTCACTTCAGTTGAACGGAATTCAAAACCGGATTCCACGAGACCTGCTCGCTCCCTTTTTGATCTTTGCACCTTCAGCACGCTCTACAAGCATCCCCTGTACCAAATTATCTCATTGTAATGCAACACAAACCCTAACCCAATCATCTAAATACTACAAGATAAGTCAAGGGTCAGTGGTTACAAAAAAATATATACATAACAGGATATCTAGTGGTCATTTTTAATCGACTCGTTGTGGGGTGGATTTTGCTATCGGAAATAGAATTACCGGTAACGCCGCGAAATGGGCGAGAAGTATAATAAAATAAAAAAACCGGAGAAAGGAAGAGGAAGGAATAAGTCGGTCGGGAGCGCACAATATGGACACGGGCGCTCCCGCAGGAATCGAAAACTCATTACAGTTCGTCTTTGACCCTCGCGACCAAGATGGCCCCAGAGACGGGATCAAACTGGAAGAAGGAGAAACCCGGAAACTCCTTTCTCGCCCCGCCGGAATACGAATTACTTTTTCGGCGAGTTACTCGTTTCATCCCGACCAGCACCGGCGGATTAATCGGCCGATAAAAACGGATAAAACCGCCGGTCCGATCGGCAGTCTCTGGAACTCGCATCGGATAGTTTTATGACCGTAACTTTCGCAATATTGGCAATATAGAGAATCCCCCGCCCCGCGGCCATTCTTCCAGCCCGGAGCCGAAGAAGTTTCTTGCGTTTTGTCGCGGACGGCGGGCCCCGAGGAGACCCCGGCTGATTTATGCGCCACGTCGGATGTATCCGATAAAACTTTCTCGACTTCAATTTCCAAGTTCGCCGGTCCGGGGGAATTTTTGCGGAATGAAACGCCAGTCGATTCGAACCAACGGTTTAATTGTAGATGTGGTTTTTAAATAAATATTTCTATAATATGCGGTGCATTACGATGGATATCAGGATGAATTGGATGGATATAACAGATGATAGGACTGCATTGGACGGTTTTGGAGTACTAGACGAGGGGTTTGGAGTACTAGGCGAGGGGTTTGGAGTAGTAGTCGTGGGGTTTGGAGTACTAGACGAGGGGTTTGGAGTACTGGATGATTTAGATGGATATCCTTGCAAAATCAAACATTCATGCGGGTCCAGCTTGATAGTACTTTGCACCGTCTCCCTAAAAAAATTGAAGATAATCAATACACTTTTGAATTTCCTGTCTCTCATTAACTCACATAGCTTTGCGGGTGCTGTTAGTACTGCTCACCAGCACTTTATATTCCTGATTAGCCATACTATAGAAATTTACCGACTCCTTAGACTCGCCTGCATTGAACAAATAAACGAACTCCCCGTCGTCCCTTTGCCTCACGATTTGCATCACGCCATCGCTCAGCTGCAACAACGAAACAGCATCTCTAACCGACGCCAAGCTGTAGTGCTCCTTCCTGAACTTCATCAGCTTCTTGTACGTTTCGTACGGGCTGTTCACTCCCGTCTGGTTTTCCGCGTTAATGTTTATGTAGCTCTTGCTGGAGCCCACCGGCAGGAAGGGCTGGTGGTCGGAGAAACCCGCGTAAGTGGTGTTGTCCCATTGGAACGGCGTCCTCTCGAAGTCCCGGCTGGTTTCGTTGAATGTCTTGCAATCTTTGGTGGCGCTGGTGTCTTTGCCTTGCGCGCAGGTGACTTCGCCGTCGGGCATGCCCATCTCCTCGCCGTTGTAGGTGACCATGACGCCCGGCAGGAAGGCGGTGAGCATGTTGAAGGCGTCGACGTTGCGCTCGCCGACGCGCGACGCCGCCCTGTGGTTGTCGTGGTTTCCTATCTAAACACCAGAAAGCGTTTCGAATGCTGATCTTCGAGGAGTAGAGGATGGTCTTACCACCCAGTTGCTGGTGGCGCCGCTCGGAAGGTACACCAGCCACTTTTCCACGGCCTTTATGATGTCCAATGCCGTGAAGTTAGAATTCAAATAAACGATGAGGTTGAAGTTGAAAGTGAAATGGGCGCCTTTTCTTTTGCCGTCTTCGGATTGGTAGTACAGTACGGTGTCTTCGGGTGTCGTGTAAGCTTCCGTCATCATGACTCTGGAAGATTTTTGTGCACAACTTTACTAACCCGATTTCCCTACTGATGGAAGGTTGTTTGAGCAATCACTGCGATCGCCCTGTATCATAATTTATCAAGCATAAACAATTTTGGAGTGTCCAATATATTTTATCTCTAACACTTTTATCTATTTAATGCATCAGTAATAACCAAAACACATTAAATGATTAGTATCTTGATAATACACCATGTTAGGTTACTTCAAATACGGCTAGAAATTGGAAATACTCAATTGGTCGATAACCAACAGGTTATCATCATAAACGGTTACACTTACTTGGTTTCATTAAGTTTATGCTTTTTGACGTAATCGTCCAGGTGCTCCCTGAACTGGTAAATCATGTCGTAGGTCCTGGGCAAATCCTTGGTTATTTGCAACTGGCTCTGGCAGTTGCCAGAGTCGCAACCATCAGGCGTAGGGGCGTCCACCAAGCTGGGGTCTTCGAAGAGGTAGGGAACGGCGTCCATGCGGAAACCGGACACTCCTTTGTCCAGCCAGAAGGTTAAAACGTCCTGGAAAATTAGGCATATATCGCCGAGTAATCGCGATTAATCGATTGGCTTACTTTCATTTTCTTCACCACGTTCGAGTTGTTGTAGTTTAGGTCCGGTTGTTGAGGGAGGAACTGGTGGTAATAGTACATCTTAGCATCTTTATCGTACGTCCAAGCCGATCCCCCGAAGGTGGATTTCTGGAAATCACCTCATCAATCAACCCGACTAAGAGATTGCGGTGAGACCTTACCCAGTTATTAGGAGGAGAATTTTTGGAACTACCATTGCGCCAAATGTAGTAATCCTTGTAATTGTCGTCGGTTTTCGATTTAATGAACCATTCGTGCTCGAAACTGGTGTGGTTGGGAACAAAGTCGAGCACCACCTTGATGCCGAGTTTCTTCGCTTCTGCGATGAGTTCGTCGAAGTCTTCCATGGTGCCGAATGTTTTCAGGATCATGGTGTAATTGGATACGTCGTAGCCTTGGTCGTAAAGGGACGAGTTGTAAATGGGCGTCAGCCATATGGCTGTGACGCCGAGGTCCTGCAGGTACGGCAATTTGCTGGTGATGCCTTTAATTCATTTTCGATAAATATTATTCAATGGATTGCAGATAACACAGGTGTTTTTGATGATAGTTTTTGGATATTAATTAATTGTTTCGTTATTATCAATTGTTGTTGATCTGTTACTATTGAAAGTGTTTGTTGATTTTGTTTGGAAATGTTATCTATAAGCAGTATGGTATGGTTACGTAAATGTTTTGATGGAATAACGATAATTTTGTTGGTAATTTTTTAAATTATAGGGAATCTAAAAAGTGGTAAATAAGTAAACATTGTTCATCCATAACTGTGACAATAAATTAATCATTCTCGGTAAAATACCTATAGAAATATTATAATAGTTGCACCAAGGTCTCACTGTTTATTGCAAATTATAATAAAAATGTACATATACCGATAACATTTGTGTAAGAATTATACCTATAACTAAATAAAGAATATTATAAAATATTAAAAGTTGCATTTCTCTTCCCAAAACTATGTAATATATGAAAGCAATTAAAGGAGCTAATAAAATTATCTATATAAAATAAACAATACCTTTCAAATCTCCGCTTCCATCGCCATCGCTATCCTTAAAGGATAACGGATAAATTTGGTAAACGACGGCATTTTGCCACCAATCTAACGGCTTGTTTGTGCCCAAATCATGCACTGCAGAAGGTTGTGGGACAGAAACTGCAACTCCAATTGATACCCACAGGATTATTATGCACTTGTAATTCGCAATCGTTCTTCGAAGAGGATCCATTTTATTGTGATTCGAAATCGTCCCGACGTCGCCTCTTTATTTATACACAACAATTTGTATGCAGATGCGCTTTGAATGTATTTGTAACATCGTTATCGCCTGCTAAAAGGGATTTTTTTTCCGATTTTCGTTCGTTTTAGGTACACTTAATTCGAGTAGATTAAGTCATTTGTGATAAATTGTGTAATTGTTTCATTGTTTGATTGTTTGATTGTTTAAAATGAAAAATTGATAGTATTGAGTAGACGAAACCTGTTGAAATAATCGTCGAAATAAATTGTTTATTTCTATAACTCGAATTATTTGGAAATTTTTGAAGGGTTTGTTGGAAATTTTCGATGTTACATAACGCAATTAGAATTTGCGGTTGTTTAGAGCAGATGCAATAATCTAATAAACTCGGGAAGCCATAAATCAAGGGATGCCAATGTCTGCTATCGGGGAAACACGTTCGTTTGTTAGCGGGGGCCCGGGAGAGGGCTCTTCGAGCGAACGCCGACGTTTCGGGCTTGTCACTGGCCATTTACAAGGGTCGGATTTCTTGTCGGAGCGCGGAAAAGGGACCAGCCGAGGGCCAGAAGTTAGGACAGCGGCCGAACTGGACATGAATAATGCATGCCGCAGATGTGGAATACGTGTAAGCCCTTTCTGAACCCGTCCCGGCCCCTTTCGTGTTGCCCTAAGGACGTTTTCGCTCCGTTATGATGGCTAAAACATTGCATCGGCGAAATGGCTGCGAGACGTCCGTCCGGAATTTTAATCAGGCCCCATTGTTTTAGTAAGTCGGGCACGTAAATGGTTCGATGCAAAAGAGCTGTGTGGCAGATCTAAATTTCATCATCGCTCATCGCTAACGAATTTACGAGTATTATTTCGGTTATTTATTTTTTTTTATTTAATTCACGCTATTCAAATCTCCCCTATAGGGAGATGAATGTTAAAGGTCAGTTTTTTTATACGACAATTATTAGTTGTACAGGTGAAGTGCCCGAGTGGTCCAGTTCACCTTCAATGCAAGAGGGACACCGAGATCAAATTTAGATCAACTTGTTCATCTGCTCTACCCTCCTCTATAACACTAACACTTGCGCGTCATTTTTATTATATACAAGTTTTTTTTGTGCGTTAAATTTAATCTCTCGTTGTCAATTTTTTTTGTATCTATACAGGGCGGCACGTCTTATTAGAATTTAAATTCGTGTCATTCCGTAGACGGTTTGTATTCGAAATACCTGAATTGGAATTCGTGCACTCCAGACGGGTTGATTAAAAAAAAATAAGGACTCGGGTCGTCAAACGTCCTAGTTTCACAAAGAGACAAAACGCTATTCACGATATTCCAACGGGGGTAATTCGATCTTTTTACGATAGACCTCTTCCGTTACTTAAACAAACTGCCCCTATAATGACTGCTTCAGAAACTCATGTCGTTTCCTTGGATAAAAAGCCATTCAAAAAGGACAAAAGACCCAAAACACAATTAATTACGCTAGTCTACAAATTTAACACTTTAACACAGATTTTGGCGTGTTTATTCCAAATTCATCATTCTGGGGCGTTCTAAAAACGGTTTTAGATAGTTCTAAATGATTCTGGACAGTTCTATATAATTCTAGGCAGTTCTAAATGATTCTGGAACGTTCTAAAAGCGGTTCTAGATAGTTCTATATGATTTTAGATAGTTCTAAAAGATTCTGGAGAGTTGTAGACAGTTCTAAATGATTCTGGGGCGTTCTAAATGGTTCTAAATGATTCTGGAGCGTTCTAAATGGTTCTAAATGATTCTGGAGCGTTTCTGGTTATGGTAGGTTATTCTAAACATGGATAATATTAATAAACAATAAAATTTAGCGGAAAGTTACCGGTGGTGGGGGAGAAATGATAATTAAAGTTGACTCGGGCGTTTGGGTTCGGTTCGGATTTCTGATCCGCGGCGTTCGAAATAAATTAACAAAATTTGCATGGGACCTGAAATATGACCAGCAGATTGTGTGTCCTGCACCAACTGCGCGCGAGTTTACGGCTGTTTCTCGTCCCTCATCCATATTCAAGCGGCTCGGAATTCGAGACAACTTATTTAATTCGAACGGTCCCTTCGTCAGGTAAACGTATCGATTCCGGGACGGGATGGGGGTTAATAAAACGCATTTTTTTTTTCGCAGGGAGCAAATATTTTAATTCCAATCAATTCAAAAATAACTATTACAGAGAAAGTACTAGAACCGAAACCGCTAGTTTTTTTTTATAAATAAATATTTCGTTTGAATGACACTTAAACAGCAATAAATTAATAATAACATTCGATAAAGGTACTCCCCGCATTTTTTTTTACATTTTTTTATAACAAAATAACTGTTGTTATATGCATGCGAAAATTGTTACCCAATGTATAAAATAAATAATGAATTGATTTTAGCAGACATATAACAATGTAATGATATATAAGATAGTCCCCCCAGTTTTATTAAAAACAAATCAGTTTTGCGATTGTCTGAAAATAATTTTTAGTATGCCATCAATTTTGAAAATCCACCCAAATTATATCACATAAACAACGAATCGTTCGAATCAAATATGTCGCGGTTGTCGTACGGAAATCAAATCAAAAAAAAAAAAAAATTATAAACAGGACATATTTGATTTGCGATCTTTCCATATACTAACAGATTCTTATGGCAACCGAAGATCGGCGGTCGCCATTCAACAATAGAAAATCTCCTTTTACATAAAGGTATTTACTTTGAGCGTACAATATCACAATTTTCCTGATAACCGAGCTTCAAAGTCACTTTTGCCGCACTAATGACGAGTCTTTTTTCTCCCGGCACCAAAAAAAAACCATTTCTTTTATATAGATTATGATATTCATATACACTTTTTGAGATCTCTAATCAATTACTAATGTAACCAACGAACCGCAAAAGCACAACGTTTTCCAATTCTAAAGCGTTAAATCAAAAATAAGTCGGGTTAGTTTCGACTGAACTGATTTCAATACGTGAGTAGGTTATTCGTAATTCGACATGCTTTGCATTTATTGTCATAAAAAAATAAGACTATTTTTTTACAACAGTAGATTCAGATGTCTTTCGATACATTATTGCAGAAAAAATATACATCTTTAACCGGCCTATTAGCATCGCTTTTATTCTCGTACTTCAACTAATAGGCAATTAAAGTTTTGGGGTAGTGCGCCGAAATCACTTCAGTAATTACTTAAATTACAACATTTTTTCGATCGAAATTGAATAGTTTGTGCTTTCGAAATTCCAGTGAAACAATAAACGCACCAACGTCGCCGGAGCTACTGAACAAACGGAGATTTTGATGGTAGAAAAAAAATTTATCGAGTAGCTCGAGCGACGTTTCGGGCCAATTTTCCCCCGAGCAAATCGACATGGACAGTTTGAAAGTGCATGGGTAACGAGCGGTGCATTTCAAAACGAAGATCGGATATTTTTTTTTCAGAATCGAACGACGAGAAAATATGCTGAATGCAAAACGAATTAAAGTCGCGCAAACTCCGCGTTTTATGCCTCCAGATTAATTTATTTTAACGGTCAATTAAGCATCATACAATCTAAAATGTAATATCAATCAACGACTAATTTAAAATAGTAAAAAAAATGATCATTTACTACGAGCGTGGCAAAATCAAATGAATTAATTTCCTTAAATCTATAAAAAAAAAACTGTAGAAAAAAGAAATCTAAAACATATTTTTTTGCGTTTTATATATAAAATTGCGTGTTAAAACTTTTAAATGTATAGAGAAAAAGTATTTAGAAATAATAAAAAAACGAGCATAAATATCTTCAGCATAAATTTCCGAACGCACAGTCAATTCTGAATTATCAATTACTATCACAGATAAGATGTTACAAGATGAAATGAATGATTAACAAACTATCCGAAACTCTCGATCCATACCGCATTTCTTCGGGGAAAAATTACCAGTTGCGATTTTTAGATTTACAATATTTACTACAAAGAAATCTAGACTCTAGTTGGATAATTCGAATGTCGCGAGACTTGTAATAAACGTTTTTCATTTTTCGGAATTAAAGCATTAAAAATCATTCGTGTAGATTTTTTTTTCTCCAATTAACATCGTTTAATTCGCGACATTCGAATTGCCCATCGCGCAGAATCCACCTCGTTTGCAATAACTATCACACATCGTATTTACTGCACTTTTTTGTTTTTTCCATAGTTATTTAGACGAAATCGAATCCCATAAATTTTTCACTTTGTATAAAAAAAACATTCGAACAAAAAAATATCTTCTTTTATAAAGGAAATTAAAAGTTCTTTTGCATCAAGTCCATTTCCCTTTTTTTTTCAAAACTATGTACACGAGTTAAGTTTGCGTTTTGTTTGTTTTTTCAAATCGTTTATGTCTTCGTAAACGTTTTACTTTCCGAGCTCGATGTCGTCGTCGCCCATTTTGGCAACGTACAATTTCGGATCGATGACTTTCGGAATCGGCTTGATCTCCGTACCGAGTTCCTGTTCGATGCGATGGAGGGAGAATCGATCGTCGTAGGTGATCAAATTAATGGCGATACCCAAATGGCCGAATCGGCCGGATCTGCCGATGCGGTGCAAGTACGTCTCCGCCATTTTCGGGAAATCAAAGTTTATCACAACGTTCACCGCTTGCACGTCGATACCTGAAACGACATTTCTCGATTAATCGATCGATATATATTTTTTCGGATGATTAAAACTCACCTCTCGTAAACAGATCAGAACAGACCAAGTTCCGGCACAAGCCCGATCTGAAGTCGTGAAATACCCTGTTCCTGTGGGCCTGCGCCATTTTCGCGTGTATGTAATAGCACGAGTAGCCCAGTTCCGTTATTTTCTTTGCGAGCAACTCCACTCGCTGAGTGGAATTACAAAATATAATACTTTGATTTATTTGTAACTGAAATCAAATTATCAAAGAGTTAGTAAATTGTTCAAACATCTTTTATACGAGAGATTTTCTGGGAATTGTGCTCTAATTCAATTAGACAGAACTTTTAGACAATGCTATTGGTGACAGACGAGTGTTGACATGTTTATGCAACTATCCAGGAGAACATTGTTTAATCTGATTCAGGTGTTCATAGTACTGTTGTTATAATCAAAGAAAACGAGTGTAATCAGTGTAACACCTGAATCTTGTTGAACAATGTTGCATTAACATATAAAGACTGTAACCAAAAAGTCCAATTTAATTAGAGAACAATTCCCAGAACTTTGGAAACAACCCTCGTACCTTTATCATCATATACATTGTGCGTGCTTCATTTCAGATCGCAACATAGGTTATATAGGCTGTAGATGCATAGAAACGACCATGTTGCGGTCTGAATTGAAGCAATCTGTATAATTACAAAAAAAAAACGAATTACCTTGGAAAATAGAGTATTCAAACAATGGACTTTTTGCCTTTCTTGAACAAAAGCGTAATACTGTGTGACACCTTTCAAGGTGAGCTCCTCCATCAGATTGATCTCGTAGGGATCTCGCAGATGCTTTCTCATGAATTGTTCGACGGTCAAAGGGAATGTAGCAGAGAACAATAGAATTTGTCTTTCCATGGGAAGGTTCTTAATAACCGTGTCCAACATTCCCTGCAAACATACACCGATACGTCACACTCTAAACTACAAACTCGACTAAAAAACCTCACCTTGAAGTCCTGCGAGAGCAATTTATCGGCCTCGTCGAGCACGAGGATCCTACATTGGTCCATCACGGCGACGCCTTTCTCCATCAGATCCAAGATGCGGCCGGGCGTGGCGATGATGACCTGGACCTTTTGGTATATGCGCATGATGTCGTCGCGCAAATTCGTCCCGCCGGTGGTCACCATGACGCGCACTTGCAAGTATTTCGCCAATTCGATGCAGATCTGTGACGTTTGTAAAGCTAATTCTCTCGTCGGCACTATGATTAACGCCTGGATGCAGTCTTTTTTAGGGTCGATTTGTTCCAGTACGGGAATACTGTACGCGCCAGTCTTTCCTGCAATCGTCCAAACAAATCAATAAATTCCTTCCGATATTATGCATCGAAACGTTTCGCAAATAAAATTGTATGTGGCAAGTGTGTTTATACTAAATTATAGGCTAATTTAGAATAGAATGATAACGAACCAATTAATTTTTGTTGCATATTTGTCCCCCTAGCTTGACATTTAATCTCAAACCAGAACACTAATATGCCGGTTAATAAGTTTATTTACAATCGAGAGCAATTTACCTGTTCCATTCTTTGCCCTAGCGAGTACATCTTTGCCGGAAAGTGCTATCGGAATGGAGGCTTCCTGTATAGGCGAGGGTTTCTCCCAACCTTTCTCGAATATTCCCATCAGCAGCTCACGTTTCAAGCAAAATTCTTCGAATTCGTTTCCTCTCGTATCAGTGACATCCTAGACATAAAGTTTGCGTTATTTGATCGTTTAAAACTAACATAATCTTTATGAAAGCGTGTAATACTTAATCAGACGTGGATGTGTCATTTATTAGTAGAAAATGAAGGGGAATCCAAACTATTCATCATGTCACCGGTTAATAAACATGCATTTAATGCTATGGGATGTATTCGAGTACCCAAAGCATGTGTAGCTAATTAAACTATTAAAATATAATGTACTATTCATATTAGCATAGCCGATTGGCTGATTAATGAGCGAAACTATGAAATATTTGATACGTGACTAAATTAATAAATTTATTAAGCGTAGAGTAATTGGAAAAAATATTCCACAACTTCAAATAAATTTAAAACTAATCAGTAATAATGTTTTTTATACCACCTTAAAAACCAGAACCCAAATACCAATGAGAATCTACTTTTTATTTCTAGCAGAATTTAAAAGAGTAAAATTAAATTACAAGTACCCCAAACGATTAATTTAAAATGTAATAAACGTAACTTACACTTGTCTGTATTCTTCTGTCTTTTGGTGGAATTTTCAGTTTGGCTTTCCATCCCAAGTCATCACCTTTATTGTCAAAGTCTCTAGAAAAAGGAAAAAAATCACGAATTAATATTAATATTATAATGAAGAGAAAAGGGTTAGTGGTACTTACACTGAACTAGGTAGTCCCATGACATGGTTATTTGATTTCAATGTATCGGTCATCATTGTTGAACGTCAAATTTGCAGGAAAAAGGGGTTTATAAAACCCAAAAATTCTACAATGTGTAGGATAAGATTCGCAGTGTTCGTTTAATTGTTATTCGCAGTTAGACTTGGGAATCTGAAAATGTAAAAATAGACACTGAGTACTTTAATCAATGTCTAAAAATAAAACGTACCGAGCGATTTAAGGCAACAATTTATAACAATACAAATACTATGGATTACTCGAATGAAAGAAAATACCGATTAAAATTACCAATAGCAGTAACGTCAATGGATGTTTGGAATTAAAGTGGATAAATATTATAGGAAAATGTAACAAAATGGCTACTCTTATCAGGACCTATTCCAATTTCATATAAAATAAAAAAAACGCATATTACAATATTTTACCTGAATATAACTATCAACGAAGAATTAATGTATCATCAAATACTGATACATTTCTTTCTCAAAACTTATAGGAAAATGTTAACGTTTTATAAATACCTTCGACTTCCGATATAAACGCTTTTACAATCGCATTTAATAAAGAAGACTAAAATGAACAAATGAACAGGAAAGAGAAAGATAGATAAAGAGAGAGCAAAAAATACCATTGCTGCCAATTTAGAAATCTAAAAATTACTATTAGATTATTTAAGTAATGAAAATATCCTAAATTACAACATAAAAAAGAAAACAATCATCATTTTGTAACGCGTTTAATCAACATAAAGTCCCTGCCATTCTATTTAAACTTGCAAATTTGAAAACAAATACCTGGCGCTGTTGCCAAATGACCCACCAAATGAAGTTGGCACACCTAATAGGTACAGCATTGGCAAAAGTGTGCTTAAATTTGTTTATTGTTTACACACTTTAATCGCGAAATTTGAATTCAAAAATCTGCGTAAGAATGTAATTTGATTTTTAAATTTACCGTATATTTGTATTTCAAAACTGTTTCAGATTCTGCCAAAATGCTACTTTGGAAGACACTCGGTCAGCTTCTCTTTGTGATCTTAGTTGTTATAAACATTTGTATCGTTTGTTTCTCACTTTATTTGTTATTTATAATTGGTTATATTGCAGTGCAACTATACCACGTATATACGCCTATGTTTTCCTGTCACGAATTGATTTTCTACTTAACCATCGGCTTCTTATCTCGCACTACGAATGGTGGATATTTCTTTTTCCCTGATGTTAGTGATTTTTATACAAATAAACAAGTAACTGATACACCACTAGCAGTTGAAACTTAATTACCTCCAGAAGGTAATTAAGAAGTAAAATACATGTTATATGGATACATTTTCTATTAATTATATAAAATATTTGTATTCTTATTATTATGTGTTCAATAATCTCAGGAAGTTAATTAAGTACAACAAAGAAATATTTTATTACATATAGTTTTATTGTGCTAACTAGATTTTTAAGAAATATATAACAAAACAATGTATAAAGCATTACAGGCGTGCTTCAATTAAATAAATTATATGCAATCTAATTAAGTTTTCAACTTGAGTATTTTAATAGGCAACAACAACACCATTTCCTTGCATATGCCGTACTCCATGGGCATCAAATCCTTCGCTTTCGAGTTTCTCTCGCAATAATCGTAAACAAATTTGTAATTTTCCAAGCTTAATTCGGTGTTTTTCAATTTCACCTGTTTATCTAACGAAATGTAACGTCCATACAAAGCCGCTCTGTGGAAAGCGGCCCTAAGGAAAGGCTTCTCCAAATCCTCCTCTATTTTATCGGGCAACTTCTTCGTGAGTTTATCCTCGAAAGAATCTATGAAATTGGAGTAATGTAAAATTCCATTTTCGATTAAATTGTTGATTTTAACTAAGCTGTGAGGAGCGGGCCGGCCTTCGGTTTCTTTCAACACATCAGATTTAATATCGGAAATATCCGAGTAAGTTGTAGCCAATTCGAACCAAATTTGCCTACAGTAGTTCAAATAATACTGAGGATTAATGCTGTTCAAAACGTGCTCGAGTAATTTAATCCTCCTTTTGTGAAGCTTCGCTTGCGTTTCGGGATCGTCTTCGAAGAAAACCAAATTAAGATACAACTGCGTTTGATCCAGCATTATTTGTATGAAATCCGACGCTAATGTTTCCAACGTGTAATACTCCTGAGCTTTCTGAGACCATTGTTGGGCGTTCAGGAACACTTTTTTAGCATCTGGAAGTGTTAGTATAAACTGATCGGTTATCTGATTCTCGTAGTGGCTCACATCGATGTTTTTAAAGTACAAATCTCTCGGATCGTATTCGGAAATATTGCTGCTTAAACCGATATCTAAATGGCTGAAATCGGTTGACAATCGATCGGTTTCTTTATCACCATCATCATCATCATCATCATCATCGGCGCGTTTTAGAAGCCTTTCTTTTGATTTCGATAACAACAATAACCCGTATTTCATCCAACATCTAGCTACATCTGCGCTTCTGTGTTTGAATGTTTCGACTAGAGCATCGTGCGCTTCGCTGCTTTCCATAAGGTCTAATTTTTGCTTGTATTTGTCCAGTATGCAAGAACTGGCTGCTAGATGATGGCGGCCTTGTTTGAACCCGTCTTTTTCAATCAAAAACTGGGAAAGTGTAGCGGCATTTAGGGCCCAATCTATATCATCGAACTCTTGCAATTCTAGTTGTCTTTGGAGCGTTAAATGGAAGTATACGATGCTCTTTAGAGGCTCCTTCATGGCTACGTAGATTTGAGCTAGATAATATAAGGTGAGAGTGTGGATTTTTTCGAGGTTCCTAACGGCTGCTTCGGTGTTGTATGATTCCAAGTTTTCTTGAAATAAATCGTCTGTATCGATAGGAGGTTCGGTTTTCCGTTTGAAGTCCATGTACAATTTTTCTGCTTTAACGAGGTATTTGTGCGATTCCTCCGCTTCGCAGTGAGATTGGATTCCGAATTGGTTGTACATGTTCACAGCGATTAGGATCATTTCGGGTTCTAAAGAGGTGTCATCGATGATTTCGTTGCATTTTTCTAAATGTTTCTTTCCCGCGGATATTTCTTCGGTGGACAGTCCGATCATGCCCAAGTACAAGTAAGTCCAGGCTAGCATCGCTACAAATTAAATTAATCGTATTGTGGGTAAGGGGGATGTAGTAAAGTGTACCTTTTAATTTCTTTGATAGGCCGACGTTGTCAGAGTGGTGTCTCATTAGATTTTCAATGCTCGCTTTCATGCCGATTAAAATTTGCCTAGCCGAATACTGGGATAAATATGGCTCAGTATCAGGATCTGGTTTATTGTCTCCCAATAGTTTGAGGACTTTGGAGTATTTTTCGTATAAATCGACAAACGTTTCTTTTGTTATACCCATTTTGTTTGAATCGAATTATTTGGAGCAAAAATTAAAAATTCAACATTTGAATAGAAAATTGTATAAAATTGACAATTATGTCAAATGTCAGATATTCTGTCACAACACGTGGCAACGTTGGTATCATGCAATGTTGCTCTTGGTGTCAAGTTCATACCAACATAAAACAAATAATTTCCCTTTCCACGTCACCCAGAGAGAATCGAGGATCAACCAGCGACGACCAATTTAGAAATTGAATTAGATTTGAGCAGTTATTTATCCCGACCGGTTGGGTGTGTAGCACTTAAATTTGAATAGGTAAGAGGAAATGAAATTACCATAATTAATTCTATTTATATAATTCAATTTGTTCTTTTTATTGCGACGATGCGCTAATTTTTCGTGCTATTATTTGTTATTTGCCGGCCGGCTTTCTAGATCAACAAGTAAAATTTTTAAATTAATGTAGTTTTTTTAAAAACTTTAAATTGTTTTATTTTGCTAATTTCGATGGGTCGAATAGTTTTTGCTTTATTACAGAAATTATTAGTTCGATTGAATTTAAATTACATAAGGGAACAATCGGATTTTAAAAATATTTTTTTCATATTAGACCTACTGAAATATTATTTTTTTTTAAATTCGAGAAGAATTAAAAAAAATACATCTAGCACGTATTTATATCTAAGAGAGTGTAAAATAATTTCAGTGGGTCAGAGCAGGTGTATTAATTGAAGGCTTTCAGGCCCTGAGGCTTTTTACATTATTATCTCATTAAAACCACGAAATTTGTATCATTTACACTTATTTAAATGAAATATTAGACTTACATATTCCCGATAATTAAGGTCACATTGACAATACCCACGTACAACATTCTTATAAATTTTTATCATGGAAATTTTTACATCGCATTATTTTATTACAACTATTTAGTTTATTACATAATAAACGTTTTTATAAAATACAAACAACGCTAATTAGATTTTTAAATTAGATTATTGCCAGTACATCCGCATCTAAATCAATTAGCGTTGATTAAGCGCAAACAATCGATTAACTCGATTAAATCGACACACTAATTTTGGATTAAAAAAATCGACAAAGCTTCTATTGTCGATTAATTTAATGCAATAATTCATTCGAATCGAGCTTGTGTACGAAATTTCATAACTTTTCATAATAATTCATAATTGTTCGTAATATTTCATAATAATTCATAACAAAATGGGTACATTAAGTACGCTTACTTTCCAGTTTTATTTAACCGAAAACAACGGAGCTGCTTCATTATGCAATCATTCGAATTTGTATCAACTTTCGAGAGTCATTCAATTACCGATAAAAAAAATATATCTCTTTAAAATTCTTAACCATCAACCGATATACCGTTATCGTTATTTTTCTCTTCGGTATCTCCACACGAACGAACTCTTTATTGTCCCGTATCGCTTTTTAGATAATTGGAATAGAAACCGGCTTCGATAAATCGCCCAATCGATGCACAAATGCATCGGTTTATCGCCCGAGCAATTAGTAAATAACGCGAATCGTAAACAATTTTCACATTCGTCATGCCGAACATCGATAACCTTGGAGACAATTAAATTCATTCGGGTACCGAAAAGGTGCAGGATATTCAATATCGCTCTACAAACAAACGAGAATACGAATTAGGCGATAGATAAAGCGATGTTTTCGTTATCTAAAATACACTCTAGAATTGATTTTTACAGAAAATGTCGTACAAATTGACCTACTTCAATCTCACCGCTTTGGGCGAACCCATCAGGTTGATCCTGCATTATGGCAAGATTAACTTCGAAGACAACCGCATCGAATACGGAGACGACTGGCCCACCGTTAAACAAAGTAATACTCATAAAAACATACAAAATCCATTTTGAGGATTAACTTGAACAACTCGAGTGCAATTGGCGATTGTAATTTACGCACCGAAAAATCGGATATCCACCTAGCGTTAGGGTGAATACCAACTGCACTCGTTCTCTAAGTTTTAATACAATTTGATGTGTTTTTAATATATTTTTTTTATCCAGCGTTGCCGCTGCCTTACGGGCAAATGCCGATTCTCGAACACGACGGGAAACTCGCCCATCAATCGCTAGCCATCTGCAGATACGTCGCCAAATTGGCGAAATTGGTCGGAGAAAACGATTGGGAGAACTTGGAAATCGACGCCGCCGCCGATACGGTGAACGATTTCCGCCAGAAAATCGGCCAGTTCTCGTACGAAAAAGACCCCGACGTTAAAGAGAAGAAAAAGGAGGCGCTCTTCGGCGAAATCCTGCCGTACTACGTCGAGAAATTGGAGGAGCAGATCAAGAACAACAACGGCTACTTGGCAGCCGGGAAGGTGTGTTATCGAGACGATCATTGAGGAAACTAATTGGTTTTCTTGCAGTTGACTTGGGCCGATTTGTACCTGGTGGGTATATTGGACTACTTGAACTGGATGTTGGGCAAAGATCTGCTCGAGGAGGCTCCGCAGATGAAGGCTCTCTACGAGAAAGTGCGCGGGATTCCCGAGATTAAGGCGTACATCGATCAGCGCCCGAAGACGATGATGTAAAAGGCGATGAAATTGTCCATCGTAGATTAGACTGAACTAAAGGTATACGTCGAATCGTTAATTTTCTATTGAGTGTATTGGATTTCTCGATGGGCTTTCGATGGGAAATTTTTGTACTAATAAAAATATATTTTCACTAACATTTGCAATTATTCCATCGCTTATTTGCTATTGCTATATTTATACGTTTTTATTGTCGCATAGAATTTTAATAATAAAGTAATAAATATAAGATGCTTGTTTCATTTCGTTCACTTTCACTTTACCCTTTTTTTTGAGAAATTTTGGAAATAATTTATGCTTCGATTCTCCACTAAAATGGCTCCTTATTTAATTGCTTCTCGACTTTTTATTATCGATATTAAATTGGACAATATTATAAATAAATTGGAGATGCCCACATGATGCAATCAATTTCAGCTTTTGTAGTCGCGGAGATATCGGAAATACTACTATTACAGGGTGTTTCTGAAATAAGTGGTCAAAATTTGTGAGCAAGTGTACCGTTTTCAGGAAAAATGGCTTTTAAAATTCTGATACACAAAATTATTAAACTATTCTCTTTAAAAATCTAGTAGGCTGTAGGAATGAATTCTTTCAAATACTTGACATTTCGATAAAATGACATTTAAGTTTCTGTCATATTTTAAGGTTATCTACTTGCTCCGAAAGTTTGACAATTTATTTCAGAAACATCCTGCATTGTAAGAAAAATCGATACAAATTGATAATACCCGAAAAATTCCAATTTTCGCGCAACCGCTCCAACTAAACGCACCGATGAAAATTGCAATCGCAATTACCATCATATTTTCGCCACAATCGAACTCGTTTTCTCAAAAAAAAACCAACCAGTATATTCCAAGCTGTTAACTTAACCAGTAACTTAAATGGATAACTTAAGCGATATTTTACTCGCAATTTTCCTAACGACATTATCCACTTGGTACGTGAAATTCCTGTGGTCCAGAAGACACTTGTACCTGCACGCCTGGAACGTTCCAGGCCCTCTGGCCTTTCCCATCGTAGGATCAGCCTACAAAGCTCTACGCTCGAACGCAGGTAAATTCCACCAAAACCTAACTAACACACCCGCTCAAACGAACATCTTAAGGACTCATCGAAGTCTTCAACGAATTCTACGAATACCCGGGGATCATAAAAGTGTGGTTCAGCACGAAACTTTGGTACGTCGTATTCGAACCCAAGTACCTCGAAAAGGTGTTCACCTCCCCCGATTTGCTGGAGAAACCACACGATTACAAGAGGCTCACCGATATAATCGGGGACACTATATTCACACCGTCAGGTATTTATTCCTATACTCCGTTCGCTATCAGAAGATAGTAATAACAACCTCAATTTGCACGCAAACTGCGACCTTATTGACACGCCTAGAGTTTAGTGCAAGAAGGTTTTGTTGTGTACTATCTCCTGATGGCGAACGGAGTATAATTATTTGATTGCCAGTGAAGAAATCGAAGAGGTATCGCCGGGCAGTGGCTCCGATATTCTACAAAAACGCGATAGACTCCTACGTGAAGGGGTTTGCTGAGAGCAGCGCGGATTTCGCGAAGGTCCTGCGAAGCCTGGCGGGCAGGAAGGACCTCGACGTGGAAATGCTCTGTTTGAGGTACACTTTGGATACGACTTGCAGTAAGAGAAACAACGCTACGATGCTAAAAATGTTCTAATTTTAAGTTTTTTTAGAGAGTATTTTTGGATTCGGTGTACCCGTGAGTGGCTCTGAAGCCGGAGAGCACGATTACGGGTATTGCTTGCGAAAGTGAGTCCCTCGTTAGATAAATTAACAATCAATTAATTCGATTGCTTGCCAATTATTATAGAAAAAAATTTTAATTACTTGTTGATAATTTCTATAAGTAGATGACGCGTTAATAGAAAAAAAATCCACAATTTTTCGAGTTAAAATTTTCTATTTTACAGAGTCGCGGAAATCAGTACTTATCGTTTCGTTCGAATTTGGTTCAACGTGAAATTGATCTACAACATGAGTCGAACCAAGCAGGAGATAGATAAGTGGAATAATTTGATCCACGCTCACATTTTATCGGTGAGCTTTATTAGCCTGAATTTTAGTCGAATTGCAGTTGAAAAATTTTAATTATTTAGATGATTAGTACCGCCAGAAGGCTCCAGGAAATCCAAACGAACAGCGAAGACTCGAAGAACGGCAATAGTAAATACGAATCGGATTTTTTCAAGTCTTTTATTAGAGGTTCCGAATATACCGAAGAAGAAATCGTCGATACAATCAAATCGCTCTTTTCCGCTGTAAGTTTCTAACACTTTTCCACCTCATTACTAATTTCCTCCCGACTTGTTCTACAAATTCCAGGGCGTCGATACAGCCGCATCGGTTTTGTGCTCCACATTAATGATGCTCGCTCTTCACCCCGATGCTCAGGTAATATTAATACAAATTACCTAAACAATTAACTTAATGCCAAATTCCCTAGCAAAAAGTATACGAAGAGGTAATGGAAGTGGTGGGACACCGCCAAATCGAACACACCGATTTGCAGCATTTCCGCTACACAGAAATGGCGATCAAGGAATCGATGCGCCTGTTCCCCCCGACTATAATTTTCGCCAGAGACTCCACCGGCGCTGTTAATTTAGGTACAACAACTCGACACCTCCTGTAACAGTTTTTAGTGAGTCATTTTAGGCGAGTACGTTCTACCGAAAGATGGCGCTGTTGTTATATTCCCTCTGGTTATTCATCGAAACCCGACAGTCTGGAACGATCCTTTGAAGTTCGATCCGGATCGATTCCTGCCGGACGAGATGGCCCAACGCAGCCCGTACGCTTTCGTGCCGTTTTCCCACGGCGTCAGAAATTGCATCGGTGAGGAAATTTCCATCAATCCCGTAGAATAAATACCATCAAAATCCACATTTGCAGGCTGGCAACACGCCATGTGGAACTTGAAAACCGCCATCGCGGGAATAATACGAGAAGTAAAAGTATTCACCGGTTACCAATCAGTAGAGGACATCAAACTGAACTGCGAACTGGTCTTGACTTATACACACGGCAGCAAATTGTGGTTCGAACCGAGGGAGTAATTAAACACAATTGAATCTTCTGGTAGCGTTTTATTCATTTATATCTTTGTGTTTTCTACCACATCCGGTTTCTCGCTATCGATTCCATCGAATCCGATGTTTTCTATACCATCTCCAGCGCTTTCGTTGTTTTCATCGCTTCCTTTACTCTCCGCTTCGTTCCAAGATTGAGTCTCGCCTGTACCGAACAAATAGAACAATATCCCTGAGGCTATATACACGGAGGAACCCAAATAAAATATCGTCCTCCACTCGCTCAAACCGTTCTAAAATTACAACAATTAACTTCACCGATTAAACATATAGTATACTCACTTTTTCGGCCGTGATGTATCCCACTATAGTGGGATTAATGAAGCCCGTGGTGCTTCCTATGCAGTTCATGATGCCGTACAAAGTACCGGCGAAGTTCGGCGAGAGATCCTGCGAGTTCTGCAGGTTGGTGAGGGTCGAGGCCCCGTTCAAACCGAGCGACATGGTTATCAAAACCATGGCCCAAGTCACGTTGCAGCCGGTTAGAGTTTGAACGAGCAATAGCACTCCCGGTAGAATGTGCGCTGTATGATGATAATAAAGCATTATTTATTTTATTCTGCGCTAGTTAGGAAATTGACTTACAGACGAGTACGAAGCTTTTTCGTATGGTGGTTTTTTGCATTAGGTTCCTCTTGATTATGTAGTCGCCTAGTTGCCCGAATATAATCCCGAAAACTAGTCGAGCTAGGTAGGGTAGGGCTGCTAGTACACCGGTATGACCTAGCGTGAAACCTAGTACAGTAGATAAGAAATTCGGTCCGGCTGTCATGAGGAAAAACAATCCCCAAAGGTTGCCGAAATGGAGGCAAATCAACGCCCAAAATGGCACGCACAAAAATATATCCTTATAAGGCGGAAGAGCCTGCAAACCATTCAATTTATTACCGTCTACAAACACACCCTTCAACCTACTTTAACTTTCGATATCCTCCCCTTCAAACTATCCACGATGTGCCTCTTCTCCTCCTCGGAGATCCTCGGGTGCTGCTCGGGCGAATCCGTCACGCAGAACCACCAGGACACCGTCCACGCGATGACCAAACTCCCCGAACTGAAGAACGCCCACGCCCAGCCGAATTTCTCGATGACGGCGCCCAGCAGGGGCCAGGTGATGATGGTGCCCAGCGAGCCGCCGAGCAGCGCCCCGATGAACTTGCCCTTCTCGTCGGGCGGCGCCCAGCGGGCCACCAAACAGTGCAAGCTCGGGAACACCATGCCCTGTGGAATCCCGACAACATCGAATGCATCTCTAATTGTTGTTTACTTCGCATCGAGAATCGTGCCGTGACGTTCGAACGATGCAATTATGCGTGAGTAATAAATAGTTTTATATGGCAAACGGAACGTTTTCCGTTGCGGGGATTTACTTACGCCTAACAATCCGACCAGGAATCTGGATATGATGAAGAGGGTGTAGTGCAGGGAGGCCGCCCAGGGGGCCAGCAGGGTGAGAAGGCCGCTGAGCAGGAACGAGACGGTCACGCATCTAGCAGGACCGAATTTTTCGGCCAAAGCCCCGCCGGGAATGCCGTTGAGGGTGAATCCCCAGAAGTAGGCGCTCAGGATCAGCCCTTGGAGCTTCTTGTCCCAATCGTACCTCGTGCCGTACTGAAAATATACCGATTTTATTAACCTCCGGATCGTTCTAAAAGATACCTATAATCCTTCTCTGATTGTATCATCAGCGTTATCGTTTACTATTGAATGGGTATTGTGAAAATTCTTACATCTGGCTGGGCGACTAGTGGAAGTGCGGTGGAGTTTTGCGTTGCTTGGGTTTGTTGGATTCGAATGCATTCGGGGACGGAGGATTCGTTACCGGCTTGGGGCTCCACCATTGCGAGCAGTATGATGGATAAGTTTATCCTTATCATGTAAAGGAACAGCGTGCAGGTGAAGCACATTACCCATATCGTGGCTCTGGTTGGAATGCAATCTGTTGAAAAATTATAAGTTTACTGAAGCCTATACAAGAAGGTATGTAAGTACTTACTTTTGATCGACCCGCGTTTCATTTTTTTAGCGCCAATTTCAATTTCGCATGCTAAATCTGCAATGAAGTTTATTCGATGAGAAATGGAGGTAACGGTCGTTTGGAGATCCGTTAGCTGAAAAATTTGCCAAAAGCTAAGGTCATGGAAACCTGATCGAGCGGATACATCGTAGAAATAAGCGTGTATTAGTTAGTTTTTAATTCGCGAGTAAACGCGAGCTGGAGTATTATTTTATCGTCGTTTGCATGGCTTTCTCTTGCTAGTTTGTAATTTCGGAATTCCTGCGTGAAACGCTAAACGACAGGCATAATGATCGGTTTCCTCCGCTGTGATTGCGACAATACCGATCGCGATTTTGTTGATATTCATCGATCAATGGTCATCGATTTCGGGCCGGATTGTATTCGGCATTATTTTAAAAAGAAGGTCACCCGTGAATTTCACTTTTCCTATCAATATGCGCGACGGATCGAATTTGATTTCAATAAAATAAATTCATTAAAATTTGCAATCCGGTATGTTCGATGTTTGATGTACTTTACATATACAATTAGTTTCGCTTCGTTATGTAAGTAAGTAATTAACGGGTATAACAACAATGTCAGGAGTATGAGAAATGTAGAAAAATCTGGTTTTTGATCGGCAAAAATGTTAATTTTAACAGTTTATTGAATAATTGTTTTTAAAAAAATGGTATGTAATAAAAAATCAGCGTTCCATTGTATGTTTCATACGATTTTCCATAACACATTAAGATATCGTAATTTATGGTACTGAGAATAAAGTTTATTAGTACAATACTAAAATGTTAGGTTTGCAAAACATAACAATAAAAAACCGTTATGCAATTAATGTAATTGTAAATTCTCCCGTGTTCCTTTAAAGCCATTTCAATTCAACATTTACGTAGTTAACAAATTTAATTAAAACAACATACAGGTGCCTTATCAAAACGCCTATATTAATTTATTGACTGATGTTTAAACTTTCAATTCGAAATTGCATTGTTTACTTGACGATTCAAAAACATACCCATAACAGTAATATTATAAAATAACCTTGTGTTAAATCGGGTGTTTGTTTTGGCTTTACAGTTGTTGCTTTTACCTATGATATAAAAAGCTCATTAAAATTCGATTTATGGAATCAACTTAATTAGTCTTATGATAGAGGATTTAGTGAAGTTACCTAATACAAAAATAGCTGATGAAAGTAGATTTTACTATTCGAGATAAATCTGCATTCTAAAGAAGTAAAAACCCATTGAGAAATATACACTTGCCTTACCTAGATACCAGTAGATAAAATATTTTAAACTTTATTAGAGAAGCTTGATTAAGAAATTATCGCACAAGTAATTCAGATTTAATAACACCTTTTTAATTCTATCATGCCATTAAAACTGCAGAATATTTCACCATATTTATTCTAATACATTTTACAAAAATATTTCAAATATTACCAATGAATAATTCCATAAAAATTAGTTTATGCGAGTACGTGAGGTACAAACATAACGATTTATTTGAAATCTGCACTGATTCATTAATTAATAAACCAGAAATTATTTCACTTACCCTTGTGAAAATCGCGCTAAAATATCAAAGTACCATCCTCATGGTCACCGCACTCACAATTACGTATACAATATTATAGTTAATATGTAACTAATTGTACACTAATGTTGTTTGGATATTTTTCTGTAGGTTTAGCGAGCAACTCGACCGCTTATGCGTGTATTTCTTGCAAAACTCTAAACGCAGGAGGCCGCGAGAGTACCGCCAGTACCACCGTAATTCCATCTCTACTTTTTTTTATTAGCCGCAAATTTAATCAGTAATTTAACTTAATGGTAGGTACTAATTGTGAGCCATTTGTCTTGGACAATTATATTATCTGAAGTGATAAGCTTATTTTATTATTGTAGGTACTATTTATAATTGGGCGTTATCCTGCGTTATTTATCAAACAAATCCAAACCGAGTAAAATTTCTATCAAATTAAAATGAAGTAAATCAAGGTATTTTATGAATTAAAAAAATGCGCGCTAATAATAGATAGGCAACAACTTTTACATAAAAAATTTCATGGTGTTGGTTAACTTGTTTTATGTTGTATGCCTGTATTGACTTTTGACGTACGTCATTATTGTCAATAATTGTGCATTTCGTGGTTTAATCATTAAACGTCAAAATAATATACATTTATCTAATTTTTGTGCATAAATTTTGAAGATATCGCAATTTTTTGAATACTACCCGCAATTTTATTCATCGAAACCCAATAATATTATGTTAATTATCGAACAAACCACCAATATCGGCTGATAACACAATGTGAATCCGAAATTTTTGTTCGTGACGTATGAAAATGCAAGAAACATGATAGAAATTTTGCAAATGTTCTTGTTCTTGTTCAAATCCAAATACCGACGAAAATGCTGCTTTAGGAGGTTCTTAATTTGCGCTCTAGTGCTTCTCGGTGCCGTTTCTTTAGTCTCCAACGCGTCGACGAAATGCAACAGCACCAATTGCAGTGGCAATGGACTTTGCAAAAACGATACTTGCGTTTGTTTCGACGGCTGGCAGGGGCCCCAGTGCCAGTTTTGCGGCGGAAAAGTCAGGTAATTTTCACCCCAAATAAACCGCTTTTCGTTTACCCAAAATCCGCAATAACCCAACGAACGGCCCACTTTCCTCATTCTCAATGCCATAACTGTAAATCCAAACCGATTTCAGACTCGGCAACAAATCCGGAACGATACACGACGGCTTGGGCAACTACTCGTTGACGAGCAAATGCAGCTGGCTCATCGACGCCCCCAACACCACCATCACCCTTCACATCGAGGAATTCGCCACCGAATGCGGCTGGGATCACCTGTACATCTTCGACGGCGACAGCGTCGAATCGCCGCTGCTCGCCGTCCTCAGCGGCCTCATGTACAAAGACTCCTACAACATCCGACGAATACCCGAGGTAGTCGCCCATTCGGGCGCCGCCTTGATTCACTTCTTCAGCGACGACGCTTACAACATGTCCGGCTTTAACGTCACCTACAGATTAAACGCTTGTCCATCTACAGTTAGTAGTTAGAACTATCGTTTGTACGTAGAACTAATTTCTCGTTTATTTCGATGTAGGTGTCTGGGGTGAATTGCTCGGGGCACGGGATTTGCATCGAGGGTTTGTGCACGTGCGACGGGCATTGGGACGGCGCCGCCTGCCATTTGGAGAAGTGCCCCGGCAACTGCGGGGCTTCGGAGGATAGGGGGATTTGCGAGCCGGAGAAGGGATGCTCGTGCATCGGTAATTACAAAGGGGAAGATTGCAGCCAATTAGCCAACGAAGGGTACTGGGAGACAGTTAACTATCATGGTTTCACACCGCCCGGTTCGGCCTCTCACGGAGCGGCCGTATGGCGAGATTCCATGTACGTGATAGCCGGGGAGAGTTACAACAGAGGCAACCTGCTCTCCGTCTACGATTTCAACGGTAAATCCATTTCGATAACATCTAAAGTTTGTAAACGATTCGTTTCGTTTTAGGTAACGTATGGGAAACTCCGCATATCTTGGAAGAACCGACGCTCCGGTACGGACATTCTACGGTGTTGTACGGCGATAAAATATTTTTGTACGGCGGAGTGGTGGGTAACAGAGGCCCCACATCCGAATTGTGGGCGTTCGATATCAGCGCCAAAACGTGGGAGAATATCACCGTCAAAGCCGATTCGTGCAACGATAGTTACATCATGTGCGGCCCGTTGAAATCGGCCGGTCACACGGCCACCATAGTAAACAACAACATCAACAAAAAAGTCGATAGGATGATCGTGATATTCGGCCACTCGCCGCGTTTGGGCTACTTGAACACCGTGCAGGAATACTATTTCGGTACGAGAGAATGGCACATCGTCAACACGCAGGGTTATCCGGTGAAAGGCGGTTACGGTCACACGGCCGCTTGGGATCCGCTCACCGCGAAGATATACGTCTACGGCGGCGTGATATCGGAGAGCGAATCCTCGCAATTTCTGAGCAAAAACCTCTATTCGTACGAGCCCAACGAACGGATGTGGACGCTGCTCGCGGACGCCCCGTCCGCCAGGTACCTCCACACGTCCACGTTCGTATCGGCCGGTTTGATGTTGGTGTTCGGCGGGAACACTCACAACGATACTTCGCACAGTTTAGGAGCGAAATGCTACAGCAACGAGCTCCTGGCGTACGACGTTCTGTGCGACACGTGGCACGTTATGAACGTACCCAAGGATTTGCATACCGATCTATCCAGATTCGGCCATTCGGCCGTCGTATTCGCCGATTCGTTGTACGTTTACGGCGGCTTCGACGGGCAAATGTTGTCCGATATGCTGAAATACACGGCGGGCGATTGCAGATTACCCAACGAATCGGCCTGTTTGAACAGCAAAGCCGGCGTTAAGTGCGTATGGGATTCCAAATCTAGCCTTTGTACGCCGGTACTGCGCGTTCCGAAAGATCTAGTGTTGAAAAAGGAAGAGAGCCACATCATCAAATGTCCGAAACTCAACCGTTCTACAGCCACATCGACTATCATTCGCAACGAGTTGCGATGCGAGGAAATGGAGGATTGTTTGAGTTGCTTGCACACCACCAACGGTTGCGTGTGGTGCGGCAGCGCGTGCATTCATTCTTCGAAGAAATGCCCCAAGGGTACGACGGGCAACTCGACGGAATTCCACCCGTCGGGCAAGTTCCAAGCGCCGTGCCCGTCGCCCGATCCGACGCCCGTCTGTCGCCAGTTGCACACCTGCAAGGCGTGCACCTCGCAACCCTCTTGCAGATGGCGCTTCGAGCACGCCAAGTGCGTACCCCACGCCTACTCGAACGCCACCGCCGGTGGTTCGGCCGAGGCGCTCGAACAGAACCAATGCCAGAGCGTCTGTTCGGAGTTCAACTCGTGCCTGAACTGCACGACGGAGGAGTGCATCTGGTGCCAGAACGAGGGCCGGTGCGTCGACAAGAACGCCTACACGTCGAGCTTCCCCTACGGCCAATGCAGAGAGTGGACCACCGTGCAGACGAAGTGCCGCACGCGCGGCCTCGACGAGCACTCCCAATGCGGCTTCTACAAGACCTGCGCGAAGTGCCGCGACGATCCGGCGTGCGGATGGTGCGACGACGGGTCCAAAACCGGACTGGGCGCTTGCATGCCCGGCGGAAACAGAGGTGAAACCACCACTACACTACTCACTATACGACTCTTTTCTAAGCGATTATTTTGTTAGGTCCTACGTTGCATACGCAATCGTTGCCGTCGTCGACGTGCCCGCCGGAGCGTTGGCACTTCACCAACTGTCCGCAGTGCCAGTGCAACGGGCACGCCAGCTGCAGGGCGAACACGAGCACGTGCTCGAATTGCGGCGATCTGACGACGGGGCCGCGGTGCGAGCACTGCGTGAAAAGCTACTGGGGCAATCCGGTGAACGGGGGCAAGTGCGCGCCGTGCCAATGCAACCGACAGGCGGAGGATTGTCACAGGGAGACGGGGAAATGTTATTGCACGACCAAAGGGATCGTCGGCGATCAGTGCGAGAAGTGCGACACGGGGAATCACTATCATCCCGATCCGAACAATAAATCGTGCTATTGTAGGTCGATGTTCGAGCGAGTATCGCGAGAATTAATGTTTGTTTTTTGTAGATGAGTTGACGATCGATTACCAGTTCACGTTCAATCTATCGAAGAAGGAGGACAGGCATTACACTCAGATAAATTTCAGGAATTCTCCCATAAAGCCGGACATCGACGCCGATTTTCTCATCACCTGTTCGGTGTTGGCGAAAATGAACATAACGGTGCGGACGGAGAACTCCGAAGAGAAGCCGATTTTCGAGAATACGAATTGCACCACGTTCCGTTCGAAGTTCTTCAAATCGCAGTACAAATTCGGCGCCGAAGAGAACGTCAGCCTGACGACGTTCTACGTGTACGTGTACGATTTCCAAACGCCCCTTTGGATACAGATCTCCTTCAGCCAGTATCCCAAGTTGAATTTGCAGCAGTTTTTCATCACGTTTTCATCGTAAGCGCCCCCTTCGCTCGTCTCGCGCAACTTTACCACTACGCCGAAAAATTAATCGTTCCGTTCCAGGTGCTTCCTCCTGCTGTTGCTGGTCGCCGCCGTCCTGTGGAAGATCAAGCAGCGCTACGACATGTACCGCCGTCGGCAGCGGCTCTTCGTCGAAATGGAACAGATGGCGTCGCGACCGTTCTCCCAGGTGCTGGTCGAATTGGAGGTCAAAGAGACTGTAGACTTGAAAAACGGACTGACGGCCGGCGAGGCGAAGCGCAAGAAACGGGACGCGCCCAGCCCCATCGCCTTGGAGCCCTGCTACGGGAATCGAGCGGCCGTGCTCAGCCTGCTCGTCAGGCTGCCCACCGGTAGGTTTAATTTAAATACACCTTAAAGGTACCTTAAGCGCTGCTGTACTAGCCAGAATACAACAAAAGAATGCCAATGCTTTGGGGGGTTAAAATGAAAATGTAATACCGATTGGAGCCGATAGATGGCGCTAGTCGACACGGTCGGTAATGAAGGGATCTTGCTTACAATGAAGTTGACAGTTGACGTTTGATTCATTTAAATTTTAATTTGGTTTATATTTAATCTGAAATAATTTGTTTATGAATAAAACAATTTAATAGTAACATTCGCAACGCAAATAGAACTCTAAAATTAATCTTTAAAATAGAATCACACTTTAAAGTCAACTTTTCCGTTCAAACGTCAACTGAAAAATGACTACTCGAAAAAGTAAAAAATCTACAAAAGTAAGGCCAGTTTTTAACAAGGTTTAATCAACATTCAACGAAACACAAATTTCCCGTAAATTGTCTGGTAGTTTCCTCTAGGCGTGCGAATTGGAAATACAAAGTGATTTGAATGAAATAATCTGCAAGAAACATCAATATTGGGTAAGTAGGCTTTGAATTTGAACACAACTATACACTTGTAGGATTGTCTTTTGGACTGTTTTGTTGGTAATTGCAGCGCTTAAAGTACCGTGCGACTTTTTGGATTTGCATCGATTGTTTATTCGTTTGTAATTTAAAGATTATTGTAAAGGTGGCGAGCCTTATACAGTGAAAGGCCAGTCGGCCGGTTTGGCCATAGCGAGCGCTTTGGTGACGTTGGGGAATCCCCGGAAGATTAGCATAGACCAAGTGAAGGCGGATGCCAAAGGCGGGAAGATTCGCAAGTCGCAGAGCCAGCATCCGGACAGTTGCCTGTGAACGGGTTCCGTTTGGATTTGTTTGATTTTTTCTAATTGGTTCGTTTTGTTTAGTTTCGATGAAAGAAAAAAAAAGGGCGATGCGAAAGTAGTACAGGGTAGGATCCATGTCTTGCAAATGTTCACGGACATCGAATGGTAATGGCCTCGTCTAAGAGGGATAGCAAGCGATTTAGATTATTATGTATAAGGCTATTTATTTGTATGTTAAGAGGATCTATCGGGGAAGCAGGGGCGTGTATATTTTTTTACATTTTAACTCGAAAAAAAAATAGTATTAAGCTTTAATTTTAATCGAATGTTGTTTTAGAAGTCGCTTCGGAAAGTTTGTTAAGTGAAATGTTGCCAAAATTACTGCGAAGACTGCTTGTTGATTTGTTTTGCTATCTTTCTTCGACCGTGGGCTACTCGATTTCAGTTTCGAATAGAAGTAATCGAATAAAAATTTCCTCCGTCTTGTTTCGAGGATTTCGAGATCGATTTTCCGCGTAATTCTCTTAAACAATGATTGACAATAATTTGTATTTGACGTATTAATAGTGTTTAATTTTTTTTATTGTGTAATTTTAACTTGTCTCGAACAGAAATTGTTTTTTTTTTGGTGCTTTTGATGTTTCAATGCGGGACGTTGAGATGCTCTTGATATTATATACTTTATTGGATCTCGAGTTTCTTGAATATTACACGTTAGTAAGAAATGATTCTTTAATAATTAATTAATTATATTGACTATTTACCAGTTTAATGTGTATACTACTATGACGAGTGTTTAATGAAAAATGTTACAAATTTGCTAAAAAAGACACTTTTTTTATGAAATTCTCAACACTTCTTGTTCAATACTCGTTTTATATAAAGTGTTTTTTGTATGTGACCTAAGTATAGTTAAAAATTAAATTGTCCTAGCGTTTTAGAGTTCGAATGTGATAAAATGAAATAAACTTTTGTAATAGGTCAAACGTATAATTTCAGAGCTTTTCAGAAAAAAAAATATCTTAACTTCAAAAGTAGTTATGTATACCGCATGTGATTTTCTACATGGTATTTTATGGATGTTTAAAAGTCTGCTTTTTTTTTTAATATCGACAATAAGTTGTAAACATGGAGTCATTCCCGAACATTATTAAATTCATCAGACGTGTATTTATAAAGAGTACGAATCAAAATTAATGGAACGTTTAATGAGGAACAAGAAATAAATTTTTAAGTTCATTGGAACGATAACAAAATTGTATGTTTTGATTTATCGTTCTGCATATTTATCGACCTTTTGAGTTTTAACAATCACTCTTTACTTTATCCGATTTACAAGTAAATGCATGTGAATTTCAATTTGCGACAGAGATTTTTTTGTTTGTAAATAGTTTAGCTTAGCTTTCGCTTTTTTTTTCAACGCTGATTTAGTTTCGATATAGTTCATGTTTGCGAGACTGAGTTTATTCACCCCCATAATATCATTTTCTTCATATTCTTCATCGTATTGTTTTATATTGTAGGGATTCCAAGGTATTTGAAGTATGATATTCTAATTACAGTAGAGGAGAGGAGTATTTTTATGTAGTGATTGGTGAAATTTTTCCATTTCCTATTAAGATATTGGAATATCATGCTATTTTTTTTATTCCGACTACACACGATACATTGCTTTTGTATTGAGAATGTATTTTTCATCGCTAAATTGCGTTGTAATAAACGAATTGAATTTTCGATTCGAAAGCAATTTCGTTGCCTAGTTCTATAATTTTACTATATGGTGTGCATTTAATTTTTTTCTATCCCGTTTTAAGTGTAAATACGATTGGTAAGAGGGTCAATATTTTGTTACTGTACTGAATTTTGTGTAACCTAGTCTTCATTTCCCGTTTTTTACGTCTCATGATCTCATCACATCACGTTATTTTTTTTTGTACCAATCATTAGAAGAAGCTTCCCATCAATTGCGAACGTTTATCTAATGATTGGTAATCTATATTTTTTCGGAACAATGTAGTAGTTATTGCGTTTCAACTTTTATACCTGCGTTATTTTTTAATCTGTTTAACATTTTTTTTTTACTGCCATGTATCTAAATCCATTACGTCTGTTGTAAATATATTAATTTTACCTATGTGCTGTTTCGCAAATGCCACCTTTGTACGACCGAATTAATTCGACATGTTTTTCCTATTTTAAAACGGATTTTATGGAGTTAACGGTAGCGCTACCTTCGCTAAAGATAACAAAATTCTCGGGATTAACCGACCGCGAATCACCCAATTAATATCGACGCACCTAACGCATCGATAACGTGTAATTTCTATTTCTATTTACCCACGTATCGTGCAAGATACGCGCTCTAATCTTCGCCTTATCTAATCCTGCAAATTCGATCTACTTTCGATTATTTATCAATCGAACGGTGGGTTTTCGTTCGTATCGAATGCGAAGTTTTTCCTCAAAAAAAAATGAAAGTAAGTGTGTATTAACTCGCCTCGTTTACAGCGTAATTTTTCGTTTTTATACCATTCAGGCCAGTTCCAGTGTCGAGGATTTAAAAAAATCGGTGAACATCCGCGCGTTGATCTCCGCTTACGAGAACATCTCCTCGGAACACCAGATCAAAAGACCCAGGGCGAATTCGCTGGGAAACGCCTTAAACAACGACGTAGTAGTTAGAGAAACCACCATCAGAACGTTAGACGATGCTTACAGAGTTTTGGACGTGGTCGAGCGCCGTTTGCAGCAATACGAAATCTACAACAAGGAGAAACACGTCGCCATACAGGAGGAGCTCTTCAACACGCTGACCAGCATCATTAACATCGACAACGACGATCCCGAAGAGGCTAAAGCGTTGATACAACGCACCAAGGACTACGTGTCGTTTTTGAACACGAAATTACCGTCGAACAAAAACGGATCGAGCGTTTACGCAGATCGCCTGGCGACGACAAACTCTTCCAAACCGGTACAAGATGATGAAATCGACGCAGCGAAATCTGGATCAACCGTGAGGCGTTTGAAAGAAAGATTCCAAGTCGCCGAAACTCAAACCAAACAACGTTTTCCTCCACCCAAGAAGGCGCCTCTTCCAAACAAAAACCAGATAGCAGTTGAAGTTGTTACAACACAAAACGATACAATTAACCTTAACCAACGCAATACATTCACCTCCCGTTTCCCTCCACTCAACAAGGCGCCTCTACCAAACAACAACAAGTTAGATGAAGATGTTACAACACAAAACCTTCGACCAGAAACATTCAAACAACCCGATAACAACGAAGAAAGGTACTCGGTGTCGGTGTTGAAATTGAAGAGCATCTTCGAGAGCAAGTCGAAGGAAAACGCCGAAGGGTTGCCGTTGATATTGACCCAACCGCTATCGCGAAGTGTTTACGAGTTGAACGTAATGGAGGCGCGTTCGGACCAAGCGCAGCAGATGGAAGTGTCCAGTTACTTGGAGACGAAGGCGGTGGAAGTGGAAAACTTGCAGGAGGTTTCGGTGGAGGCCAATCGGTTGCTTGGCATTTTGAAGAAGGAATGGGGTTCGATGGAGTTTAATTATGTTTCGTATGATGATAGTAAGAATGATGCGAACGGTTATGGTGGTGGTGATGATGTGAAGAAATTGGAGTATTTAGACGAGAATGGTAATGAAGACGAAGGGGAGCGGTATGTGGAAGAAGTTTTAGAGGATATTGAAGAGAATGTCGATGAGGAGTCTTATTCTAGCAGTGCAATTACAGAAAATGATCAGGTAGATAACACGGAGATGGTAATGTCTAATCAGTAGGTACTTTTATGTGAAAATAAGGAGGTTATAAATAGTTGTACATAAAAAAACAAAATATAACTTTTATATTATTTATTGGTGCCTTATATCATACAACATTTTCATACATACATAATCATTTTACAACCTACTGTTTCATAACAAAATAATTGGCATTTCGAGAAAGAAGAGATCAAAGGGCTGCTTTGATGGTAAGTACGTGTCTCTGAAATTCCCTTCGTTCCCCAACTTCTCATACATATACAATATATAATATATAACGGAATCATACAACTCTAATATTCAAAAAACGAAAATAAAAAATTAATAAAAGTTTAATATTCGCATTTTTAGTTGGTTTTTTTTTGTGTATTGCGACGTAAAACAACAGTTCGTTAGAGGATTTTATAAACACAGCGCTGTTACCCATCACTCGAAATCAGGTGCTAGGTCGAATCTCGGGGGGAATGGGCCGCCGAGTGCGTCTCCCATTCCGAAAGTGGGGCGCTGTTTTTGGGGCTAAAAAAAATAACAAAAAACCATTAAACTAAAATTCAAAAGTCGAAATATTAGTAAGTGTGTATGTAAAGAGAGCATTGTCCAAATTTGCCCGTCGGTGTAACAGTTCAAATAGTCCATTTATTTGATATTCGTGTAACCATGCAGGATATTACATCCTTATAGTTAATTTAATCTACCAAAAAGTAAGACGAATACGCCTAACGCAGGAGGAATTATAAATTACATAAGGAAAACTAAGAGAAAATTAAAAACGAACAAGGGACATTGATATCAAAACTTACTATTGAACTATGACGTTATTCCAAAGAAATGGGTAAACGTGATGCCGCTTGCGGTTTCTGCGGCTTTAAAGAAAAATCGTTTTTAAAATTTCGCGTCTCTACCACCAATCCTAACCCGCTATAATTAATAAACGACTAGTAAGAAAGTAAACTTACCGCCGGGCTCATTCCTCTAGCCGCCGATCCTGAGCGTCCTTTGGCGCGGAATTTGGCGATGGCTTGCTCGGCGAGGTCGGCTCTCTCCTCGGCCTCTTCGAGTTCCTGTTGCGCCTTGCGGAATTTGGCCAAATTCAATGCGGCGATCTCCTCCGCCTCTTCGATCTGCCTCTTGTACGTCTTGATCTTCTGTTGCAGTTTGTCGACGAGGTCCTGCATTCTCTCGTGGTTCTTGCGGTCCTCTTCCGCCTGGAAGCTGAGCTCCTTGATGCGACGCTCCGACTTCCTCAGGTTCTTCTGGGCGTCCGCGTGCCGCCTTTGTTCGCCGTCCAATTCGTTCTCCAATTCTCTGACGCGCTGCTCCAGCTTGGCGATGGCCTTCTTGCCGCCTTTGAGGGCGTTCGCCTCGGCCTCGTCCAAGCGCACTTGGAGGTCCTTGATCTGGGCCTCGAGCGCCTTGCGGAGTTTCTCTTGGTTTTGGGCGTGGTCTTGTTCGGCGCGCAGCTCGTCGGCCAGACGGGCGGCGTCCACCATGGCCTTCTTGGCCTTCTCCTCGGAGTTCTTGGCCTCGTTGAGGAGCTCGTCGAGGTCGGAGTGCAACGTTTGCAGTTCGGTTTCGAGTTTCCTCTTGGCGGCGGAGAGCGAGGCGTTTTGGGCGCCGAGGTCGTTGAGTTGCTCGTGGGCGTCGCCCAGTTCCTGTTCGGCTTGGCGACGGGCGCGGTCGGCCTGTTCGAGAAGGGTGCGCGACTCTTCGAGCTCGTTCTGCAAGGCGTTGGCGCGACGCTCGGAGATGCCGAGCTGTTCGCGGGCCTCGTCGCGCGCTCTCTGTTCTTCCTCGAGGGCGGTCTGGGTGTCCTTGAGTTGTTGTTGGTAGCGTTTGATGGTCTTTTGGGCTTCGGCGTTAGCCTGCAAAGGGTAACGAAATTAGTTGAAATTTACAATTCAAATAACGTATTTTATAGTTTACTTTGTTAGCGTGGTCCAAAGCGATTTCCAATTCGTTGATGTCGGCTTCCAACTTCTTCTTCATGCGCAGCGCCTCAGCCTTGCCTTTGGCTTCGGCTTCGAGGGAGGCTTGCATGGAGTCGAGGGCGCGCTGGTGGTTCTTGCGGGTGTTTTCGAATTCCTCTTCCTTCTCTTGGATGCGTCTGTCGATTTCTTGACGGACTTGGGAGAGTTCCAATTGGCTGCGGAGAACCTTGTTCTCTTCCTGTTCGAGGGCGGCCTCGGCCTCTTCGAGGGCGGCTTGGAGTTCGTCCTTCTCGGCTTCCAAGCGCTTCCTGGCCTTTTCGATTTCGTGAATGTTGCGACCGCCTTCGCCGATTTGGTCGAGGAGATCCTTGACTTCGTCGGCGAGGTTCTTGTTCTCGCGACGGACGGCCTCGAGCTGTTCCTGGCCCTCTTCGTAGGCTCCTTTGAGTCTGAACAATTCGGTGGAGTAGTTCCTGCATTCCTTCTGGCTGGCGTCGAGCTCGGCGGCCAAATCGTCGACCTTGAGCTTCCATTCGCCGATGATCTTGTCGAAGGCCTTCTGTTTCTTCTCGGCGGCGTTGGCGATGGCGTTGGCGCGGTCGACTTCGAGTTGCAGATCCTCGACTTCGGTGGCCAAACGTTGCTTGGTCTTCTCCAAAGCGACAACCTTCTGGTTGAGCGATTCGATGGTCTCTTCGGCTTCGGCGAGACGGGCTTGGAGCTTCCTCTTGGCTTCTTCGAGCTCCTCGGAGCGGGCCACACCCTCGGATTCGTACTTCTGTCTCCACAATTGCGCCTCGGCGTTGGCCTTGCTGAGTTGACGTTGGATGTCGGCCTTGGCTTCGGCCTCTTCTTCGACCTGTTCGCGGATGTTGTCCAAGTCGTGCTCGAGGTTGCGGAACTTGCCGAGCAACGTGGCGCGTTCCCTGCTCTCTTCGTCGGCCAATCGCTTGGTGTCTTCGAGCTGGGTGGTCAGCGACACCTTGATCTTGCTCAATTGCGACACCTGCGATTCGGCTTCCTCCAATTGCCTGAGGAGGTCGGAGTTTTCGATCGACAGCTTCTTCTTGGCGGCGTCGAAGTCGTTGAGAGTGCGGTTGGTCTCGTCGAGTTTGCCTTGCACGTCGTTGAGCTGTTGTCCCAGTTGTTTCGATACCTTTTCGATTGCGGCCTAAACGATTGAATGGAGTGTTAATTTTAGGTTTGTACGTTTTAGGATGTTAACGAAAAAAGCGACATTAAAGTTAAACAGGTCGGGTATTAATTAGCTGTTTAAAAAGTTGAGTGTTTGAAGCTGCGGTTTGTAAGACAAAGGTGCTAAAAACATGTATTATATATACATTTTGGTGAATGTATGGAAGCTTTATAAATATTTTTTTTTGTAATTTTCTAAACGAATAATAGCCAATAGTAATTAAGCGAAGAGCGGATGAAGTTTTCAGCGTCCTTTGTATATACCTTTTCGTTGGCCAAATGGTCGACAGAGGCGCGAAGGTCATTGAGTTCACCGAAGTATTGAGCCTTCTCTTTTTCAGCCCTTTAATTCAAAACAATAAACAGACTTAACACAAACGTATACGAGGGTCGGGTGAAGATGCGGGTCGAAATAAAAAAAAAATACCAAGGGGGTCAAATCGACAAGTACAAGAGTCACCATTTCATCGGCATAAAATATTTTCATAATGCACCAGTTCGAGCAAATTCGCACTGGCGTGTATGCATAAATAATTTGTACCGATGAACGCGAAAACCCAACGACTTTTGTACCTTTTCTCGTCCAACTTGCTCTACAGCACCACGAGTTTGTTGAAGTTCTGAATAAATATTTGCACGGTCTCTCTCAGCCCTATGGGTCACAAATATTATAATTAACATCTTACCCAAACAATATCTTTTACACTGTTCTAAATAAGTAGGACTTTCGAATGAGAAGTGATTAATTATAAAACAAAATGTATCTTACTTGGCTTTGAGCTTGTTGAGCTGGTCGATTTGCTCGCCCATTTCGGACACGGCATCGTTGTGCTTCTTGCGCAAATTGGCGAGGGTGCCTTCGTGCTGGATGTTCGATTCTTCGAGGTCGCGTCTGAGCTTGGCCAGTTCGGCTTCGCGCTTCTTGTTGAGCTCGATCTGAGCCGACGTGGCGCCGCCGGCCTCCTCCAAGCGCTCGCCGAGCTCTTCGAGCTCGCGCGCCAAATCGGCGCGCTGCTTCTCGGCCTTGGCGCGCGCCTGTCGCTCGGCTTCCACCTCCTCTTCGAGCTCCTCGATGCGGGCCTGCAGCTCCTTGACCTGCTTCTGTTGCTTACCCACGACGGACTGTTCGTCCTCGAGCTTGGCGGTCAGCGAGGAGATCTCCTTGTCCTTGCGCTGGATGGTCTGTTCGAGCTCCTTCTTGTTGCGCTCCAAGTCGGCGACGGCTTCCTGGGTGAGCTTGAGGTCGCCTTCCACCTTGCGCTTGGACTTCTCGACGTCGCCGCGGAGTTTCTTCTCGCGCTCGAGCGAGTCCTCGAGCTCGTCGAGGGTCTGTTCGAGCTTGGCCTTCACCTTGTTGAGGTGGTTGACTTTGTCTTCGGCCGCTTGGAGTTCCTCCGACACCTTCTGGTTGTTCTCGCCGGAGAGTTTCTTCTCCTTGTTGAGCTTGTTGATGAGCTCGTCCTGGTGGGCGATCTCGTCGTTCAAGTTCCTGATTTGGTGGTCTTTGGTCGCCTTGTCTTGCTCGGATTTCTGCAAGTTGAGCTCCAAGTCTTCGATGTCCTTCTTGTAGCCGGACACTTCTTGTTCGAGCTTCTTCTTTTGTTGCATCAGTTGGTTGCGGGCGTCCTCCTCTTGGCTCAATCGGTCTTGGGTTTCCTGGAATATTCGCGATTAAAATATATACACGCTAGACAAAACAAAAGTATCGAAGTAAAAACCCACAAGGTGCAAGCAATAAATTCACCTAACGGTTAATAAATTTCTCAACACCTTCGGTGTACCGATGAAAATTACTCGATCGTATACATCGATAAAATGCAGCGAATCTGGCACGATTCCAAATTATACCGAACACACCTACGATTATTAATTAAAGAAGTAAGTAAAAAAAAAACTGTACTTACGGAAAGTTGAGCTTCCAAATCGTTCTTTTGAGCCTGCAATTTGTTGGCCCTCTCCTGGGTCTCGGCCAGCGATCCCTTCTCGCCCTCCAAGTTGCTCAACAGATCGGTCTTCTCCGCCAGCAGCTTGGCGTAGAGGGCTTCCAGCTCCTTCTTGGCCTTCTCTTCGCGCTCGAACGCCTCCTGGGCCTTTTGGGCCTTCTCTTCCAATTTCTGCAAACGATCCTCCGGATTAGGGGCGATAGGGGCTTGTGGTTCGGCCATCGTGCGAACTGAGCGTTTCGGGACGGTGGAGGGTGCTCGTTGGTTAAGCGAGAGCCGCGTCCGGATAGAGACTGGAGAGTCGAGCGCCGAATGTATCGGGCACATGCGGGAGCGCGTGGGCCGAATGGGAGGACTCGATGAGAGATTAGAAAAGTATGCGGCGTTTCATAAATCCGATGACAGATTTAATGGAAGTCGGATTTTATATTTAGATTAATATAGGACAGGTAATTTTCGGTGCGGGCCGTAAAAATCGGTGTTTACGCGTTGTACCGTTTAATTCGGGTTAGATGAATACCGGGCGTGTTTATGAAAACGAAGCGAATGTTTGGAAAACGCGCTTTTTGGAAAATTCCGAGTAGAAAAGGACTGTAATTATTATTTTATGGGATTCCTTTAAGCGGACGGTTTATCAAAATAATCATTTCGTTTATTTTATTAGCAAACGTTTCGATTTTTGACGGATTGTTTATTGTGCATATCTCTAACCACTTCTGCGAACGTCTATTTTCGTTGTTCTTTTAATTGTTTCGAAAATATTATTATCGGTGATCGTTTCGATAGAATTTTTCGTGAGATGTTTTCAGCGCTTTTCGAAAATAAAACGCGTTGCGGGGGAGGCGAGAAGCGGGCGCGGGCTCGTTCCGAATTCGATTTTAATGCGAACAGCTGCCCGAAAAATCAAAATATTCCTATTAATTTTCGGAGGCAGGTGCAAACAGCGCATTACGCTATTTACCGGATCGCATTATAAATTAGTCGCTCGTTTTATATTTTTGGAAGCGCCGACGAAATTTTATCGGCGGTTTATGAATTACGAGTCGATTTTTTTTTCGTCCGAAAATAAGAAAATATTTATCAAACTGCATTTATATTTAACGAGTGCGCGAACTAAAATTACCAGCTGGTCCCCGATAATTTCGTTACCCGGAATTTATGCAACACGGATTGCATCAAAAGTGCACCAGAACCGGCTTTGCCATAAATTTTCCAAAACCAATTTACTAAGTAATGCTCGTTAATTCAATTTGATCATGTGGAAATTGGGTCAGATTCTATTTCTATTTTTACATAAATTTAACATTTTAGGAAAATTAAATTTAAAATTTTGACAGGTGACGTGTAAAGTCACTAATCAATCACAAAGCGAACGAGTTACATTGTGTCATTAATGTCATAAGAATTCGAAAGAAATGTTCGGAAGAGTAGAAGAAACGAACAAAAGTTAAATGTCAAATGACAGATGACATATCTAGGATTATGTTATTGTAATTTTGTTATTTGAAGTTTTTTTAGCCAAAAATAAACACTTTTTTAGAATACAACAAAGAACTTTCACAAAACTGTATGAAACAAGTTTTAACTACCTTCGTATGCAACATTTTAAAATTGTAGTTGATTTATTTGGAGGTTAAGTTTTTGTTTATATTAATTTGACAAGTTTAAAAAGTCAAAGTATACATTCGATGATGCCTCGATAATTGTGGACTTAATAGGAAACGGAAAAAATTAAAAATTTCTTCAATGACTTCATAAGAACACGTAGTTTTATAAAAAAAAATAAAAAAAATCATCCCCTTTTCCATTGCAAACAAATTTGCACTTTTTAAATTGATTTTGGAGATAAACAAAAAAAAATCGCGACTACTCACGGCGATCTCGTCCTCGATGCGGGTGACGTTGAGCAAGGGCCTGACCTTCTGCCAGAGCTTGTACCACGGCCACGTGCGCAGCTTGAGGTATTTGCGCAAGTTGCGCTGGCACACTTGCAGCGCCAATCGTTGCTCCTGCAGCTTCTTGAACTCCTTCCTGGAGAGGTAACCCCTGATCCAGGACTGCATCCAGGTGACGATCTTGCCGAGACGCTCGTCGCGCAGCTCCTCCATCTGACCCAACACTCCGGCGCGGAAGAACACCTGCGGATCGCGCACCATATCGTGATTGTTGGGTAGATTTTTTTTTTCGTGCAGTAATAATCGCGAATTATCCAGCGTTAATTTTTATTGGAAGCGTTTCGAAACGTTGCTGTATTATTATAGAATTCATCATGCACCAGATTATATCGAAAGTAAATTTAGAATTTAGTGATATACTATTTTTTTGTTTGTTTTGCAATATATGAGCCTGAAGCGATCAATTTGTATAGTAGTGCCGGAGCTGCTGCGAATTGTGAAAAATATCAAAGCGAAGCTATACAAACAATAGGGGTATTTAAAGGAGTTCTATACCTTGGTTTTACCCAATCTGTATTGCTCCGGATCAAGTTGGATATGCTCCAAAATGATTTGCGCCGTCTTTTCGGGCGTCTGGCCGGGTTTAACGGCGCTTGCGGCCAGAATTTTGTATCTGTTTCGCGCAAGAAAACAATGAAAAACAACAACAAATTACACAAAATGCAAACGGTGCGCGCCCGGTCCGTCTATCGACCGGGTCGTGAACGATTAGTCGTATAAAATGGCAGCGCTTAGAATGGAAACAAACATGCCTTCGTGTGGCCGAGACGGTACAATTCGGCGTCTAAACCGGAGGCGTCCAAAATAACGGCGGCGCATTTCTTGGGATCGCTCTCTTTGGCAACACCAGCCGGGTTAAGGATCTTGTAACTAAAGGGGTAACAAATCAAAAAAAAAAACAAATCCAAATGCTCTTACGCTACGATAAACAGTCATAAAACCTGTAGGAGTACAACTAACAAGCATGCTACTGTACAGTAGGAACCAATCACTTTCTGCACCTAAAAATTTATAACATCATGCACACTGGTACTAGTACTAGAATCATCATCATATACAAGGGACAACGATTACGCTGGTAAATCGGGTAAAAAACGCCGCTTGCCTTTGTGTGTCCCACACGGTAACTATCGGGATCTAAACCCACTTCCTCTAAACACTTCCTGGCCGCTTCCTTCGGATCCTTCTCCCTGGTCATCGTCGCCGGCGCCAGGATCATGTAGCTAGATACCAAATATACTTTTATCCACGATTGTTTCGTTAAACTAACACCCGCTCATCCACCTAATTCGAAACAATTAACTAATCGATCGATGATCTTACCGGAGCTTGAAGTCTGGGTAGACCATCCTGTTGGGGAAACCTTTGCGGCAAATACGGATACCTTCAAGTACACCGTTACAGGTGAGCTGGTGCATGACCAAGTGGGAGTCGATGACTCCGGGCTGCTTGAGCTCGTTGGGGATGATACAACGGACGAAGTGAGGCTGGGTGGATCTCAAGGTGGTCATCAAGTTGTTGAGTTGTTCCTGATTGAAAGTATTATCGCGTTTAAATGTAAAGTTTCAGCGAACTGATGCTGGTTAATTCGTTAATTCGTTTATTCGCTTTTAATAGAAGGGGATTTGAAGCTGCTTGGTTAACTTTTAATACGTTATGTAGATTTTAAGCGAATTATTGTAGGGTAAGAGGCAGTGTGTATTGTGCCTTGTTTTTGTAGGTATAATATACGATTTTCTAATCTACATCCATACTGTGTTCTGGTATGGTTTCCACACAAAAAGTGATTAACTACAAATAAATTTTTTGTATTTGTTTTTTTTAAATTGTCCAACACCTGCAATCGGTATGGCAATTTCCACACGTTGATTAAATTATTGTAAATTTCTTTTTAAACCGTTTAAACGTACCTTGTAGGCCGAAGATACAGTGGCAAAACCACCACCCTTCTTACCACGACCTAGTTTACAGCAAATAAAGCGATTTAGATTATATAAATAAAAAAAAATAGTGCATAGAGTATTAATAAATATACAAAATAAAATCGCGCAGGGATCAGATGTCCAATGGGAAACAGGATCGTACCGGGAATATTAATCGAGGTAGAAGTAAAAGTGACTAAGTAATCCAGAGCTGCGTCTAAAAGCAGTGTTCATTTACCCTGTATAAACTGGATACGGTTTGGAAAGCAGAACCCTTGGTTCTCTTTGCACCTAACATACGGGAACAAATCATTAAAATAATCTCGACTCGGGAAAATAATTCGACGGGTCTATCGAATCGAATATTCACCTTTTTCGGCGGCCCCGCCGGATTGTCCGGGGTGATCGGCGAAGATTTCGATGACCAAAGCGTTGGAACCTTTCTTGAACAAATCCACCACGGTGTCGTTCAAGGGGTCCTTGTTCTTCTCCAACCAACCGGTGATGTTGTAGGGTACCTAAAGGCAACCAATGATGCTTCATCTAGTGTCTACGGAAGAACCTGGGGGTATACTTACGTTACCGGCGTAGTGGCCCAAGGTGAAGTGGGCGGCGACCTGGCCGGGCTTGGGCGGCTTGGGCTTTTGGAAGTTGGGCGATTTGCCCAAGTGGTTGGTGTTCAATTTCTCCTCGAAAGTCTTGTCGGTGGCTTTCGGGAACATAGATTCTTCTTCAAGGATGGACAAGATACCCATAGGCTATACGGATTGATTATGTTTTAGAGCGTGATTATATTTTTTAGTAGTTGGAATAGTGTTGTTGAAAAATATTTATGATTTTAGAACTAAATTTTGATTTTTTATTGTCGTATAAAATTAGCAATCTATTCTAACACAAATATTTTTCTCAACTAATAAAATTATGTGAATAATAAATACAATACCTGTGTGTAGTGCATAGGATACGGTGCAATTTTAGAAAGCAACATTTAAGTGTTCTGTGCATATACTAATAGAGTGCTAATGAAAGTATACCTTTTCTATTAAATCAATACACGGTTGCAAATCCATACCGAAATCGATGAATTTCCACGTAATACCTTCCCGTTCGTATTCCTCCTGTTCCAATATGAACATGTGGTGATTGTAAAATTGTTGCATTTTTTCGTTGGAATAGTTTATGCACAGTTGCTCAAAGCCGTTGTACTGTAAGTAACACTGTTAGCCAAACATAAAAAGCAATTGATTTATACGCGATTTTCTAAAAAAATCGCAAAATCATTATAAACAAAAAAAACCAATACACAAAGTTAGCAGGCATTAATAAAGGGATCGGCGGGTTCGTAATTCAACCCGTTTTACAGTTCTGTACCTTCTCGATAAGTTCGATACAGGCCGCTAAGTCCATACCGAAATCGATAAAAGCCCATTCAATACCCTCCCTTTGGTATTCCTCTTGTTCGAGTACGAACATGTGATGGTTAAAGAACTGTTGCAATTTTTCGTTGGTAAAGTTGATACAAAGCTGCTCAAAGCCGTTGAACTATCCAAAACAAACACAAATAACTACTAAAGGACGTTTTGATTCGCATCCTGTACCACTGGTGGAATCAAAATAGGACGATTACAACTGACATGTAATTAACGAGACACATTTTTTTGGATTAATCAAACACGAATATCTACGACGGACACAATAGACGAATATTCGTGGACATTTAACACAGATATCGCAGCTGGAAGACACGACAACGCCGACGATCAAATTACCTTTTCGATCAATTCGATACAAGCGGCCAAGTCCATACCGAAATCGATGAAGGTCCATTCGATACCTTCGGTTTTGTACTCTTCTTGTTCGAGTACGAACATGTGGTGGTTAAAGAATTGTTGCAATTTTTCATTCGTAAAGTTAATACACAGTTGTTCAAAACCGTTGTACTAGACAGGACCAAACGACGACAGATTAATACAAAAAAAATAATTCTCCATCTCGAATCCTACAACGTTAGTACGCCGGAGCCTACCTTTTATGCGATGAGAGCGGGTTAATTTCGATAATAGAGCAATGGCAAAAGCGAACCTTTTCAATGAGCTCGATGCAAGCGGCCAAGTCCATCCCGAAATCGATGAACTCCCAGTGAATACCCTCTCTGGTGTACTCCTCTTGTTCCAGCACGAACATGTGATGGTTGAAGAATTGTTGCAATTTTTCGTTAGTAAAGTTAATGCAAAGCTGCTCGAAGCCGTTATACTAATCGAAAGGTATGTATTAATTGCGAGGTAAAAAATAAAAGCAGTGGGATTCGATAATAACTAAGCGAAGCTTTAACTAATTTTATAAATAAGAGGGTTGTTTCGAGATTTCCACCATAGGTATAGCTTAATAAGAGGTATCAGGTTTTTTGGTCAACTGCACAATGAATTCGTTGTAGATTTACAAGAAAACTTGTGGAATAATTGGTAAGAAATTTTCTCATAGAAGCAGAAATTAAAATTATTATTGAAGAATACATTGTATGTATAATCTTGATGAAGGAATTGGTGAAATTAACGAAAAGAACAAAACCAGATAAAATGAACAAAATCCAAATTGTATTAGGAATTTCAGATCTTCACCATAGTTAATCTCGATGAAGGAAGTAGTGAAATTAACGAAAAGAACAAAACTAGATAAAATGAACAAAATGTCCAAATTGTATTAGGAATTTCAGATCTTCACAATAGTTAATCCTGATGAAGGAAGTGGTGAAATTAAAAAAAAAGTTCATAGAATCTTCACCATAGATAAACTTGATAAGTGAAATGGAAAAAACTGCAGAAATACCTAAACACTAAATGAAACTGGAAATAGTATAATACATCAAATCTACTAAGAGACCTCATTGTGCAATTGTACCGAGCGAAACTTACGTCGAAGATTTCGAAACCGGCGATATCCAACACACCGATGAAGTGCTGTCTCTTCTGCTTGGTGTCCAGCGTCTCGTTACATTTCTTCACCAAGAACTTGAACAACCTGTCGAACATGGCCTTCGACATGGCGCCCACCGAGTACGATACTTGGTTGACGTTACGACCTTGCGTCACGAATTCGTTACCGACCTTGATCCTGGGCTTCACCAGAGCCTGGTAGAGCGCCGGAGCCTCCACTCCCAAGAGCTTGCTCACGCGCTCACCCTCCTGCGGAATTACATTAACAGTTAGCTCTGAGGGGTAGGTTGAGTTTGATTTATTTACCTCTGTACCATCGGGTTCGGCTTGTTCTTCGCGACCTCTTTGCTTGAACTTCATGCAACCCATGTGCATTACGGCGGCGGTGATTTTGTAGACGTTGTCTTTCTCTTCTTGGGTGAAACCAAGGATGTCGAAGGCTTCCTATATCATCGATAATATTGAATTAATACAGTGATTGAATTGAATGCTGGTCAACACGGAATTAGAGCTTTTTACATGTACAAAGGCGACTTACCAATACGGTTAGTGAAACTGTACAAAACGCTATATAAAAAAGCTGGATGTGTGAGTGATGAGAGTGATTTTTTCGAACACATTTTCGGGGATATATTTTTTTTAAACTTCTGTTCATGCGGTTCCAAGACGGGGACAGTACCGGAATCGATAAATACATCGTTACTTACATCAGTCAATGAAAATTCCTCACCATCATTTACATTAGGAATGGTGGTTTTCCCTTGGGCTACAGTATTATAATCATGGATATCGTTCGATAACAAGCATTGTTCTGTTACAAGGAATATAAAATTAATAATTATAACGATTCGAACAGTTTGTTTACTTGTGCTCGTGTGTGTAAATGTGTGATTAAAGCGAAATATATATATACAGCTGATACAAATGGTATGTAATATATACAGTGCGATTCTGAAGAGATATGCGTAGTGTTGAGTTGCTGCAAAAATATTGGTTAAAGTGGCTCAAAATCAGGGGAGCGAGCCGTGCCTAGAATAAACGTATATTTAAACAAATCGCGTGCGCAATTTGCACGCTCCCCGAAAACAGGGCGTACAAATATGAATCAGTTGCTTTACACATTGCTTACGTCGGTCGCGATCGATTCCCTGCTGTCATTTACACCAGGAATTCTGGTTTTGCCTTGGCAAATGTACGGATAATTCGATATTCGATTAGACAACATACATTGCTCTACAATCAGATAAACTAGTGATAGTTTACCGAATTAAAATTCGATTATTACTACGAAAAAGCAACAAACGTGCAATCTCTTTGATTCTGCATAATTATTGTTGCTTTTTCGTGTAGATACATTGATAGATGATACGGATATTATAGGCATCGTCGCACCGGATGAATATTTCGGTTTGTTAGTTTAGAACAAAACTACTGTAAATTAACGAAATTACAACACATAAACAACATTAATAACGTGAAGTGGCCTGTTCGAAGGCACTTACGTCGGTGATTCTCAATTCTTCAGCATCGTCCACGTTAGGAATGGTGGTTTTTCCCTGTGCAACGAAGTTGTACTCTTGGATGTTATTAGACAACAAACATTTATCTAAAGGACCAAAAAACGATATTTTTAAATAAGCCAATGTCTCGATCGTGACTTATTTTTTGATTGTCGTTCTACTCGCTACGCTATAATACAGGGATAAACGTTTCTACTGATTAAACTACATTTCGAAACAGAGACACATATGTTCCAGTGGGTGTCTTTTATTCCATCTTTTTTACCACCCACTTACGTCTGTCAATGCGAATTCTTCGCCATCGTCCATATTGGGCACCGTTATTTTCCCTTGGGATACGTAGTGATATTGGTAGATGTCATTCGACAATAAAGTCTTTTCTGCATACGACAATACGATATTTAACAATTAAACGTGTATCATGCAAACAAATATGTTTCATCGGAGAATAGTGTGGATAAATAAAATGTTGTATGTACGTTTCGATTATTCAATTTCGTGTAGTGATAAATTGTATGTGTAAATAGATAGAAAAATTACTTCACCTTTGACTCCGGCAACGGAACCAGACATGATCTGGTAGAAAATGTGGTAAGATCTTTCCAACGGCTGTTGGGAGATGACACGAGCTTTCTCCAGCAGATCTACGAACGAGCAACGTTAGTTAAAAACACTCGAATTAATACACCAATCAACTTACAAGTTTCGATATCAGCACCAGCCAATTTACCGGTGGGACCGAAGTGGATACGGATGAATTTACCCTGAAACACGTACATCAGTACAACGAAATCGATACAAGATATAAGTAAACTTACGAAACGAGAAGAGTTGTCGTTTCTCACGGTCTTGGCGTTACCGAACGCTTCCAGTACCGGATTGGTCTGAACGACCTGGTCCTCCAAGTTGCTCTTCTTCTGGGCCGGATCGGCGTCCTTCTTCGTCGAGGCACCGACGGTGGCGAAGTAGGCGATTACCTTCTTCGTGTTCTCAGTTTTACCAGCACCAGACTCACCGCTGTCGATCGAAAAATCTATCGTAAATACACACCAGCGCTAATCCGACTCTTACGAATACTTACGTAATCAACATAGATTGATTCTCGTGGTCTGTAAGAAGAGGAAAATTGTAAGATTAGTATATCTCGCTTTACTTGGAGTTGGAATTGGAACTTCGAGGTTCGTTGGAAGGTACTTACTGGTTAACATGTTGACGTAGGCTCCATCAGAAATGGCGAAAATGTGCGGCGGTACTTCGTTACGTCTTTTGCCTCTGTACAATTTGGCGCAGCGGTTGGTGTATACGGGGAAACGTTTGTAAGGGTTAATGGCGACACAGAAGAGACCTGAGTATGTCTACAAAAAAAAAAAGAAGAATCCTCCGGGTTATTTTTCTGTAATGACTCGGCGTAAAGAAGAAGAAAACGCAAAGAAGAAGAGATGAAAGAGCATGCACGAAAAATAGTATCCCGTTGTCTCGTTTCGTTTAGAAACGGGATGGAAATTAGAAAAAAATCCAAAAAAAAATAAAAACGCGTCCCACTGTCTATGTTCGTTTAGAGTTGGGAACGATGCGTATGGCGATAGAATTATGATAGATGAGATTCCCGCATTCAACGTTCCAATGTGAATTGGGAGAAAGTCGATGAGAAAAATCGATTTGCTTTGGCGGCGGTAATCCGGTTTGTCCAAAGACTTGAAGACTCGCAATGCTCTGCGCGGGCCGCCTCTGATCGAGGACCGCCCCCCAAAAAATCATCGACTTACGTAGATAAGCTTATTGTAATAACGTTGTTTTAAGTTATGGAGTACGGAAGCGTCGTTGAGGTAAGTCAAATTCGACATATCCTCGGCTTTTTCGTACTTGGGAGGGTTGACCTGAGTGACTTGATCCTTTTTGAATTGCTTCTCCTAATCGGGGGCGGGAAGAAAAAAAAAACCGGCATTAGAATCGTTTGTGGCTGGTACTTACGTAGATGAGTTTGGCGTAGTAACGTTGCTTTAAATTATGCAATACAGCGGCGTCGTTTAGGTACGTTAAATCGGCCATATCTTCGACTTTTTCGTATTTCGGAGGGTTGACTTGGTGAACGTTCTCTTTTTTTACTGTTCTTTCCTACTCTCATTAAAAAAACGATTAATACAAACACAAACGAGTTTAACAACTCGACTATTCATTGGTACTTCAGGATGAAAAAAATATATCGTAAGATAGGCGAGATAATGCGATATTATTACCTCTCCTCCGGGAACGCCGACGCTGACGAGGTCGCCCTTGGTCCCCTTGATTTCTCCAAGTACGAAACCTTCCTTCTCGTCCGGTACCCAGCACGTTTTCTTGGCATCGTAGGGCTTGGTCTGATCGATACGTTTCTGTTCGAGCGAAACGAACAAGTACGGAGTTGGATCGGGATCATCTCCATCCTGTTTCACCGGTTTAGGCATGGCGTACGGACTGTATCGGGGGCTATCGAGACACGTAAATCAGCCCTAGAGCCTTCCTGAAACGCAACAATTCCGTTATATAGTTTCCTCTGCAATTGGGAGGAATTTGGTTGATCTACGCAGCTGGTTTATTTTTAGATTGGTAAATTAACTCAAACTCGTGCTGTATTTAGTATCTGCGCTAAACAAGTTTGATAGTCGGCAGATGGGAGGGGTAATTGGATTTGATTCGATTTGGAGAATCGCGAAGCTTTCGGTTTAATATCGTTGAGAAGAAAAAAGTGATAGAAAATGTCTTTGATCCGAGCGCAAAGTATTTAATATTGGGTCACGGGCCGGGAGGAAAAACGGGAGGTTTGAGAAATTCGTAAAAGTATTCGAGATGATTTCTATTTCTATATTTAGGCAGGCAACGAAAATAGAATAGAATGTGGCACAGTGAGAGCGCCCGTAACGTAATCGAACGGTGTTCGATCCTTCGCTAAATATACACCCGAATTAAAAGTCCAAATATTTGGCAACGGTGCCACAATCGGGATTGTTACATAAATTCCCGATTAGCCCGATTCGCGCGCTGGACCAAATCGCGGGGGCCGGATTTTTTGCCATCATTGTTAATAAATTAGTACTACAAAATGTCATACTAGCACTTGTTAACAAATTCTAAACCATACGTTTTATGCACCGGTATACAACACCAACCACTCATCGAAATAAATCCAACGATAATTAATTAGTTAATGAATAGAAGAAAAAAAACCACATCGCACAATTGCTAGTATGACACGGAGTAATCGCACACTCGAATCTACCCGCGAGTACAGTCCCTGAGGGCGAGGCGACTATCGAAAAAGGATCGTGTATAAGAGGAGAAAAAAAAATTATGAGAAAAATCCTTCGAATTGGGGCACACACAATATGAGCGACAGACACACAGAACCAACGCACCGGTCACTTACGTTCGAAAGGCGATCTGGACGATAGAATCTACGTTACAGGGAATATAAATGTCTGATATCGAATCCCGAAACGTAACGGCTCGCCCGATTGGCGCTCACGCAGGACCAATCTTGGACGGCGTTACGTCGCGACGCTGGTCCCTTTTTTAGGCGCAACTTACAGCGGCGGGACGGCTGGAAATACATTCCACATGGCTTATTTTCGGGCGCGGGAATGGTGGGAGAAATTAGGTACATTCACCCAGTGCTTCGCATTAGATTGGCGACGTCGAACGGGGAAAATGCTTCCTAGATGATATATCTATACGGTTTTATTTTTCTATTTATTTTGCTATTTGCTTAGGGGTGAGTTTTAATCGAACGGGCAAATTCTAACCAGTCATGAAGACTATAATTATAAATATTAACATTAGTCGTTAGATCGAAATTTAAGGGTGAGTTGTATTGGGGATGGATTTATTTTGTCTATATGCAAATATCAATTATTTTACTTCCCCTTACGCAATTCTTTATACTACAAACCTTTCTAGTGCAAAATTGATGTAAATTATAATTGGGGATTTGGGGCAATAACAGTAGCAGATTATCCGCATGTTTAAAGTAGTGGAAAGATATATTTTTCTTTCAAAAATAGTCTCAAGTGAGTCACGGATCTCGAATTTTTCTGGTGGGTTTCGCACGTTTCGAAAATAGTAGAAAACGTTTTGCGGGTTAATTAATGAGAGTATTGTTCAATTTATTTATAAATTTTTATTTAAAAAAAATAACGGGCGATCTAAATTGGTAATGTTTGTTTTCGCGCAATTTTCTATAATTAAGTAAGTAAATAAATCATTAAAAGTCAATTTCAATGTTGGCTGGTTTCGTGGAGATATTTCGCGAATTTACAGAAACCAGTATTATGTTAATTTCCAAATTGAATATTAGATGAGGAGATTTGGCACCCTTCTATCGTTTCGTCTGTTTATAAGCCGTATAAATCGCTTCTTTACGAATTGAAAATACTTCATCAAGGAAAATCAACAAGTCGAAAATTTGATTCATTAATAATAAACGATTCGGATGTTTTACTGGTTTATCATGCAAATTAATTAAACGTAATAAACTTATAAATGCCGGGGATTGATAGTTTAAAATAGCGAGTTCATGTTCGTCTTATAAATGATAGTTATTAATATAGAAACGTTTGTTTATCTTTGTTTTTGTTCTAGTGATGTCTTAATAGCAACAATTATGCATTGTTTATCGAAATTTACTCAATGCCCTTGTATCCCAGGTAATGTTCCCGCATAAATGAGAAATTCGAGAAAGTGGTATATTTACTAATATTTCACAAAAGCAATTATTTTTCATTTTGGCTATTTTCCTAAACGCGATCGTTAAATTAATAAATAACGTTCACTTGAAATGACGAAACATGAAAGAACTTTAATAACCCGCATTGCTCATAAAAACAACAATTAACTTTACTCTACTCCATGTATTTATTGATCATGTAATTGCGAAATTGCGTTTATATACCCACGAAAATATCTATATAGGAAAAAGCATCATTCGGAATAGAACAAGTTCATGGGTTTGATTCTAGATAAATGTTTCTTCCCGACTATTTGTTAAATATTTATATTAACCCAAAAATGTATGGAGAAATTTCGCAAACGGACCGGAAGTGAAATGACTCCGTGCAAACCAACTTCATTACTAATTTCAGCGTGTAAATCCCGAAAAAATATCCCGAATACTCCCACCAAAAGCGCGTTTAGGAAATCCGAAAATAGACCAGAATCGAAACCCATCATTCTGATTTAAGAATCGCACTAACGGGAATTCGTAAAGGTTTTAGTTTAGTTGATATCTAATATAGCCGGCTATTTTTAATCGAGTAAAGTAAAGCGACTTGGCTTGGGAGAAAAATAAAAAATACACCCGGGCTGTCGTCAACAGTTGATTGTTTTTTATCGCACGGACGGCAATCAATCATCGAAATTCCACGTCGGGCGAAATAACTCGAAAAAATGCGTATATTGTTGTCAAAAAATCGTATTTATTATTAGGTGATTGGTACGCTTTTATCACTACCGAAATGATGCAATTTAGTACAATATATGGAAAGATTCGTACTTGCCGTGGCATCGAAGTCACTCCAATTGATTTCGGGATTAGGATTTTAAGTATTTTTCATTTATTAAAATGTACTTAATATGCCTATTTTCTTTTTATTGTTAGTTATTAGATAATTATTTGACATTTGACAGTAAACTTTTTTTGACATTTCATTGACAGCTTCGCCTACTAATAAATTACTGACGTTAAAACATAGAAAAAGTACGACATTTTCACAGAGTAATGTGAGTAATAAGGATAACATGTGTTGGATAGTTTTTATATTCTCGACTCCTAATATTATTTGATATTTACCATCCGAATGTCACTCCAATTGATTTCGGCAGGATTTTAGGTATTTTTATTTATTAAATCTACTTAATATGCCTATATTCTTTTATTAGCTTATTATTTGACATTTAATTTACCACAAGCATTGACTTTTGTAAGTAAACTTTTTTGACATTCCATTGACAGTTTCCGCCTACTAATAAATTACTGATGTTAAAAAATAGAAAAAGTACGACAATTTCACAGACTAATATGAGTAATAAGGATAACATGTGTTGGGTATGTTTTTAAATTCTCGACTATTATTTAATATTTACCATCCGAAAATAGTTTATTATTTAATACATCCTGTAAAATAATTTTGTTTGAATTAAATGTTATAAAGTTTGACGTTGTGTTGAATTTGACATTTGAATGACAGTCAAAACATATATACCTAAAATAAAAAGAGAAAGACTATTTATATGCACAGGATGTAGATGAGAAACTATTTTGTATGAATAATATGAACATTGTTAGTGGAAAAATACTATTATAGATGAAGAGATTTGTATAGATATTTAGCGAGTGTTACAACAACGCATGTGAAATATACCTGCAATAAATTACATTTTAAAATTTGGCCCTCAATTTAGAATAGATCCAACGGTGTCGTTACGACGTCGATTCTAAATTTACATTTTATTTTATTCTTTAGGATAAATGGAACGAGAGAACACCCGCGAACGGGCTGCTACGCCACTGGTCAGTTATGCGAGTTGGCAACGAATTTGTGTTCCAATAACCTGACAGTTATGCGAATGTAGTTCGTTTTCAGCTTTGATTTTGAACGTCTGCCTAGCGATATTTTTATTCCGACGACAAAACCAATTATCTCCATCTCGTATGGCCAAAATAATCCAATTCAACGATCATTATTGGAAACACCTAGCAGGAAATCTCGCTCGTTTGCAGCATAGCAAACTTACCATGTTTGGTAGAAGAACAACAGGTGGTTAATTCTTGTGGTTATTAATAAAATCCTGGTTATTTATAACAAAGTATATTACAGCATATATGCTAATAACCGATTTATAATATGGGATATACTTGTTTAAATAACAAATATTATCTAAACAGATAAGTTTATTTAAACACTGGTAGGTAAATTCAAACTAGCAAGGTAGGAAATGTTCAAGCACTTATAGAGCAATTTTTTCTCAATGAACCTACATTTTCCAAATCTTGTATACGATTCCAAAATACTATCAAACCGTTTTCATTCACATTTTCCAATGTAATACCTGTGGTGTAGGAAATGGCTCGAGTTTTCCAACGGGCGAGCGTGGTTAATCGAATTTCATTCAATATATTATGCGCTCGTTACTCACTTGCGTTTGTAATAGGTGCGTTTGTTAAGCTGAAGCCGAAAATACACCTCGTGAGTCAAGATTTTTCGGTTTATAGGTAGACTGTGCAGCCCGCAGGGGATTGAGAAAAGCGGAAAATTTTTGGCAGGCGCTGTGTGTGCGCGGTTTTTTTAATTTCCATTTGATTCATAAGGCTATTCTTTTAATAGATTGCATTTTGTCGGGTTAACTGCGATTTTGTTTGTTCCACCTATTCCGATGAATCAAAGCTGGTGAATTTAACGCACGTTTATTTTATCTATTTATCTATTTATCACACACATAGGTAAATATAGTTGTTATTTCTTCTGTTTGGTTAATATTTTACTGCTACATTCCTGTAGATTTCGTTACCAAATTTGGATTCGTCTTGTTCTTCTGCACCAACTATTTCGCGATTACTATCACCTGTTTCAGTTTTGGCTTTCCTCTTGAATATGTACTTGAACGCCAGCTCGAATATTTCTTCGCAAAGGCAAATGAGGCTGATCACAGACAAACCTGAAGCATTTCAAAGCGTTAACTTCCAAATCTATCAATTACTACCAACGCACCTAACAAAAACCCCAAAGATCCCCCGACGTCCGACAACAGCTGGTTCAAATCATATCCCAACACCTCGGTCATCCTAAACACCAAATTGGTGCTGTACAAATAAAACAAACTATTGGGCGCCATCGTCTCGTGCACCTCCCTCCTGTTGATTATCGAGGTTTTGTACACCGTGTAATTGCACGCCATGGGACAGTCGCAATTTTGCACCACTGACTTCCACACTGTCTTGCTAAACAATTACAATTGTACAATTTCTTCGCGTTAGAGTAGTTATAAGTTTGTGGATTTTCGTTTACCTGACTATGTCTCTGATTAAGTAGCGCACTTTGTAGAAACTGGAACATTCGGGAAAACTCACGCCTTCGGGTAGATCCAGAAAAGGAGCCGTGCAGTTGTATCTCTGCGCTATTTGTTGGTTCACGCACATATTCTCGCACTGCAAACGGGAAATAAAATGCAAGAAATTACAATCATAATAACTCTTACCTTAGATTTGCTGTAATCCGGGTTGGCAACGCACCGGTTCTCTTTAGTTGGTATCCTTCCGAACTCCTGTATCTCGAATTTAACCCGCATATCCTCGTCGGCCTCGACGTGCAGGATCTCCAGGAAATTGTTACGCTCGTCCTCCGTATCTACATCGAGCATCAATAAAACTCCTTATTTAGTTCCTTGTAGAGCTACTCACACGTGACAGCTTCGTTGGGATCGTGCAGGTAGATTTGATACCCATGTGCAGATACCCCAGCTTCGTTCACTTCGGTGGTTTTGTTGTGGTACATCAGAAAGGCGTAACCACCGTCCAGCGAGAATATATCCGATGTAGTTAGTGGCTGGAAAGTGAAGCACCTGCCCCGGTAGAAGTGGAACGAAGAGGTCACCTTCACAGCTGCAACATCGTCTAGTTTAGTACCTCAGCAAACGTAGCTTGGTGGTTGAAAATTGCGCATTTAGAAAGAAGGAGTCTCTTAGAACTTGGATGATTATCAATTGCGCAAAATTCCAACAACCGAGCTGGATTTGATGGGGTATAAACTTACTTTCTGAGGAGCCCTCGCCTTGCGGGAGGTACCCCACGGAGGCGTAGGCGACCTGGGCGAAGACTTCGGTGAAGTTGTAGGTGGTGGCGTGGAAGAAGTCGCTGAGAGAATACTCGGAGAAGTTGAAGAATCGAAAGGTGAAGGCGGTGTCGAGCCGGAAATGCGAAATGCCGAATTTCTGGAAACCCAAACCGATTCCTATACAAGATGCATTTATTGCGCTGATGGACTTACCGGGTAGAGGTCCGTTTTGTAAGGAGGCCTCCTGCATATGGTCAAGCAGGGGTATTTCACGCTTTCGTTCAGGATGAACGACATGTAAGTGGAGGTGCTGGGGTGGAAGAATTTCTGGAAGCATTGGCCTACCTGAAAATAAACCTCATGCAAAAGATGCATGTGTATTTGGAACGTTTTACCTGCATGCTGGTGAATATGGCGCAGAGGAACAGTATGATGAATTTGATCAGTTTGGAGGGTTGCTTGAAGCACTTTTTTTCGGGTATTAACCCCATTTCGGATGGATTTTCGAGCGCGTTTGAACAGTAAGTAAATGCATATCAGCGGGATTGTAACCGTTTTATCGGTTATAAATTTGAATTTTCCAATATCGCGGCGTTATCGGCTTTTATTGTCGCGTTACGACGGCTTTATTGAAAAAATGTATGTATTCACGGCGAATGTAAACATAATAAACGGCTATAAAATCGGTTATTAATACGCCAGCTTTTCTCTCTACTTCGACTGATTTCGTCCCGATTGTCAGGTATATTAGCGAGCGATTAAAACAAAGGTATTATTTATCCAATTGGCTGTTTGTTTTAGGAAAAATAAAGGTTATCGCAATTTGGAGGTTAATATCTAACAATTCGGTCTCGAGAGATAAGAAACGGGTCACGGACGTGAGACAAATGCATAATTACGTTTATTGTTCTTAGCCGGTTACAGAGTGCTCCATTATTTCGCGCGGTTATAAAATAATTGCCTTTTTTTCAAATTAATTTAATTTGCTCGAAACTTATCGTCGCGATAAATATAGGCCTTCATAGAGAAGACTGTTACGAAATCGGCGCTTTGACTCTTCATTGACAAATCGTTCTTTGTTTTATTATATTATTATTAACAAGATTTTATTTTAACATTGAGATTATTTGTAATACTCATGTATCATGTACATAAAATTTCTATGACTGCCGATTCATTAAAATTCCTCGTTTAACGACAATTCAAAATGCGCGAGAAGAGAAAATGGGCTTTTTCAATGCTTCCAAAACAAATCACTTAATGATATCACCACCCAAAAGCTTCGGAGAAAATCAATATTATACATCAGAGTGAATTGGATGATGAATTAGTTAATTATATTCTAGAAATGGAAAAATCTGGATGTGGTCCACTTTCTGAAAGGTCATAAAAATGATTTGTTTTTTTTTGGATAATTTTATTATGAGTTTTTCTTAACCAATTGGTTAAGGAATTATTTGATATATAAATAAAGCTGATTAAAATAAAATTCGACTTTTTATTGAGAAAAGTGGTCCATATATAGCGCACTTCCTCTACATAAAATTTCCACCACCACCACCCAAAAACTTGGGAGAAAATCAATATTATACATCAGAGTGAATTGGATGATAAATTAGTTAATTATATTCTAGAAATGGAAAAATCTGGATGTGGTCCATATTATGTTCACTTTCTGAGTTCATAAAAATGTATACTTTAATAAATGTTGTTTATTTCAAAGATTTTGTTTTTTTTTTGGAGAATTCTATTATGAGTTTTTCTTAACTAAATGGTTTAGGAATAGTTTGAAATTAAAAATTCGACTTTTTATTGAGAAAAGTGCTTATCGTGGTCCATATAAAGCGCACTTCCTCTACATAAAATTTCCACGACTTCCGATTCATTAAAATTCCCATCGATAAAACCCATCGATGATTCCCAATCGGCTTGTACCGAGCAATCAATCGCCCTCCCAAATCGATAGGCAATTAATCAACAAAAATAACTCTCATGCCGAGCATTATTCAGCGCTGGTACTGACGTCGAATACTAATGGGGATTTCGCATTTTACGATTTTCTCGTTATCACCATCCCCCGGCCTTCCAAACCGGCGGGTTTGCACTTTCACTCGACCGATTCGAATCGCGTGCGTTCCATAAAGAAGTGACGAAGGTCAGTTTCATGACGACCGAACGCCGCGCCTCGTAATCCTCGTATCATGCATCGAACTCCGCATTTCGATTCGGTTCTTCGATAAGCTCGGTGCCTCTCGAGAACGCGCTGTGTCCAGTCGAATCGCTCACCGGACTTTGCGGACGCCCGAAGATCCTCCGGGGAGCGTGTGGAGCGCTTTCTGCGAGCGCCTGATTCTCTTCATCGCCGGGATTTTGGATTTTGTTCGTGCTTAAATCGCAGGTAAATTGGGTTTGGTGTTTTTTATCGATGATCGGTGCTGTTGAAGTTTTGTAGGTAATTTGTGATTTGTTTCGAGCGAGTACAATTACGCCGATATATTGGTGGGAAATTCGTGGAATTTTTGCTTGTTTTGCATACAAGTGTTTGTGGTTTTTTTTTGGAATTTTGAAATTTATATTTCTGCTGGTATTTGTCCCATTTAGATTAGCTGGTTTTGTTGATAAAGAAATTAATAATAATAGAATAAATGTTTATTAAAAACATGTATGTAACTAGGCTGTATTAATACTTTCATTACAGAGTATTGTATTGATGAATTTTATTGAGTTAGGAAAAATAGTACAAGTACACAGAACTAATGAAGAATTCAAGGTGTTCGTATGGAATAATTAAGGTAGACTGGGGGCAAATCGGTTGTAAAATTTGAATAGTTCAAATTAAATCCTAAAATGTGGCTTTATTTTTTCTCTTATTAGAAATGCTGATACCATCATTAAATTCACAACTTCCTAAACTAAAGAATCGAGGTATTAAAAAGTTTTTTTGAAAAAGGAAGAAAACGATTTTACATAATTTTTAAAATGTTGACAATATGTTACATTTACCCCGAACCAAACGGTTCTAAAGTGCAATACAATTATATAGAAAAACATATGGGGCAATTGTAAATATATATTTGGTTCCTCTAAAATTTGATATACTGTTTATTTATTTAATTCAAAAAATAACAGAGCTACAAAATAATAAAGAAAAAATAAGAAACAAACCCTGTCTAATGCACAAAAGAACTATAAAAATAATAAAAAACATTAACATAATAGGTAAAAATATTACATTTACACCATTTTTACATTTGCCCCAGTCTACCTTACATTTTAATTGCAAAATAAATTATCGCGGAAATATTTTTCCTGCTATTTTTCAATACCTCGAAGTGTTTCTTTCCTTTTTCAACCGCAAATTCGACTGATAATAAAACAAACAAAAAGAATTTGTTATTAGGTGTTGTATATTCAAATTCGAAAGACTCTTAAACGGTAAAAAAATCAGTTAATACGAAAAATTATTCACCAGGACCGTACTAATATTTTTCTACTACATTACGTCACTAATCACTTCCCACGTAATAACCTATCAGAAAACAATTAATTTGGGTTTACCAGACGATTTTTGTGAATAATATTGTGGTTTCCACATCGACACCAGGTGTTTTTACGCTAAATTTTTTTATACGGGAAAAACAGTAGGCGTGCAATTCGATTAATAACGACACGGGTATTAGCATGAATCGCCCGAGAAATCATTCGATTGGCATTCATTATGCTAATGTAGAGAGTTCTTGCATCTAAATTCACGTGACTCGAAATATATCGCAGTGCGATTTTATCGACCACCAAACAAACGATTCTGGCGGTGTAATTGTATTTCCTACCGTGCACTTTTCCTTGCTGGCGGGCTCGAATATGGACTAGTTTTTTGAAGGATGTTCCGCAGTCGACAGAGATTTAACTGCGGAGACGAGGTCGAATCGTTACCTTAGTGGTAAATATTCCTGCGACCTTAAAGGATTTTATGATTTTTTCGAAATTGCCAAAGCTAGCGAATCGATCGCTATTGGATTTTCATTCGCGCCGACAACCGGGCGACATTAACCTCTATTTTTATTGATTCATTGCGACATATTCGATCGGATCAACTCTGAATCGAATCGAAACGTTTATCTAACGCTGGAGGAATTGTATGTTAGCAAATTTACCGGCAACGAAAACGAAATTGAGTTGGATTTTTAACAATAAAACCTCCTTTTTCGACGTTCCTGCTAATCGTTCGCAAAGAAAACATAACAAGCCCATTAACCTATTACGCTGATTTGTTACATCAATTGAGAGCAGTTGTTGCTGTAAAAGGAGAAGAACGATTTTGCAATTGCACGACAAACTTCGTACACGTTTCAGCGGGTCGTTTGTGCTTTTGCGATTCGAAAACTCCATCCTCGAATTGTTTTTTTGGTCGATGCCGGTCCTGGCCGGGCGCTCGTTAAATTCTAATCGATGGATTAATAGAATGCGTCAACTAATTTTCTACAACTACTCCGAATGGTTATCTTCCCAAGTGATGAATTTACGAAGAATCCGTGCGGTTTCGTGCGGATGTCCATTATGATTGTAGGTATATACCGAGTGTTTCGATGCGATAATACCAATTTGTTGTCGAGCGAGGTGCGCTTGTGGCTTAATAACCCCGATCGAGTGGCGGTTTTTTTGTCGTTTGCTTTCTCTTGCGCAATGCTCGGTTTTTATTTTACTCTTTAATGTAATTTTCTCGTGTGTGCTCACTGTTTACTGTTATTTATTACGAATAATGCTCGCGTTTTGCTTCATTCATTACATCGCAGACGTTGTTTATTGAGTCAAACAATTCGTTATCTAAATTCAGTATAAATATAACGCGAAATTATCTTAATAAATGTTAGTATTTTCTGAATACGCTGTAAGTGTGTGGAGTGTTTTTTTGAACTATTATTCATTTTAACTTGGCTATTTTGGGTAAGAGTGAAAAAATTAGTATTAGTTTTTGCTGCTTCTAATTAAACAATTACTAAATGTAAAGGAAACAATGCTATAACCGTGGCTTTTACATTTTAAATTATTGCATAAATAAACGAGCAAGTGTAATGGTAATTAACTGACAATTTATTTAAAATCATCGTTATTCAGATAATTTTCCAATTTAAATAGAATCTACATAATTTGTTTATATTTAAAACTAAACGACTCGAACGTTAAAAATACAATTAGGGTTTTCCCTCTTTTCTAATAATCACTTTTTGCTACCTTCAATACACCCATTATAATTTCCCAGTCGCCATCGAGACACCATCATGTCGCCTTTGGTGGCCTCCCTGCTGTTCGTCTCCCTCGCCCGCGCCGCCATCGACGCCCCCAACGTCGCCTTCAAATGGAAACAAATCGACTTCCACTTCCCCAGCACCCAGGCCAAACTCGACGCCACCACCTCCAAGAACTTCATCCCCGAACACAACGTCCCCTTGGGCCTCGAGGTCCACGGCGACCGGATATTCATCACCTTGCCCAGGTGGAAGCAGGGCGTCGCCGCCTCCTTGGCCTACATCTTGAAATCAGGTCGGTAACCCACCAACCCACACACCCACACACCCACCAACCCACACCCACCAACCCACAACCCACCACCCACAACCCACCGACCCACCAACCCACAACCCACACCCACCAACCCACAAAATTTGTTCGTGGTGTGTTTTACGGGGGTTTATTTGCAGATAAACAGGATTCGCCGGTGCTGAGGCCGTACCCGAACTGGAGGGCGCACGACCAAGGGGTGCCGAATCCGGAGATCGTGTCGCCGTTTCGGATGCGGGCGGACGCCTGCGATCGGCTGTGGGTGCTCGATACGGGCTCCGCTAACATCGTGGATCGCGACGGGTTCAAGCAGGTGACCAAGCCCAAGTTGCTCATCTACGATTTGAAGACGGATTCTCTGATCCGGTCGTACACGATACCGGACGATCAGCTGCACGAGGACAGCTTCTTCGCCAACATAGCCGTGGAGGAGAACGGTTGCGAGGATAATTTCGCCTATTTGGGCGATTTGGGCCAGCCCGGTTTGGTGGTGTACGATTACAAGAGGAACACTTCGTGGATATTCAAGCACGCTTACTTCAACATGTCGCCGACCGCCGGGCACATGGTGGTCGCCAATGTAAGTACTCGGAATTTGCCTGAGTTAATCTGGAATCGAAATTTCGCATCAAAAATTTTGTATTGCTCCATTTCCGATTGCAATATGGTAATTTCTATGAGTGGAAAAAAGAAAGGTTATTAAAATGACAGTTGTCAGAGTGACAAGTTGTAATGTCACTTTTTCTTTTATATAAGTGTCTAATGGAAGTTGTCTTTATCGCACCCATGGCCTATATAACCTATGTTGCGATCAAAAATGGAGCAACCTGTATGTGTGTTGTGTGTTATTTGACATTTATTTATAAACGAAGAGAAAGATATTGGTCTTTCATCGTTTACATGAACTATACAATTTAAATTTTCGCGCCAATTTGACGTTTGTGACTTTTCATACGTCACTAAAATGGAACCCTCTTCCACCTCGAAATGCCGTTACCCCCTTATTAAGTTATCCTGACTTTTTGGTGAGAAATAAAGGAATTAAGAGTAAAGTACGACCCCAAGAGGAGACTATTGTTTCGTGTGGGGAATTCCCAATTTGGGTTTTTATTCATGGCTTCCACAGAAAAATTCGATTTCGACATAAAAATTACAATTATAATCACACACAACTCGACGTTATGTAATTATGTATATGCGCCTTCAAGGCTGCGAAGTATCAGAGGTATTTCTCGGAGCGTGCACGTTAAATTTTTGCATCAACACGATTACTAAGCTAAGAAATCCATTCCGCGATATTTTCGCCAAGCGAAAAAATATTCGAAGCATTCCGTTTACCTGTCAATGTAACAAAAAAATACCAAAAACCTCGTTATCACAACAGTATTTCTATTGTATCTACTAACTAATAGATTAATACATTTGTTTGTTAGATATCCTTCGAATGGTCGGACGGAATCTTCGGACTAGCGCTCTCCGACAAAGACGCCGAGGGCTACAGCACGCTGTACTTCCACCCGATGACCAGCTACAACGAGTTCACCGTCAGCACGAAGACCCTGCGCAACGAGACCCTCTCGAGCGACCCCGTCGCCTTCAAAAACCACTTCAAGCTGCTGGGCACGCGCGGCCCCAAGTCGCAGAGCGGCGTCTCGTTCCTGCACCAGAAGACCGGCGTGCTGTTCTACGCGCTGGTGCAGCTGAACGCGGTGCTCTGCTGGCGCACCTGCCTCTCCAACTACACCATGGAGTCGCAGGGCAGGGTGTTCATGAACGACGAGGTGATGGTGTTCCCCAACGACATCAAAGTCGACGACGACGATACGCTGTGGGTGCTGTCCGATAAGCTGCCGGTTTTCATGTACGGTTATCTGGATTACCACGATTACAACTTCAGGATTATCAATGCTACGGTTAAGGACGCGATCAGGGGCACCGCGTGCGATTCCAAGATGCCCAAGGACGATTATTATTTGAAGAATATCACCAGGACGAGGTCGGATGGAACTGCGTGGAGGTCGGGAGTGGTTCTGCCGCTGCTCCTGTTGGTACTGCTGAGTTTGTGGAGTTAAAATCGTACTTAGTTATTGACTGGATGGACTGGTTGAATGATTGGTGTTTACTTAAGACTGCTGCCGGGTAACGGGGATGTATTGTAAGGCAGCCAATTGGTTTATAAATTAAAAATAATACTCGGATATTTTGTAGAAGGAAACGATTATATTCTACTTATTCGTGGTTAATTTCGATGTAATAAATTTGGGGCAGGTTGTATCCTTGTGGCTAAATTGGTACACCCTGTAGGTCGACCTTTTTGGCCTCATTTGATTCAAGTATTAAATCACTATCATATCAAAAAAAAAACTTAGAGATTGGAATATAAAGAGCTCACAGAAGCTTGGCTGTGGTTAGATAAAACTTCGTAACGATTAATGTTTATTTAGCTATATTATCAACTACAAAAAGTCTTTTTAAACTGTAATTTATTTATTATTTAATTAGTTTTTTTAAGACCATTTTCTATCTTTCACCTCGATTAAATTCACTATGTATTATAATAACATTCCTTCGGTTCTTTTAGAACGTTTATATTATTAAATTTTAAGAAAGTATTTTTATAGAAACAGAGTTTGCTAAAAGTGGTGCTAAAAGTTACCACTTTATATTAATATATATCATTAAAATATTTGCTTTGCAGATAAAAATGTATTTATTTTTCTCCCTTATACTCACTGAAATTTTTTTGATACAAAACAACGCAATGACTAGTAATTAAAATATTTATTAAAAAATATATAAAATGAGATAATAGATAATTAGTTAAGGATTTTTGTAATTAAACTGTAGTATTTTGTTAATTGTATATACAATTACTTCTAAACAAAATATGCAGCTAAGAAAATCACATAAAAACTCAGATGAGCGACAAAAATATAGAGGCAGTGAAACAATATTGCAACAAAGAAAAATTATTAAAAACTAAACCTAACAACTACAAACTTACATTAAATCTTATACAAGCACAAGATAATTTAGTAACAAAAATTTAGCGCGTAGTACAATACTCAAAACACGAGAAAAGAGGTAGTTATTAAACCGATCAAAATAGAAACCCACCGCAAAATTTTCCTAACAACAAACCTACATCCGCTGGCCGGGCGATTTCCTCCGCTTCGACGAAATGGCGATGCTGCGCAGGCTCCGCGACCGCTCGAACAGCGACGGGTCCGTGTAAATCGGCTCGCTCGGATCCTCAAACAACCCGCCCGGCGCCGGCTCCGGCAACTCCAACTCCACCTTGGGAAAGCTCGCCAGATTGGCCGCCCGACCGAACGTCGCGAACCGCTTCTGGACGCCGAAAATCGACGAGCCGGAGCTGCGCGTGCGCGCGTACGACGTCGAAACGTCCGAATTCGACCGGTCCACCAGCGCGTTCTTGCGCACGATCAGCCAGTACTTGCGATAGGCCATGCCGGCCACCAGCGCGCCCGTCAGCAGCGCCGCCACCAGCACCATGACGGCGCCGACGAGGCCGTGGTAGGCGCCCGGCGTCAGGCACACCGTCTCCGGCAGGTAGTCGGCCCGTCGCGCCTCCTGCTGCAGCTCCTCGCGCGAATCGAACACCTCGATCATCTCGCGCACGAACTCCTTGTCCTCGAACGATTCCTCTTTTTTGCTCGGTTCTTGCGTGGTGCTCTGCGCTAATTCAACGCTAGTTTCGCTAGTAACGTTGTATTCTTCTGTTGTAGTTTCTACAGTCGCGTTAACATCTCTCTTGCGTCTGCCGAAGGACGGTTCGGATCGACCGGCGCCCATTTGACAATAGGCCGGTTGGCAACCCTCCCTGCACGTGCGAACAGTCGCTTCGAACACCAAGAAATTCGATTCGGGAATTTTGAAGGCGTTGAAACGCGCTTCTAGACTATCACCACGTCCTTTGTCCAATTCGGGGAACACGAAACTGTCCACCGGGCATCTAAGAATACAATTTGTTTATAAAGAATCACCAATAATTCACCAATAATCTTACCCGAATCGATCAATCAGTTGGACCGATCTACCCGAATAAGGATCTCTGGCTACAACGTTGGTAGCGAATATATCCGTGAGGTAATTGTAGCCATCTTGAGCTTCCAATCTGAACGTAAGAGGATCTCCGACAGCAATTGTAGTAGTGGGTCGCCCTTGGTAAAGAATCATCAATCTAACCTTCGAGCTAAGAGTGTTCTCCGCAGGTAGATACTCTATAGGAACCGGACTTCCAGACCTAAAAACCACCAATACAACCAAACGTTATACACAAAGAGATGAAGTTTACCCGGCTCCGATGAATCCGGAAGACACCACCGCCTCGCCGGGCCCGCGGAACAGACAGGTCAGATTGAAGCGCTTGTCCTTGCCGGTCTGGACGTAGTCGCTGAACTGCACCACGGCGATGTTGGTCATGGTGTCGCCGTACCGTTGGGTGCCGCACTCCGGGTACCCCTGGGCGCCGCTGATGCGCAGCACGTTCAGCGTGCCGCCGTTGCCGCGGAAGAAGCACCGATCGTAGAAGCCGTACGTGTAGATCCGCCCGTAGAAGCCTTCGGGCGTGCGCAAGGTGAACTCCATGCCGTCTTCGTTGCACACTTGGGTCACTGATGGAGACGTTAAACAGTTAGAGAGAGAAGATGCGCGGTGTGGGGAAAGAAAAAGAGTAAAAGCGTGGTGTAGGTTTTATTCGAATCGGTGTAACAGAAGTTCAACATTTGCAGCATTTACCGTCGAGACAATCGCCGTCGTTGGCGGTGCGTTCGTAAAAATCGTAAATGCCCTTGTTGTCGAAGTACTGCGGATTGTCCATTTCCAATTCTCTGGTGTCCCTGTCGCTCAGCTCGCAGTTGTCCCGATCGCCCGCCGGATCGTAGCCGTTCGGCGGGGAATCCCTGCGGAAACGACAATTCGTTCTTTAACCTAATCCTAACGTTACATAAACGACAACTTTACCGAAAGTTGAAAGCCCTGCAAACAAACTCCCTGGTTTCGATGCACTCCCTCTCGCATTCCCTCAACGACGGCGCGTACAGCGCCCTCTTGATGTACTCCTTGCGCATCCTCTGGCGGTAGCCCATCTGCTTGAAATTATCCTCGCCCTCGTCGCACCGGAAATTGTACGGCCTGTTGTTGTTGTTGCTCGGGCCGTAGTTGTCGTAAATGGGCCCGTCGGGGCCTGGCGACAACGGCCTCCTTCTGTCGTTGTAGTACGGCCTGCCGCCGCCGCCGCCGCCGCCGCCGGGCGGTTCCTGCGGCCTCGCCGGATCCACCGGCCTCCCGCCGGGCCTCCGGTCCGGCCTGAAGAACCACCTGTTGCCGCCGTTCCTCTCGTCGCCGTAGTAATCGTGCCTGTTGTTGTATCTGTTGTTGTACCTGCTTCCGCCGCCTCCGTAGCGGCTGTCGAAGTCGTCTTCGCCGTACCTGCTACCATATCTGTATCCGTTGTAGGTGTCTTTGTTGCCATACAAACTTCCTCCGTATCTATCTCCGTTCCTATCTCCGTATCTATCTCCATATCTATCTCCGTATCTATCTCCAGGGTATTTGCCGGCTGGTGATGGGGAGAAGTAAGGATACCTGTCGGGGTAATCGTGCGTTGGAGGATACCTGGAGCCGCCTCTGTCGGGATATCTGGATCGATCCGGGTACCTATCGGGGTATCTATCGGGGTATCTGGATCCTCCGTCGGGAGGATAATCTGGGTACCTATTAGATCCGGGGTAATCGGGGTATCTGGATGCGCCGCGATCCGGGTACCTGTCGTACGGGTTGTATCTGTCTCTGTCTCTGTCGTCGAAGTCTGGATGTCGATGAGGCGGGCGCCAATCTGGATACCTGTCGCCGGCGTCGTGTCCAGAACTGCTCGGCGGGAATCTACCACCGGGATATTTCGAAGGATGGTTACCGGGCCTTCCAGGTCTGTAAGGGTAGCGATCCTCTCCGGGTCGATACACGCTGTTGGTACCATCGACGGGTCTTTGAGCTGTACCGTCGTTCTCGCCACCAACTAGAAGGTACTTGGTGTTAATAGGTGAATGATATGGAAGGTTAGAACGTACGCATGAGATTCTCGTAGTAATCGTAATCGGCGTCGTAGATGATGCGCATGCCGTCCCTTTGGTTGTAGCGGGTCAAGCGGCAGGTGCGGTAGCGTTCGCTGTACTCGGCCGAGCGGCATTGGAAGCTCGGCTGGCGCAGGCACTCGTCGAGGCACTCGCTGAGCGACCGGCCCGATATCTCCGAATGGTGCTCGCCGCCCAGCCGGCTGTTGCGGTACCGCTGGAAGGCGGTGTCGGGTTTCTTGCCGCTGAACAGGTGCGAGGTGACCGAGTTGTCCGGGTATTCCGAGCCGCGCGCTGGAAATCGAGTTGATAAATTAGAAGAATTGATAAGGGTACAGGTCGAAAAAGTGTCCCGTTATTTGAGGATAAAACGGGGTTCCTAAAACGGCCGCTAGGAGGCGACGTTGTAAAGGAACGCGGTTTTTTGCGTACTAATTATGTAGAATTAGCATTAAGATAGGTTTTATTCAAACTAAAAATAGATACGAAATATAAAAATATACTTAAATCAGCGATGATTTTGTTGTTAACATCATGCCCCGCGTATCTTCGGTGAATGTATTTCTCCATTTTCTCCTCGAAATGTCAAAAAATAATTTTTGAAGTTTTGACAGCTCGAACTGTCATCTCACACAACCGCGATTTATATATGTAGCGCGACGCTGATTGGCTGAGATAAGTGCGGCGCAAAAGTGAAACTCAAAAAGTCTTCAAATAACGGGACAAATTCTCTAATGCATAAGCATAGGCTGTTTCCAGACCTTAGAAATATCCGGCCGTGGTGAAAAGGAAACTATTTTAGTTGTACACTTTGTTTCATTCCAGATCGCAACATAGGTTATATAGGCTATAGGTGCGATAAAGACAACTTCCATTAGACACTTATAAAAGAAAAAGTGACATTTGTGTCATTGCAACATTTCACTCTGACAACTGTCAATTTCTTAATCTTTCTCTGTTCAACTCATAGAAACGACCATGTTGCGGTCTGAATTGAAGCAATTATCGGTATATCTATGAGAGGAACTTACGGCTGTCCAAGCAGGCGAAGTCGTAGAAGTGATGCGACGGGCTGCTGGCCACTCCGATGTCGTCCTTCTGGGAGATGGAGTCCTCTTCGGATAGGGTGCATTGCTTGCTCATCTCGTCGTACTCGATGGAGCGGCACAGGTACTTTTCGGCTCGCACGCACATCGCTTGGCAATCGTCCAGCGTTAGATTGGTGAACATTTCCACCTCGAACGGTCCGCCGAGTCGTTTGTTTTCTTCCTTTATGAATACAGCTAAACCATCGCAACGCCTTTCAGCTATACAAATCATTCCAATTAGATAGTTGCAATACGGGGTTTTGCATTGTGATCCTAGACCAAACCTTTATTCAGTCAAGAAAAGAGACATGGCAACACAGCATCGTCGAAAAACGTGTGATTTATAAATGTCAAATGTCAACGTTTTGAGCGTTTGTTGTCAAAAGGCATTTTGAATTTATAGTTATTTTATTTTGTTAATAGTAATATATAAGTACTTTACGTAATATTGAATGTGAATTAATAGTAATTTTAAGTTCTATTTTATACCTAGGTACGTCGTCCTATTTTTAGTAATAAAAAAGTACTCATTGGCAATATGGTTGTGTTTTAGTTCCTTCGAATTTGTAGATGTCGCTTTATAGCTTTAAAATTGTGACATCGAGTTATGCATCTATATTGTTTGATCTACGATTGTGATCATACCATTCAAGCAAGTGTTTTCCAGATAATCCGACTCCGGATCGTCGACCAGCAGCTCGGGATGCGTCCGGCGCGTGTACCGGCTCAACGTGCACGTGCGCATGTTCGAATCGTACGTGGCCGATCTGCAAACGAAGCTGAACTCGTTGAGGCACTTGTCCTCGCACTCGGTGCGATTCGAAGCCGGCATCTCCTTCATATCGGGCGTCGGCAGCTTCAGCTTCTTCCTCGGATGCCTTTCGAATATGTACTTCCTGTTGGGGCATTCCCTTTCCGGTCGACTGGCTGCCGGAACGAGCGAAACTTTAAATTATCCACCTAGTGGAAGTTTCAACAAACTTACAGGTGATGCAGACTTCGGTGAAGTGCACGCTGTTGGGGACGATCATGAGGCTGCCGATGCCCTCGGGCCGGGCGCTCTCCGACGTGAGATAGCAGGTGGACTCCTCGTAGTCGGCGGAGCCGCCGTAGGAGGCGATGCGGCTGCCCGGCTGGAAGTCGAACGACTGGCAGGTGCGGACGATGTTGTTGGGGGTGCGGTCGCGCAGGCAGAGGTCCTGGCACTTTTCGAGCACGGCGAACGGGGGCGCCGTGTCGCGGACGATGTCGTCGTCGAAGCCCTGCAGCTGGATGTTGGGCAGCCGCTCGTACATCACCTTGCCGTTCATCGAGCCGGAGCCGCAGCTCGTTTGAGCTGCCGGAATCGGAGCAGAGAGGTTTAATGGTGGACAATTTTTTGGCGAGGGGTTTTGTGGTTACCTTTGGTCATCATCTTCAATACCGTGAGGACTGTGATAGCTTGTACCATGCTGGGGACGTATGGGTGACTTTTCATTTTGATCCAATCGCGTTGCTTTCGACACTATCTGGACATACTTTTAACTCTGCGGTACAAAAACGATAGGTTTTTGAATTTGAAACGAAATAATTAACGCTTTATCTGTCGATCAATAGATAATCGACCAACTGTAAAAATATCTAACGCAACAATAAAATTTTTCGGATTCGGTTTCCGGCTTCCCACACGAACAAAACGGTCGTTATTAAAATGTGGTTAATAAAAGAAATAAAAAATGGAGCTTCATCTTACTGTAAATTTAACCAAAAACTAACGCATCGTTGCGGGATATTTAAATAAATTCCATTTAAACAGTCGGAGATTAATTGCCGGTACATATTTAATTGAGGGTACCCACGTTACGCTCGAATTTTACATACATACAGGTGGAACCAAGCGGAACCTTCAATGACACATACCCAGCTAATGCATGTAATACACAACGTTTTGCAATTCTTTGCGCAATTTAATGATAGCATACAACTAAATCACGGACATATCGAACACGGACACCAAATGCAACTCGGGCTCGTCGTAGCCCAAATCCTCGGGGAAATCGACGCCCAGCTCCTTCGCCACCGGCTTCACCTCCTGCTTTATGTACGGCCAGATCCTGTCGACCTGCGAGCCGCATTTGAACTTCACCATTTCGAGGAATCGCACCGCCATGGCGTAGTCGTTGAGCCGCCGGCAGGCCTTCAGGCCCGCTATGACGATGGCCGGATCGGGCACGGCGTCGTACCCGGCCAGGTCGTTCATCGCCTGGCGCACGTCCCACCCGTCGGCGTCCTTTTCCTTGAAAATGCACTTGTATCTGGAATATCGGAACCCCCTTGAACCTTTATCTATATTCAGCGCGTCGCGGCGTTTACCTGGCGATCATTTCCTCCACGCTCTCGTCTTGCACAGCTAGATAACTTATACTCCTGTTGGTGTTAACGAAGCGTTTGCCTTTGGTTAAATTCCTCAGTAATCGAGCGACGAGCGCCATAATCGTATTGACAACGACTCGGAATTGTCAATTAATATTCGCTGTATTACGGATCTAAGCAATCGCTGAAGAAGTGTTTAGTACTTACAGTATAGTCCGGTTGAGATTATTTGCACGGAAAGGCGTCGTATTCACTGTGGCACCAGCACACACGAACTGCCCGTCCGAGAATCGAATTCGCTCGCTAGGGCTCCGGAGGCCTTGGTGACCGCGCCGAGAGCGGATGTTCTTTTGTCCAGTTTCCGGGAAAGCATCCGAATCGGTTCGGGTCATTGGATGGTCATTGCTCACTAATGTACGCGCGATTTTGCAACATAACGTTTGTAGCCGTTGGATTTTTACACGAACCAACCTTCCTGATGGAGGTGTTAATGATGGCGATACAAAAACGAGCGCAGAGAGGTGTTTAATAAATTTGATCGCTTGTTTACAACAGCAATTCTACCACTTGCAGGAAATAGTATACTGCTTGAAGCGAGTTATAGAAAGCTTTTTCCTGCTGCTGGTAGCCTATAAAGCTAGATCTACAGTAGCTTGTCTTAGAAGTTCACAACAGCAATTTTACTCGTTGCAGGAATTAGTATAACGCTTGAAGCGAGTTATAGGAAGCTGGCTGGGTATCTTTTGTGTACCAGCGACCTTAATTAGAGGTTAATTTGGCGAATATTTTGCATATTTTTGAATAAAATGGAACAAAGGTTATCCGAATTGATGCCATCGCTTCGAATCGGTGTGTGAGATAAATGCGATTCGTCGCCATTGCAAGGACAGAAACTTTCAGAGCGTGAATAACAGGTACTTATTACAATCAAAACGCAACGCCGATAAAATGTTCTGAACATATCCGAAACGCGTTAACTTAAAATCGCGGTCGTATATTTCTAAGGTTTGGAAACGTAGGTCGAAAAAGTTTCTCGTTTTTTTGAAGAACAAAATTTAAAAAAAAATTACTTAAATCAGCGATGATTTTGTTGCCTTACGTATCTTCTGTTAATGTATTTCTTCCATGATTAAAATCAAGAAAACCCCTATTTTATGAGTGGATGAAATCGCTGATTATTAACCGATATCTATCGGGTGTATCGAACGCGGAAGTTCAACGTTCTGCGAAAAAAACGGGCTCACTAACACATGAAATTGCGCATTGTCGCATCATCTTAATTAGCGTCTATTATTTTCGAAGCGACAAATAAAAATTGAATTGATATGCCGGTACCGTTACGGCGCTAATTCAATAATTAACCGATTCGAAATCTTGTTATTAACAACGCCGGCGATAGAATGGGATTTAACGGGAACTAATGAGAGTCCGATGGGTTTTGTTAAACAATTATATTTTTAAAAATAAATACAAAATATAAAGAAAATAAATAACATCGTAACTTTTGACGCAAATTAGAAAACTTGTAGGTACTTAATACGTAATTATAATACTTTATTGCTTAAGTAAAAAATGCGCAAAAATCCGCACGACGTGTTGCAAATGCCTTTGGAACACGTTATGCTCACAGTTACGTGCTTGTATTGCACTTATCTCGCGAAATTAAATGGAGTATTTCATACGGAATGTTTCTTGTTAATACAATAGTAATAGTAGTCAAATTACCAACAGAACAAAAAAAAATTAAAACTAAAAGATGATAGATTATTGCACACTTATAACGTTAATCGTTCTTGTTTTTATTTAAAAGTCTATTAGAAAATTTTGTATACGTTGGCACTTGACACACTGTTTAAACGCGCAAAAAATTCGTTTTTTTTTTTGTTGTTGTTTAGGAAAAATAAACTAATTTTACAAAGCTAAAACATTGAATAAAAAATAGTTTGAAAATTTTTGATCACCCAAACGGAAACCGTATAGGAACGATATTTCGGTGAATACACATTTCTAAAAAATACGCTAAAAAGGAAATCATTTAACGTCCTGTGCGGCTGCATTGACTAAGGTTTCGTAAATCGTAAATCACACAACTTAAAATCTAATAACCCTTTTTTTTTGCTAATTGAAAGCCGACGCGCAATTTTACACAATAATTCGTACAAGTTCGTAAAAATTCCGTGGCCCAATATTTTTATATCAAATTCTAATGCACACTACTAACAAGTATTATATAACTTTATCAAACCTCTAGATTTATCTAATGTTTATTGGTTTTTTTCTTTTCACTAATGACGAAAAGTACAAAGGAAAGTCGCGAATAATTCATAATACAAGGATTACATCCCGCTTATTACGGAGTATTTTTTTATTTCTACGGCTTTACTTTGCCTTCAATTTTAGTTATATGTATTAATAAACCCTGCACCAATTATAGATATCAATAAAATCCGAAACAATAATCCAACAAAATTAAAATAAAAAAAAACGGTCATTTTTACGATATTCACAAATAAATAATAAAAAATATTCACTCTATGTTGATATATAAGGAAATTTAACGTGCGAATCGTGCAAACAATTCAATATAAAACATTTCTATATCCATACAATATAATAAATTTTCAAATCACAACTACGAATTTCAAAACAAATCACAATTCAAAAAGGGCACCCACTCGATTTACCTCATACATAAAATTTTTACAAACGATAAAGACAATATTATAAGGTAAATTTACCTACTTAACTAAAGCGCGGCGAAACGACCGCCTCGAATTCTCCGCCCGTCACACGTTCCCAGCGAAAGGATCCGGCCCGTTCGACGAATCGTCGATGCTCAAACGCAACGCCGGATCGTCCAGCGCCAATTTCGAATCCTCGTCGGTGCTGTCGATCGACGAAGACCTGTCGCCCGACAGCCGCCCGCGGCAAAACGGCCCTTTGCTCCGCTCCAAGCGCATCACCTGCGGAATTTTGTACGTTTAAAGTCGTACAAAGATATTCGAAGACCCTCGAAGGCCCGCATTCACCGCCACATTTTAACCTTAAACGCGACTTTAAACACAGAATACAGAACTTGGACATTCTGCGTTCTGTGACTTTAAAGTCGCGTCTCTAACTTGACAGATTTACATTGTTGTTATGGAGTAACTAAGGAGATTTTTTCAAATTGACAGATTTACATTGTTGTTATGGAGTAACTAAGGAGATTCTTTCAAATTGACAGATTTACATTGTTGTTATGGAGTAACTAGGGACTTTGTGTACGTTAAAGCACGGCCGTATATTCCTTTTTAATATCAAATTTCAACTTTGTATACTAATTTTCTATCCTCATCCACATACAGTTAAAAATAGGGCGCTGAATACGGGCGATAGTGTATAAGATCGGTATCGATACGTGAATGGGGCCCTAGTTAGGACTATAGTTCACTTATAATTCTGATAGGGATAAATTTAATTATGTACAAAATATGGATGCGTTTAACAAAGCGATATTTTACACAAACCATGCGGAAACGATCAAATATTACACGCATAATTCCGCGATGAAGTCGCCCGTTATTACAATCCGATAAGCAAATATCTTACGTGTTTGTTTTTTAGCAAAAAAAAAACCTGTTTTGTACATTCTGAAATGCGAATTATGCGTGTAAACTAATACATATACGATAAAGTTAAAAGCAACGTTTCTTACGCTTATTCGAGCCATCTCCAGGGCTCGGTGTCCGGGCTTGTGATAGGCGTGGGAAACTAATCAAAATTGTTATTAGCATACATGTAATGTGCGCGAAAAAAAATCCGATCGGCGGTTCGGAAAAAATACGATTTATCCACCCGCCGACGGTGTTAATGTAGATTATTTACAGAAAATTTCAAGCGAAAAGCGTGTGCTTATTGACATAAACACCATCACCAGTGATTTGTTATTATCGTAGACCTATCAATTATGTACTCTTCTCGGTTAATGTATCATTAATATCGCAATATCGACTCACTTCCGCTTGTAAATCCGCTACTTTATCCTGGAGATCTCTAACTTTATCGCTCGCCTCGACCGAATGGATCCTCAATTCGCCTTCGGTGGCGATTTCTTGACTCTAAAAAACCAACCAAATTCAAACCACTCGACTTTAAACGCACCCAAAAAAAAATCGTACTTTAAGCTCCAACTGGCCGATTTTCTGCATCAGCTCGGCCAAAGACTGCGTCTTTTCGGCGTCGCTGATCTTCGCCCGCATCAATTCGTCCTTCATCTTGGTCTCGAGATCGGCGTAGCGACGCTGCTCCTCCAATATCCGCGCCGCCGCCTCCTTGTCTCGCCCCTCCGCCGCCTCGATCGACTCCAAGTACTTCTTCATCTCGTCGTCCTGCCGGCGCAGCTGGTTCGTGCTCACCTGCACTTGCGTCTCCAGCTCCATCACCTTCGATAATCCAGATAAATACGTTAGTGAGTTAACGGGTGAATCGATCGATTCGAATTGTACCTTTAATCGGAGCTCTTTCACTTCGGTTAGAGTCTCCATTTCCCTTATTCTAGTTGTCATGAGTTCCTCTTCGAGTTTCTGCGTTTCGTTGTGGCCCAATTTGCCGAACAGTAACTTCTTGGGGGTGCTCAACGGATCCGGCGCCGGCGGAGGGTCTTGTTTGTGATCCTAAATACATTCGCATTATAAAATTAGCTACATAGGATGTATCGATTTGCGAAATTACCTGCAAGTGCCTCTGCCATTGCTCGGCCAATTCGGCCACCCTCTGTCTGAGGTCCTTCAGCGACAGATTCGCCTCGGCCTCTCTCAGCTTCACGGCGATCAGCTCCTCTTGCAGATGGGCGACGCTGTTGTCGGGCGTCGTCTCGCGCAGCGTCTTCTTGTCCTCCTCCAATTCGTGGATGCGCGATCGCAGGTCGCGTATGAGCGCGTCGTTCTCCGCCTCGCGCAGCCTCACCTTCACCAGCTCCTCCTGCAGGCACTCGATCATCTCTTCGCGCTGCTGCAACTGCTCCTGCTTCAGCGTGATCTCTTCGATCGACGATTGGCGGGACGTGTGCTGGAGAAGCGACGATTTGGAAAAAAATCAAACGGGAGGGATGATTAAAACTTACGGTTTCTTCCATCATCAATGACAGGGCTCTGATTTTCTCGTTGGCGAGGGCGAGTTGGTGGGTGGTTTCTAAATGCGTGTGCCTCAGGGCGTCCAGTTCCCTTTGGACGACGAAAGTGGTCTCTTCCTCCTCGGCTCTGCTCACCTGGCCTTTGACTAGTCGGTCGGCCAGCGCTTTGCTTTCCTCCTCCAACATTTCGCAGCGGTGTCGCAACTGTTTGTTCTCCTGGCGCAATCTCTGGGAATGTAAACGTTTGTTTGTTGCAAACGGAAGTTAATTAATAGGTTACCTTTAGTTCCGTCATTTCCTCTTGTTCTTTAGTTTTGATGACTATGTACTCCTTTTCTAGTTTTTTCATCTTCTTGGCGTTGTATTTGATTTCGTAGGCCGTCTGCATCAACGCCTCCGGGTCATTTTCGGCGTGTACGGGCAGTTCTTTTTGGAAATACTGAGAAAATTCAATTCCATATGATCATTAATTATCAACATTTTTCGTGTTTGTTTTGTTTATCTGATCGCGAGATAATAAAATTAAAGCGGAAAGAGGAGGGTATTAATCACGGTGTTTGCATTAAAAAATTGCATACGTTATTTTATTTTATTTTTCGTACAAATTTTCCAGTAGTATACAACGCAATTTATTTTCGCGATAAACACGTTAGAACGTTATCTAACACACGAATAATAAAAAAAAAAAACAAAACGCGCGGTAATATTCGAAAACTACAACGCGATACCATTATGATAGAAACAATTATATCTTATCGAGTTTATTTTTTTAAACTCGCTCTATTATCATATTTGCAAATTCGAACTGATAATAGTCTATTTTCGCCTATCGACAGGGCGCTTCGGAAATAGATTCGAATTACCTTCAACATTCCCTCCATATCCAACGACATCAGCTCGTCCTTGCCCAACGTCAGCATCGCCAAGGCCACCTTGAAGATGATCTCCATGCCTTCTGAAAGAAACACGTCCATGATGCGACAGGCCAACGGCAACGACAGCGCCGTCGTGAACAACGTCAGGAACCAGCTGGACGCGTACATCGACGTGTGGAAGTTCTGCGACTGGAAGTGCTGGTTCAAATCGGGCAGGTGTTCGGCCACCAGGTTCTCCAATTGGTACATGCACAGGCCGAGCTCGGCCATGCTCGGCTTGAACATGTCGCGCATCCTGTAGTCCTCCATGATCTTCACCAGCACCGCGAACGCCTCCTCTTCCGGCATCTTGAAACATATAAACGATTAACGATCGTTGCATCTCGGCAACTCGCCTGTGTCGGGTCACCTGCATCAGCAGCAAGCCGACGATGAAGCCGGAACCTTGGCAGTATCCGACCTCTCGGTCGTGCAGCGAGTACGCCTTGATGACGTTGAAGAGCGATTCTTGGCCGAGGCCGTCTTTCTCCTTGAAGAAATCGTGCTCGGGATAGGTGCGGGCGATGTCTCTTCGGATCACTTTCTCGCACGGCGATTTCGTCTGTTAAAGAGAATCGGAATTAAACGAAATGATTCGATAGTGTTTGTTTGTAGAGAAGTTTTCCGCAATTCGTTGGGCGAATAAAATGCGCCGATTGTTAATGTTAATGCTAACCAAAGAATTGAATATTGCAATAAATTGTAATAACAGCGAAGAAACGCGTTTAGTACGCATGCAAGTGTTAGGAAAACGCGATTTATAATTACTGCAAAAATTATAAACTACCGATTAATTATTAACGCTATTTTATCAGATCCGATTAGCGATATCCGACATGGCAGAAATGCAATTTCGCTCTAATAAGAATCACGCTTCGGCAATAATTACATGTAGCGTCTCGCTAAAGCAAGCGAACGATATTACATAAAAAATAAAACTCTATAATTAACCGATTCCGCTGGTGGAAACGCTCTTGAAATCGACTCACTTTTATGTATTCGGCGTATAATTTCTTCTCCGGGGACTCCGTCGCCCGGCAGAGCAGCTGCCAAACGATCGCCCTGAAATGCAACGGTATCCCCCTGCGCACCAGTTCGCGTATTTGAACGTTCTGCTTCTTCCAGTTGTTCTCCCAATCGTTGACGATGTGGCCCCAGGTGACCCACAAATCCTCCTCGCCGCCATCGTCGGCGCGCTCCTGCGTCGAACTCGTCCCTGAAACACCTTAAATATATCCGAATAACCGACGCTACGTAGGCCGCTATTTACCGGACGTCAAGGATATCTGCGAGGTGTCGGAGCTTTTGCGCGAGTGCCCCGACGTGGCGGAGGCGCCGCTCAGCGAATTCAACGACTTGGCGTCGGACTCGTAGAGCCGATTCGCCTCTTCCAATTTGGCCAGTAACTCCAGCTCGGAGCCGGTGACTTTGCCGTCGTCGTCGTTGTTGTTGTTGTTGTTGTTGTTGTTGGTTTCTATCAGGTGAGGGCCTCTCGTGGCAGGCGGGCTGTCCCCTTGCTGGAGCCTCATGGCTGCTGAGGGCGGCATCGCCGGATCGTAGCCGCCATCGGCATCGAATGACACCAGGCAACTTAGCGAAACAACTCTGAAAATACACGGAAATTTCAACGGTAATGAAAGAGTTTATAAATGGTGGCCTCTCGCTTACGGGCATATCCAGCCAATGATTTTAAATAGCTTGTACCTTATAAAAATACACAAACTCTGAACCCATAAGAACCGATTTATCTTTATGCCTAAAAGTTCCTTCTCCAAACGAGCTTTTCGGTTTTGGGAAATCTGGTTTTCGTCGATTCGGGCTCGTATTAGAGCGCCTCTTTATGTAAATTTAAGAGACGCAAATAGGAAGATGATAAAATAAATATACGATTTTATCGTCCGACGTTCTGGTTTCGTATCTACACCGGTGTATCCTGTTACAGGCCCGTTAAATAAAGGAAAAACAGAACACGAAAATTACCAACTCGAATGCATTTTATTGTTGCACTTACAGCCTACCGGGTTGCTTGATTGGAACGTCTAGAGTTTATTTTTGATTTTAGCGTTGCAGTTGAAGCACTTCACGTATACAAGACGATCCTATTTATAAATAATACGATCTAAATTATTCCTAACTAATGCTATTTCTTAATTTTCCACGAAATATTCTCACCTTTTTATTAAAAGTACTTAAATTGACATATGACGTTTCGAATCCAATAAATTCATTTGACAACTACGGCCTACTAGATTCCTAACACTAATAACATATAAAGAGATAGAAGATCAATCTACCAATATATAAGATATGCGATGGATAAAGATAGAAAGCTAATTAGAATTATAAGTATTGCTCTTATCTATCATTGTAATTAATGCTTATTAGTAGGGAAAGTGGGACACTATATTTTTTCGTTAAACTACAATGAATATGGATAAACATTCATTATTGAAATAATTTACCTTTTGCTCGATCTTCTCGAATACCAGTACCTCGAAGAGACGAATTTATACACCATATTACTCTAATGTCGCACTTTAGGCCGTTTAATCATCGTTTGATACTTCGTTGTAGGTGCAATTATAAGTAAAAAAAGGTGGTTTCGGTAAGGAAATCTAATTTAATCAAAGTTAGAGCTCAATTCTGCGGGTATAAATTACAAATTAATTAACTCGGGTAGGGTTAAGTCATTAAATCGACCGTTTTGCTTAACATACTAATGCATGTTCGTGTTTGGATGTCGATTCGAATCAATTAGAACGAGAATGAATTATCCTGCTAATCAATTCATTCGAAAGAGGCGATAATAATGCCATAATTAAATTTCGCTTCGATAGATAAACAATTAAATTGTTGTCGAGTTGCGCAAAATTTTGGAAACTGGTTAAATTCGTCCTTCTGTTTAACAACAAAATCGCGCCTACGCGAAAGAAATTCAACAATTTTACTGGTAAGTTTACTAAACAATCATGTTAACAATATGCAAATTTTTTCAATATACGACGAGGACAAAAAAAACTAATTCTTTCAGCATTTCCAACTGACCCAATTACATCGACATTCGAACGAATAATTCACGAAAAAAAAAAAACAATAACAACGAATTATTATTACCGTCGAATTGTTTTTATTTTAATTGTTTTAATGACACGACCGTTCGGTATTTTTTAATTTAGATAACGCTAACGAATTTCGCATTTATTCGCTACTATTTTAGGCGGGTTACGGCGATTTGCCGAAATCGGGACATGCACTCCCGACGCCTCGACAATCCCGAAACAGAACTGAGCGAATCCAATCCAGGATGGAAGCCGAGGAAACCGGGATGCCCACGCAATCGATTCGGAATCGATTGCGAAGGTTAAAATCGAGAGAATTTCGCAATGCATTAGCCACGAATGGCGGTTGGAAATGGCCAACGAGGAAGAACTGCTCGGTGTGCATAATCTCGCGCGTAATCACCGCAAATAAAACTCGGATATTTCAATGCGATTAGATGAATCAAATTTCGATAATAGGAATCGATTGCGTTTGCCATTCGATGCGGCATCTCCGCGAATCGTCCTCCTCCCCGGTCAGGACCAGATCGATAAGGTCGCATTAATGTTGCACGAGAGGATATCAAATTCTATTTACTATCCCATTTTTAGTGAAATATGGCACCGACTTTTTTTCTCGAAACACTCCGGTTTAATGGAAATGCGAGAAACTGCTACATAATGAATTATTTGTCTTGCTTTGTTTCTTTTTCGTCGAAATTTGATGGGATTTTCGTATACTTTTGCATGCAAATTTTTGTCGTTGCCGGTTTTGCGGTAAAATATCGAACGAAAGGAAATTGAAATTTCGAAATGGTAAATCACTCGTTGAACTTGAACATTTTAATGATTATTTAAAACGAAATATTAAGGAATTTAGAGCGGAACAGTCGACGAACTGGCCGTCATATTATTAAAATTTAACTTCATTTCTTTAATTTTTACCGTTTTTAAACTACAAAATTTACACAAAACTTATATTAATATCAGAAAGTGTTCGCATTTGAATCCAACTCGATTCCTTACTTTTATGATAAATGTTCTATTAGGAAAATTGAGCCATATATAAATTTCCCCTATCCAAATGGGCATATTAATACCAACTCCTGTCTTCTATTGGGAAAAAAACCTTTTCCATTATTAACCAATAACCGTTGTAGAAATATTTTACGACCTTCTCCGCCATCCGATGGTCTATTCGGGAAAATTATGAAGACAATAAGCAGTTATCATTTCGGTGGAAAGCGGAAAGTTGGAAGAATAATGTTAGTTGTTGCATTTAAATTTTACATAACCGCATGTTCATGCCGATAGAATTTTTACAGGATAATATACGACCTAATGGTGTATAAATATTCGCACCGCACGCCCCTATTTGTTAATGGGCCAAGCCTAACTAGAGGGTTGGTTTTCTGTGGAAAACGAGGTCAATATTATAAAACAAATTCTCCCTATACTTAAAAAAAAAACATCAAAAGTTATACATCCGAGTCTCAGAGTTCGTATTAGTAGCCACTACCATTACCGCTTCGGGTGATTCATACTTCAGGTAAATGTACCTGTTATTGAACCATCGAGTTCCAATGGCTCTTACCTAAAAGGGAAAACTCTATTCTACCTGTTAATAACCGTTATATTTCGAACAGGTGGTTTAATTTGTTGAATATCCCACTGTTTTCGGCAAACAATCCGTTCAAAATAAATAATTACACGTTTAATTTTTGTGGAAACAATCACAAATAAAAAAACAATCTGTTAATTGGTGTGAATTTTGCGACCTACTTTCGAGTATTAATAATTACAAGTGCGTACGCAAATCAGCTTACGAATCTTTAATATTCGATATATTGAGGAATATTAATACGCATCCCATCTAAAGAATTCAATATCGAGTGATTGGGTATTGCTCACCTGTTAGCTACTCCCCCGCAACAATAAAATCCTGTTTACGCCTCGAAATGCGGTTTTTCACTCATAACTAACCTTAGGGCGATCGTTCGTGAGATTTCGCGTGAAATGTACCGACAAATTACCGAAAATCGCAAGTGTATCTAATAAATCGCACGTAAAAAACGGCAAATACGTGTCGCACGAAATACTCTCACGGCGTATCAAAATTGCACTGAAATAAAATGACAGCGTATACAAAAATGACATTCCTCCAGCTGATTGTCATATCGATTTGTATCTAACTTAACAGGATATCATGATTCCCAATTCGATAGGTCTTTCTTATTTTTTATTGGCTAACATATTACATTTTCCTGTTTAAAATGTACTCATCACCAATCAAAATTAATGGTATTAACGATGGTAATCGAAGCGGTATTGATTTCAACGGAAACAACCGAATCGTATAGTGTGAAGTTAGCTACAACACCAACTTATGTCAATATGAGAAGTGTTTCTTCATTGTTTGTTGTATGTAAAAGACAGTGATAGAGCATACGATTTCAAGAGGGAACTCTTCTTTCGACAAAAAAACCGTTGTTTTTAATTTTCTATCAACATAACAAAAATGGCGGACGATCAGTTACCTGCCGGTTGGGAAAAACGTCTCAGCAGGTCAACCGGTGAGTTATTTTACAATCGAATCGCTGATAATACCACCATATTTATAATAGAAATACACGCATCCAGTATTTCGGCGAAACGCCCACGCTGTACCAATGCGATTTTAGGTTATTTATAAAATCGATGTGTTTGTAGGCCAACATTACTACTTAAATATTTACACAAAGGAGTCCCAATGGGACGTGCCGGACAAACCAGCGGAGCCCGTCTCATCCAGCGGACCAGAACAAGTACAATGCTCGCATTTATTGGTAAAACACAAGGACTCCAGGCGGCCGTCCTCTTGGCGAGAGGAAAACATTACCCGCACGAAAGACGAAGCCTTAGATTTAGTAATAAGTAAGCGGCAACGCGACGAATCGATTCCACGTAATTATCCATCTTTTTCCAGCTTATCGAGAACAAATTGCTCAAGGTAAGACCTCGTTCGCGGAGCTGGCTTCGAAATACTCGGATTGCTCGTCGGCGAAGAGAGGCGGCGATTTGGGGCCGTTCGGCAAAGGGGCCATGCAGAAGCCCTTCGAAGAGGCCGCGTTCGCGTTGAAGGTCGGCGAATTATCCGATCCTGTGTTCACGGATTCCGGCGTACACATTATTCTACGTACCGTTTAAGGTCTAAGCATTTCGAATTTCCGATACACAAATACTTCCGATTTTAACATATTTCTTATATTTTTATGATTATTATTTAAACGAGCTGTAAGGATGCTTGTAAGAATTGTCATATCCGCTTATTTTATTTAATAACCATATTAATACTTTTCATTTTGTCTTTCTCAAAGTATAACAGTTTGTTGGTGGATATTAGAATAAAAATTACGTTAAATTAATTTCGTCTATCTTTTTCATATTGTTATTCGTAGAGGAATAGGAATAAAAACACCCAAATAGAAATACGGACATTTAATATATTTACCAAGAAACGTAATACAAAAGAAATGAGACCCTAGCAGTAATGATATAATAAAATTCAGTTAAACCCAAAGAACGCGTAGCAATCTAAAAGAAATACATTTAACTCTCCTGATGGCTCATGGCTCTCGCTTGGGCTCGCACTCTCTTCTCGTATTCTAAGCGGTTCTGACAGTAAATGGTGTAAGCTTCGGCCTGGGCGGGGTCTTTTACGTTGGGTTCGTTCAGCAGATCCTGTATGCCCAATAGAATCTGCTTGATGGTTATGGCCGGTCGCCAGTCTTTTTCTTCGTCTAATAGAGACAAACAAACGGTTCCTGCAACGATAAAACATTTTATAAAGGATAATCGAGGGGCAATAATAGTTGAGGCGTACCTGATGGGTAGACGTTCGGGTGGAACAGCGGGGGCTCGAATTTGCATTTCGGGGGACTAGACGGGTAATCTTCTTTGAACAGCATCCTCAATTTGTAGTGGCCCTCTTCCCAAGGGGTGCCCTTTTTGCCGGGGATCGAGCACTCCCAGTTCATCAGGTTCAACGTGCCGTCCGGGTTTTTCGACGGCCTTGCCACGAAACCGAAAGGATGGTCCTTTCTCCACGCTTTTCGCTCTTCTGTTAGACGAGTACTTGCTATTCCAGACATTCTACCTGCAAACAATCAAATCATCAGATACGAAATGTAACGGGAAGCTTGTAAGATGCTTCGAATAACGAATTAATATGTTTATTTGGAATTGTATTGTCGTTCAAACCACCGGTGGATGAGACGCGCTTGTCACATCGGAAAAAAAAATGTATAATAAACAACCTTGGGTAGTTTTGGGATATTTGAAATTAACTTACTCTTATAGTCAATATGTTTTTTAAATAAATAAATTATCCAGTTCCTAATTCTTTAAAAAATGCTACGAGAAACGATCACGACATAAAAAAATTCTGGGACTTTCGACAAAACTGACAGTTTTGACATTTGACAAACGACATATCCTCTTCTCACAAATTTAAATCGGCCTTTTACGTTATAAGGAATCAAAACAATTGTATCTAAGAAATAAAGATAAATTTATTTAAAAAACTTAATATTCACAAATCTATTTAGTCTTCGACTTCTCTTTCTTATCTTTCTTAGCGGACTTTTTCTTCTCCGCCGGCGCCTTCCTGGTGAATCGGGTTATGAGGGAAGCGAACAGCCCCAAAACAAAGGTCCCGAAGCCGAGTTGCCACAACCAAGGGTTCTCCTTCATGTACATGGCCACCATAGTAACAAAATCATCAAACGGCGTCTTAGGGAGCGGCACCTTCTCGGGAGTGACGTTCTTGTACCAAGTCAGGGCGAAGTCCGATAGGGAAGCGACATCGAACTTCTGGATGTTGTATCGATACATCTTCCCTTGCCTGAACAGTATGAAAGAAGGTATGGCGAGTACTTCGAAACGTCTGGCTGTAGCCGCCCCGCTTCCTGCTTTATTCACTCGAGCGATGTTGATCCTGGATTTTATTTTAGCTCCTACGGCTTCCCAGCGGGCTTGCATTCGAGTGCAATCCACGCAATCCGGCGTGTAGAACATAACGAACCAGTCACCGGTCGTGGCTCCTGTGGCGGCCTGCGTTAAATGCTCGAACGTGTTGTCGGTTAATTCCTTCGACACCGGCTCCTTGTTCGAAGTTAACGTATGCAGAATCAGTTCGTCGTTTAAGGGGCCGTTGTAAAGCAACGGAACGCCGTGCCGGAAAAACACTATAACAGGCTCCTTATCCTGGCTGTATAACCTAGTCATTTGACTGTCCTCTACCTTCACAACCCAAGCGTTCAGAGCGTCTACTAATTCTTCCCTGAGAGAAATCAACTCGTTTTCGTAGTTATCACATGATTCACAGTATTTTCTTGAAAACAAAACTACAACATATTTTTCAGTCCTGATGAGGTTCATCAGCTCATCATCTTGTACGACTTCGAGATTGCCTCGGACTAGGAGGAATTTCAAAAATACGACTATCACAAATGCTAATTTCATTTTGAACGAATGCAATTAAATAAAACATACAGGTTTACTTTCGCTCGCCTCTTCAAGAATTCGTCGACAATACAAGTGACAGTTATTAGAAAGGTTAGTTTCTTCTTCTAATTAGTTTGTGGACTATTTCTTTTGTATTAAGTAGTTAATTTTCTTTTGACACTTTTGAATGACAGTCAATGACATTTTTTGTGGAATAATTGTTTATTAGCAAAAATATTGCTATAATTATATAATTGAATAAAAAAAAATAAGTGTCATTGTGATTGTTCGTAACTCTAAGTACGATATATATAGAAACATATTTATTATTTATTTTAGTTCGTGCGTAATTGTCGATATGAATTCATTGTACAGACCCCAACACATTTCTAAATGTAATCTACTCGCCAAGCGATTCATCGGGCTGTCGCAATGCAGGAGCGCCTCGTTTAAAGTGCAAGACGATAAGGATTTCTTCGAAAAAGTGGAAAAGAGCAAGGAGCCCATCCTGGTCGATTTCTTCGCTACGTACGTACTATAACAATCTCCGAGAGGAATTTTTGAAATATCTAATTTCTTTGTAGATGGTGTGGACCCTGCAAGATTTTAGAGCCGAGATTACAGAACGTTATAGCCCAGAGGAAAGGCGAAATAACACTGGCTAAAGTTGATATAGACGATTTGGGAGAGCTGGCCGCTAAATACGAAGTAATTTTTAATATTTTGTTATTAATTGGTGTATTAAAAACGATTTCCTATTCAGGTTAGTTCGATTCCTGCTTTGTATGTTTTCCAAAATGGTGAAGTCAAAGAACGCTTGATCGGGCTGCAAGATGAAGACAAGCTGAACTCCTGGATCGATAATAACTTTAACAAAAAATAGATTGTCGCGTTGATTAATGTATGTTACGTTGTTAATAGGTGATAAATAAAAAGATTACTAACTAAACAATAATGCATTTTTATTTATCTCTACTCTTCTTATGTTTGTGTTTCTTCTTTTTGTCCTTTTTGTGTTTGGATTTCTTGCGTTCGCGTTTGGAATCCTTTTCTATCCATTCGTCATCGCTGTGATTTGAATTAGAATTAGTTGCTGCTATCTTACTAGATGTAGTAGGGAGTATATTGGAATTGCTAGGCAATTGGGGCCCGTATGAACTTGTTTCACTTTCAGTATTCTCAATTTCGATAATTGCGTCTGTTGTTTTCTGCTTCGGTTGAAACGAGATATTGGATAAAATGCCTTGCTTTAAAGGTCTAATTTTCGGTACTAAATCGAATAATATACTTTCTTTGAAGTCTTCATTTTGTTTCTTCTGTTCTTCTGTTTGTTTCTCTTCCTCTTGTTGTTCTTCTTCGCTTTCCGAATCGCTGCTTTGAAATACAGCTTTGAAAAGATCCACGTTCTCTTCAACACCGATTTTATCTGTGATATCAACGAAAACAGTCTCGGGTTTGTTCGTATTCTCGCTAGTTTCGGATTCGCTCGGTTTCGGAGACGTTCGTTCGGTTTTAACCACAACGATATCTTCAGTACCGGTCACGTTCGATGGAGGTTCTTCGATGGAAGTCGAAGGTACCGAACACCCCGGTTTAAACAACGCGGAGGTGTCGTCGAAGGTTTTCTGACTTTCGAATATCAAATTCTTAGTTCGTTTCCTGTTCTTCAATTCCTGAGGCTCCGTCGAAGGTTCGGGAACGTTGAACCTCTTGCATAAAAGAGAACAAGGCGCCCAATCGACGGAGATTCTCGTGATTGGCCCGTACATTTTCATTTTAGCCGCATCTCGCATGTCTTTTGTACCGTGCAGTATTTCGTCCTTCTTATCGGGTTCCGAAATATCCAGGTCGCCTTGATGAGAAGCCGAAACGAATTTGTCTTCCATCAGAGAAGCCATGAAAGAGTCGGTTTTCGATTGCTTGGTTTCGTTTTTATCGGTATTTGATTCTCGTTTTTTAGTTTTATTATCGTTTTCACTAGGTAAAGCTCGCTTCGATGACGTGTAATTCTCCGGTACTTCCTCTCCTAGATACCGAGCTCTGATAGCAGGGTTTATTTCGTTTCTGCTGGTTTCTACTTCGGGTTCGGTTTTTACTTCGATTTGTTCGAATCGGGATTTTTTGACTTTATGCTTTCCGGTGAAACTGTGAGGAATGACGGGAGGCGGAAACGATTTTTTCGCAATCAACGGTACATTAGATCGCTTGAACATCCCCAATATAAGGGTGACTTCTTTATTTCGACTCTGATCGGTTTTCTTTTCTTTAGTCAACTCGAAATCGTAATTGCTCATGTCTTCTTTCACGTATATGTCGTCGTCGTCTTCTTCGAACGCCCCCACACCGAAGGCTTGCCCTCCGATGGAGAATTTCTTGTCGTTTTTATCCCTGATTACCAGATTGGAGGATGCGAATAGATTCACGTGGGTTTTTTCCAATCCTTTGTATTCCAGACCGAAGGTGTTCGACTTGGGGGACCTCAAGCAATCGGTGTAAATGGCGGGGATCTTGTACTGTTTGTTCTTAATTACTTCTGGTACTTTAAACTGGTCCGGTTTCTGACAACCGTACGTTTTTGTATCGGTAAATTCATCATCGCGCGCTTTAATTTTATCTCTAATTCCTATTTTCTTGAGGAGTAAATACCCGATTGTCTCGTTACCTGAAGTTAGTAACGTCTCTAACACCGGTTCACCTGGAATAGGACCTTCGGAGAACACCTAAAAAGTTACCAAATCAGTTAAATTCAAACCTTCTTTAATTGAACTAACCTGTCTCCTTCGTTTCTTCGATGTAGAATAGTCTTTCGTGGCTCGAATCGTTTGAGGCGCTATCCCGTACTCGCCGAGGTCCTCCTGGTCCATAAAATCCACGGGATTCTGCACGAATTGCTTGGCCTTCTCGACGCGCGAGCTTTTGAAATCGCTGGGCGTCCATCCCTCCAGCGAGCCCACCGTGTTGAAGAACCCCGCGGAAAAGCCTCCCGTAAAGGCCCCATGGAATCTACGCCGCCCCTGCGCGTCCGTGGCGATCTGCTCCTCCACGCTTATCGGTCTTTTCTTCGGTATCGAATCTACAAGAGGTGTATTGTTGGTTTGAAAATGTATTGAATTGGTGATATGTACTTACCTTCATCGTACGGGTCTAATGGCTTGCCGAAGAAACAGAAATTTTCTTCCTCCTCTTCACTGGACATTGTGAGTAATGTTTTAAAAGTGCTAGTAAATTAGTTAGTTTAAATTATTTCTTCTTCAAGTATTTATGTTTGTTTTATGTAAATTGTTTTGTAATAATAATAATGAGGTTATGTTATTGACATTGACCATTGACGTTTAGTGTCAATTTGGCCTTTGGCTGGTACGGATAACTGACACCTCTAAATTTGTCAATTTGATCTCTTCTTATAAGGACATACAGGCTCGTACTTCGTCTTTGCAACGAAATTTAGATAAAAAAACCAACTTTTTTAAAGCATTTATTATTTAACGACATATTTTAATATAAAAACATAAATTGTTATAATTACCTAATAAAATTAACAATTACTATAAACTCCTTAGGCGGGTATTGAACGCAACAATTGTTCGAATTCCTGCGTTAAATAGAGGCCCAACAGACTAAAGATAACATATTAAGTAGAATTATTGTAAATACAAAACAATAAATAAGAAACAACGTTATTTTAGGACTCGAAATCTTCCACAATCGCACGTTGTGATTTACGTAAATAATATCCTACAAGAGATCTCGATTTGTCATGAACAAAATCTAAATGGATGTGATCAGACTCATTGAAATTACATTAGCTAAAAATTACGTTTTGGCATAGTTACTTCAAACCCCTGCGGCTTTTGAAGATTCGAAAAAAGCGCAAATATGTTTAGAAATCCATTATGTGTCTGTTGAAATGCATCATGCGCTAGATAGCCTCGTAATCGGCCTCTAGCGGAGGACTAGTAGTGCCGTTTAAAAATTCTTCCAGCTCATCTTTGTGCGAATTGAACGCCTCGTCTCTCGACCGCCTCTTGTTCTTCTTGTCCGCCTTCTTATCGCTATCTTTGGGCTTCTCCTTCTCTTTATCTTTCTTCTTGTGCTTCTTTACGCTCTGGAAATAAACGCGCTACAATTCGCAATTCGCTTTGTAAAATTCTCGTTTACCTTCGCTTTCTGTTTCTTCTCTTTCACCGCGGAATTAGAAGACGGCCCGCCGTCTTCGGCCTCGCTATTGCCGCTGGACTTCGTCGGGAAACTCGCCCTGGAACTCAACAGTTCCATGTGCACGTTGGAGGAATTAACGCTGTTGCTATCGTCGTAAACGGTGCTGTTGCTGTTGCTATAATCTAACGTTTGACTCACCACAGAATTGTCTTCGCCACCTGGAGATTTATTGCGTTAAAATCGATTTATTCTACTCCGAGTATAGTTCGTTACCTTCCGGCGATCGACGCCATTTCGTATCAACTCCAATCCAAGCATCGTACGCGTCAGAGGTGAGCTCCGATATTTCCGAGTTGATAGTCGAATCGAACTCATCGGTCGTTTGCTTCATATCGTAATCCTCGGGCAAACTTTTGTCGCCTTCGTTCTCCTTGCTCTCGTCGGATTTCGGCAATTTCGGCGCCCCGTTAGAGGATTCGACCTTCTTCGAGTGTTTCAGCGGTTTGGGCATCTCCTCTTCGAAATCGTCTTGGAATTCCGAGACCAGAGGGTTGCCGGTATCGGTGTCGCTGGAATAATTATTCGTTAATGTTCCATTTGGTCTGTATTTGGTGAGTACTTACGTGCCTGAATCGTCTTCTTCGTTGATTTGAGATGAAGCTATTTGGACGTCGTCCAGGAAACCTCCCAACTGGCCGTTGTCGGGGCAAAACTCCTCGACTGATTTTATAGGGCTTATTTGCAGGGATTTTATATCGGGCGTGCTCTCTGCAATTTTCGTGTCAGTTCCCCATTTCGACACAAAACCAGAACTCATACTGGAACTCTTCGATATCTGTTGGGGAATCGGTTTTTTTACCGCCAATGCGACGTTGCCGTACGGAATCGGTTTACCTGCGAATGTTACTTTAGTAAAATGTATCACTATTAATTAATTGAATTAAACCCACCGGCGCCTATTACTATGGAAGCACTTTGGGACCTCTTCATATCGGTGCCGGAATTCGGAAGAGGTTTGACCAGAGGTGGTGGAATGTTGGCGTTGGAATCGGCCACTTCTCTCCTCTTTTTGACGAGGTTTTCCAAAAATTTCCCGTAATTGGCCTCGTCCGAGTGGCAGTACATGTCCAATTCTTGAATTGTAGCTTCGGTTTCCACGTCGTTTCGTTCCAATTGCTTCAGCAGCGTCTCCTTTTGGAGTTGCAGGAACGGCAGGTTGAAAAATTTATGCAGGATTTTCAAGCCGAAGCCGTTCCGCATCGACGATTCCGAGTGACGAACTTGGGCTGATCTAGTACTGAAACATACAGATTTGTGTTATGTTAAAACGAAAAGTTTTTGATTGAAATTACTCACCTCGCTATAGATTCAATGTAGTAGTTAACGTGATCGGTCGTAACGGTTCTGTGATGAGACATGTCGCAATGATTCGATAGAATGATAACGGGAATGTGTTCTGGAATTTTCGGCAGTTCTCGTTGAATGTAATCGAACGTCCAATTTTTCGTTAAATCCATTATCATGATGACCTAAAATGATATGTAATTACGTGGATTATTACACGAATTTAATCGATTGTATTTACTCCGTTAGTTCCTTTGTAAACGTCTAAAAATTCCGCGTCTAAGGCGTGCTCTTCCTCGACTTCGATTTGAGTATTCTCCAATTTCAAACCCTCGAAATGCTTCTTCTTCTTGCCTTTATCCACAACATCCCACACCTCCACTTTCACGATATCATCTGTAGCCTTGTAGTTCCATTGTATGGACGTTACTTGGATTTCATCGGTCGGAATGTATTCCTCGACGAATTTTTTGCCTTGCAATCGGTGGAATAGACACGTTTTACCGACATTCCTGTCGCCTTTGATAACGATTTTCACTGCAAATAATTACTATTAGTATGCATATTTGGTGGAATATATTACTCACTGTTATATTGAACGCCTCTGGCGAATTTTTTCTGCAACGACGAAGACATGGTTTGGTGGCTGGAAGGGCGAGACGCGGGGCCGTTGTTAATCGGCCCATCGCCCTTGCTCGCTAATCTTTTAATTGCCGAGAACATTGTTTCCTAAGCTCGAAGCACCGTTAGTTGTTAACAGTTTTACTCCATATGTAATGATTTTACGCCAAGATGAATCCGTTTCGTAGGCGTAAACGCTTAGATTTTACGAAAAATAACCAATAACTTGATCATTGTGGATAAATAATAAGGATATTAACGACACTCGTTAGTTATTTACAAACAAAATAATGGTAATTGCAAAATAAAATCTATGTAAATATTGAATATTGACGTGACCGTGACGGTTTTGTTGACATTGACAGGTCTTCTTCTTGTGCTGTAGCCTGTAAAGTACTCAGTGTCCTTTACTGCCGGTTTTATACGGTTATTTAAAAGGACTCTTACTATGATGTTAGTGATGCAATTATCTAGAACTGAAAAAATGAAAACGATCTATTTCCACACTATTTCCTTTTGTAATTGCATCTTGAATAAACTCATACATTATAAAATTTTGTTTGATATTTTTTGTGATTTTAGTCAATGTTTTTTAAAATGTATGATAATATTCAATGTATAATTCAAACGAATGCTGTTTGAATATATAAAAACCTTTTAGATTTAATTTTTACGTCTAGACTTTTTTTTACAATAGAAATTGCTTTTTGTATTTTTGAATACAAATAATAATATAATTCATTATGAAATAATTGCTGTTTTGTTTTCGTTTAAAATAAATAATTTTCTGTCGTAATTATTATTCCCCAATACATTATCATAATGTTATTATCTATGTATATTTTGGGTGACGATATAATAATTATTTTAAAAACGCATCAGTACTTTTTGCTTATATTTTCATAAACGAATTCATTGCGAATTATTCTTTTGAAATAGTCAATTAAATCTCCTATATCAAAGAGAACTGCAATTGTAAATATGTGCAATTAAACCAATAAAAACCATTACAAAAAACTCATATATAAACCTTTCAAGAACATTTTACTAGTTTTATTATGTATCAATTGAATTTTCATTTATTCAATTTAAAATAGTTTTCTTATTTGATAAAAGCAAATATGTATGGACATTCTCTTAAGAGTTTCTTCCCAACTCTCCCCTACATCGTTCTAGAAATTAATGTAATTCACGAAAATTTGTTTAGTTCAACATTATGTAGTTAATTTATGAAATAATTACACCATGCATTTAACGGGCTTAGCAACAAGTGCGCGTTAAAATGTTATCGTTAGAAAAAAACGTTCTTTACGTCCGATAAGTCCAATTTGTTTTACAATCCGAACCAAACATGCGAGACAATCGCCGGCCGTCGTTTTATTATTCATTCGATAAAATAAATTAGTAGTAAAAGCGTTTAGTTTTATCGCATCGCCGGTTTATAAATAACAGCCCCCCAGCGACGTTTCGTCACATTTATCAGGTAATGTTGCAATTCCGCGGAAATTTTTTCAAATCCGCCATGTTTTCGCGCGCTGTCATCGAAATCGGCCACCTGTTGATCCGCGCAAAGGTAACGTGATGTTTTTTACAAATTTATAAAAAAATACATAAAACAAATATTGTCGAGCGCCGTTGAACAAAGACGAAGATTCCAACTTGTTTGTTAGATTAGTTTGTCAATTACGTAAATGTTGACCTATTTGGTAAGAGCGAGAAATCGAAGAAACAACGACCCCATTGACCCGGCGAACGTTTGTTTACTCACCAGTATTTAAACGTTATTTCATTTATAACACTAACGAGTCGATAACGTATAAACGCGTTAAACGTACCGCGCTCCAATTTCCTCTAATCGCCTTTAATACAACCTAACGTGTCCGATTTGAGGTTAGTAAGCGCCCCATAACCTACGAATCCGCATCGTCGCATCGACGCGGCCCGAACGATGAGAATTTACAAGTTGTTTTCGCTACCGCAGGTGCAGAGAGCGCTCGTCACGCGACTGTCCACCGCCAGCAGCGCCGCCGCCATGGAATCGCTCAACGCCAACGTCTGGGACTCCGATCCCGAGCTCTGGGACCTGGTGCAGAAGGAGAAGCGCCGCCAGCGCTCCGGGCTCGAGCTCATCGCCTCCGAGAACTTCACCACGATGCCCGTGCTCCAGTTGCTCGGCTCCTGTTTGCACAACAAGTACTCCGAGGGGCTGCCCGGCCAAAGGTAAAGGTCTAATGCAGGTGTACCTAATTTGCAATGTACACAAGGATGTGTACTGGATACATACCTTGTTCGAGACCAGTAGTGGTTGAGTATTGTAATTCGTAATTAACAGAGTTATATGCACTTTTTAAGTAGTTTTGTTTAGAATTTATTGATAAAATGACCTTCGTTTTAGGTATTATGGGGGTAACGAGTACATCGATCAAATCGAATTGTTGGCGCAGAAAAGATCATTGGAGGCGTTCGGTTTGGATCCGGAGAAATGGGGAGTGAATGTACAACCTTATTCCGGTTCTCCTGCTAATTTTGCCGTCTATACAGGTGATTTCATATGTCTCATTGTCTATTAGAATGCCTAAATTAAGTACAATATCAAAGCCTTTCGAATAGGCTAGACAATTAGACTGTAGATTCTATTAAAAAAAGGCTCATTTACAAGTTATACTTAACTCATTTCGCTTATAAAGATTCACTCTGTATATTAAAGCTTACATTTCTTTTTTACAGGTTTAATTGGTCCGCACGGTAGAATAATGGGCTTGGATTTGCCAGACGGTGGTCATTTAACTCACGGTTTCTTCACCCCTACGAAAAAGGTTTCCGCCACGTCCATTTTCTTCGAATCTATGCCATACAAAGTAAGTATTTTGTTATCGAATTGTTCCCCAATCGTTCTTGAAATAGTCCAATTCGAACTGACGTGTCCGGTTGGTTTCCAGGTGGATCCCCAGACGGGTCTATTGGACTACGACAAACTACTACAAACCGCAAGACTGTTCAAGCCGAAGATAATAATAGCCGGCATGAGTTGCTATTCGAGAGCGTTAGACTACAAGAAATTCAGGGAGATTTGCGACGACGTCGGGGCCTACTTGTTCTCGGATATGGCGCACATTTCCGGTCTGGTAGCCGCAGGTAAGCCAGCCACACGCCCCGAATGATTTAAATAAACTGCGAAACGCCGCTGTTTAGGTGTTACAGCTACTCCGTTCGAACACAGCGACATCGTAACGACGACCACGCACAAAAGCCTCCGGGGCCCCAGGGCTGCTGTGATATTCTTCAGGAAAGGCCTTCGAACTGTCAACGCCAAAGGGGAGAAAGTTATGTACAACTTCGAAAACAAAATCAATCAGGCCGTCTTTCCGGGACTGCAAGGTAATGAATTAATAACCCTGTAGAATTGTGGATTTAGAAATTATGTGATTTTCAGGCGGTCCTCACAATCACGCCATAGCAGCCATAGCGACGGCCATGAAACAGACCCAAACCAAAGAATTCGTCGAGTACGCCAAGCAGATTATGGTGAACGCCAGCAGGCTGAGCGATGGGCTCGGCAAAAGGGGCTACAAAATCGTGACGGGCGGTACGGACCTGCATTTGTTGTTGGTGGATTTGAGATCGGTCGGTCTGACGGGGGCCCAAGGGGAATACATATTGGAGGAGATCAATATAGCTTGCAATAAAAACACCGTGCCCGGTGATAAAAGTGCCTTGAACCCGTCTGGTATTCGGTTAGGTATGTACAAATATTCTGACTGGAGCTTAGCTAGAGATTGGAAATGTTGGTCTCGTTGAAATGGGCGAACGGGCCCCTTTGAGTTGAGTAGAGATTATGCTACTTGGTGAACGTAAAGACAAGACATTAGGCTATTCTTGTTGAAAATTTCACATCTCTAGCTTGGTTGTAGCCAATTTTACGAAGCTTGAATAAAGAGCTAATTATTTATTCGTTTTTAGGAACCCCCGCTTTGACTACCCGGAATTTGAAAGAGAAAGACATCGACGTCGTCGTGGATTTCATCGATAGGGGTTTGAAGTTGGCCAAAGAAATCGAAACCGTGTCGGGACCTTCGTTTGTGAATTTCAAGAAAACGATCCACGAAAACGCCGATGTGGCGAAGAAAGTGGCCGCTTTGAAGGACGAAGTGGCCAAATACAGCGAGCAATTCCCTTTGCCCGGCTATTCCGAATATTAAAACTACATTTTCCGGCGATTCGAGCGCGCTTTAAAGCTTTCGAATGCCGTAAATTAATCATTTTCTACTCTTCTCGAGTGTACTGAATGACTTTTCACGCTTATTTTTCTTTAAATTGTAAACCAGGACATTCCTTTGCTATTCTATTATAGAGAATTTTCCTCAGATTTCTTTTGCTTTCGAGGCGGTTTTTTTAAGCGGGATATCCCCGCGTTCGGATTGGAAAACGAGTCGAATGCGCGACTGACCGGGCGAGAGAACCGTCCGGCGTAAAATAAAACGAGGAAGAATCGATGAAGTCCGGCGGGTTTAATCGTCTGAATTTATAACAAGTACGAGCGAATTAATTCGCTACGCACGACTAAAAATCGACGATATAGAATGCTGGGAACGTTCTCAACGGACTTTCATGGCGTTTCCTCGTAACAGGACGCCAGCCGAGCGAGGAGGTATCGAGAAATTCCTCTCTTGTTGATACATGTAATGTGAGTTGCATAAACAAACAAATGTTAGCGCCATCTTGTGAGTGATATCGCGAAGTAGTGTTTTCCAATTACAGATTTCTGTAAGTTACGCAAACCGGGTTTTTTGCTAATTTTAATATAAAAATAGTTTTATTTGCATTTTCAAATAGATTTATAACAAAAAAAAGGAACGTTTATTTTAACAAATTAATAAAATTGTATATACATGAAAATTGAAAGGTTTTCGAAAGGACGTTTTTACCTTACTATTATTCTCAACTCGTCTTATTAAAAAAAATAAATGACGGTTGATGAGTTTTGAAACCGCACAGAATTAAATAATACATCCTATTCAACAACGTTATTTACATATTAACGGCCGCTCCTATTCTTTTGTGTACCAAACTGGTAAAAGGATCGACGTTCCTAATTTGCTGTTCCAAATTCACGGAGTAGATATCCGCCGATAATTCCTCCATGGGAATTTCGGAATCGGTTTTGGCCTGTTTCGTCGCCTCATCGACTTGCGTACGAATTTCCCCATCGATTTTCTATACACAAAAAAATTACTTTCCAAGAAAGCAGGAACAAATCGATTAACGCACCTTAATCTCCTCCGCCGTTGCCAAATTCGTTTGGATAATCTTCTCTTTGAAAGACGTTATCGGATCTCTGGTTTGTCTCACCTCCTGGATTTCGTCTCTGGTTCTGTAACTCGTACCCGGATCGGACATCGAGTGGCCGGAATACCTACGAATAAGAGCAGCTTAATAGTGATGTTACCCAACCGAAAACCTTCAAAGTACTCACCTATATGTAGCAGCTTCGATGACGAGCGGACCTTTACCGCTCGCGGCGTAATTTACTGCGTACCGGAAACATTCTCTCACTGCTAACACATCCATACCGTCCACCCAAATGCCGGGAACGTAATCACCTCTACAACAAAATCGATAATCTACGTTAACTAATACATTTTATAACACGATTTGACGCTTACCTGGAGTAGTAATTAGTGCAAGCAGCAGCTCGTTCGGCGCTCGTACCCATACCGTATCCGTTGTTTTCGCAAACGAATATACAAGGGATGTTCCACAATTTCGCCATGTTGTAAACTTCGAACACTTGACCCTGATTGGCAGCACCATCACCGTACAAAGCTATACACACACCATCGGTACCTTTATACTGAGCAGCCAGAGCTATACCCACACCTAGCGGTACCTAAAACGTAGAATATAATACATAAATTCGTACTGAACATATACAAGTAAAACTCACCTGAGCTCCGACGATTCCGTTGCCCCCGTAGAAGTTCTCGCAGTACATGTGCATCGAACCGCCCTTCCCTTTAGCGCAGCCTTCCTTTCGACCGCACAATTCCGCCAGGACTCCCAGAGGGGACACCCCCATCAAGTGGGTCCAACCGTGCGCCCTGTAGGCTGTTATAACAGCATCGTGGGGCCGAAGGGCCGCTTTAATACCGACGGCTACTGCTTCCTAAAACAAAATCGCGAATTAATATAACGGGTACAACGTTGCCAGATGGTTGGAGGTTTCGATCGAGTCGGGGATTTTTTTTTATTTGGCAACATTGATGGAGTGAAGGTGCATTACTTGGCCGGAGTAAAGGTGACAGAAGCCCCGGATGATTTTCTCTTTGTAGAGATTGCCAGCCGATGTTTCCATCCTCCTGATAGTGTGCATTTTTGTGTACATGTCGATGGCATCTTCTTTGCTCACTGTTACTGTAGTCGAGGGAGACTCTTCGAGTTTGTGTAGCTTATAGGGCTGAAAAATAATGCAATTATTGATTAATCGTCGGATGTACGAAAACCAATTACTAGTCGACAACGTTACATATGTGTTGACGTCATTAGTATAACTTCTCATGAATGGATTACAGATCAAAACATATTTCTTAACAGTAGTAGTGTATGTTATGTAATACTTCACATGCACAATGAATGTACTTACCTTAGTTTCGAACGTGGCTTCGCTGGCGTAATTATTTTTCGAGAGAATCCCGCCCAAGTACTTCTGAAAAAAAATCTATTCATTAATAATAATTTCCTTTAATTAATTAGTGTTTAATTGACGTTATTTACATTTAACAAACACCCCAATCTTTTTGCCATAATGTATATCACGAAAGCTAATTAAATGCTCTGATACGAGTACTAGAAAGGGTTTTCTCGCGTGACTTCAATTTCACCTTGCGGATTTCCGTGTCATTGGAGATCAAAATCGATATTTATTCGGTACTTACTTTGGGAATGGCGCTCTGTTTAGACACCGCTCTAACGCAACTTGGAAGCATTTCGTACGATTATTTAGAAAATTGCGTATAATAAATAAATTAGTCAAAGACGAGAACTCTCTACAATACCACTTTTTTGCCTTTTAAGTAGTTGAAGGATAGGAATCCTAACCTTATATTTTCTTCTACTGTCACATATGTCATTCTGTTTTAACCTTTACCTACAGAAGTTATTCGGTTAATAGATATAGTTCATCAAAGTAAAAGACCACATTTAATAAAAAAATCATCAACGTCACCTGTCAAAATTGACGGTTTGTCATCTTAATTAAAATTTTTTTACATCTTATTCTAATAATTAATAAGTAAATATCATCATAACTGTAAGTTTAACAGTATTATTATACTTTCTAATAACTCTTTGATAAGAATAATAGAAATGGCAAATCCGAAGTACGCCGATCTACCCGGAATCGTGAGTACACCATTACACATATTTCTAGTAAAAGTAGATGATAATTGCGCATATTTTCAGGCCCACGACGAGCCCGACGTCTACGAGACCACCGATCTCCCGGAATCCGAGCAATCGGCGGACTTTTTCGAAGACGAAACCGATCCGATCGAACGCATCCACATCTCGTCCGGCGAGGCTTTCGACAAATTCAAAGGCAAGTACTTGGACTCTGCTAACGTGGACTTCTCGACGAGATTGGGCAAACGATCGAGAACGGGCTACGACGCCGTCAGCGGCGAATGGGAACTGCGCGGCTCCGGCGAGCCCGAAAACCTCGTGCAAAAGTACAATCGGCTGTTGTGCGAAATGAAGGAAGTGCTCGAGGAAATCAACGAGTTGAAGGCCGGCAAAAACGAGAAGGCGAACGAGAATTGCGCCGTTTCCAGTCAGAAAATCGAACAGTCGATTAAGCAGCTAGCAGATCTGAAACTCGAGGATACGTTAGGTGAACAAATCGTACAGAAATTATCCGATCCGGAAGGAACCCAAATCAAGTACAATAAACTCGTGAAAAACAATATTATTTCACACTAATTCTACTCTATTTTTAGAATACTTTTATCCCAACTGGAGCAATTTAAATCGTCCATTAACGAACGTCCGGAATCGGAAGTATCGGGCGAAGAATCCGGCATAACTTACAAACTGGATTACAGACCGCAACAAGCCAGTATGGCTCAAATGTCTAGAGTAGCTGACTTGGAATCCAGAATTCGCAAACTAGAAACCGTTATTGGCGAACCTAGCGATAAATTAACCAGATTAACAGCGGGTTTCGTTAAAGGTACATAATTTGACTATTAAATATACTCACAATTTATAATTTTTGGGTTTCAGGGAGCTTATTCGAAGTGGCCGAACAATTGAGCGCTACCGCTAGTTTGTTAGATTCAGCCCAATTGGACCATATCGAAGGGAGATTGGGTAATTTAGCGCAAAAATTGGAGACAATCGCCGAAAAGAAAAAGTCATCACAAAAGGACGATGATAAAGATAAAATGGTAAAATTTTTCCACCTTACCCTCCTTATGATTAATTGAGAAATTAATTCCTTGTAGATATTGGAATTGTACGAATTGGTCAAAAACACAGAAGGCGTTTCGAAGTTGCTACCCCAAACGATAGCGAGGCTTAAAGCTTTGGAGCAAATGCACGATAAAGGTATGATAATGTTTACATGTACTTTTTTTTAATCATAATTAATCTTATATTTGTTCGTTTTAGCCATCGATTTCACAAAGACGCTAACCCAAATCGAATTGACCCAAACTGAGATGGCCGGACACGTGCAAAACAACAAAATGCTCCTGCAAGGGGTGCAGGAAAGTTTCGCAGTCAACCTGAACGAAATCAATTCGACCGTTACTAATTTAGATGCGCGAATTAAAGCCATTAAGAATAAAAAAAATTAATTTAAGATTTTTAAACTATCAGTCGCTTAATTTCCACATTTTTCACGTTATATTTATTTATTACTTGATTTTATATTGCTTTAATTATGTTTAATGAATAAATCTATTCGTAATCCAAATAATTATATTTAATATTACAAAAATTATCGTTAATCTAATAAGTTCCGATAAAAAAATGCAGAACTTCTCAAGCACACACCATTCTTAACTAGTTACCCTTCGAACGTCGGCGGCGGAGGAGGCGGCCCCCGCGGCGGGAAAGGCGGCCTGGCACCGCCGAAATTCGGCGGCGGCGGAGGCGGCGGTCTCCAATTAGGCGGTAAAGGCCTCCCGCCCGGCGGCGGCGGAGGCGGTAGCATTCCCCCGAAGCCGCCGCCAGCGTTCGCCGCAGGCGGGCCCGGCGGCATCGGCACGTTGGCCGCCGCACCGGCCCACGGAGGCGGCGGCGGCGGTCTGGCGGCGCCGCCCGGCACCGGCGCCATCGCGGGCGGCGCGCCCGGCGGCAGCGGCGGTTGGGAGGGCGGCAACGGCGGCGGCGGGATGCCCGCGGGGAATGAACTCGGCGGCGGAACCGGCGGAGGAGGCGGCGGCATTCCGCCCGGCGTAGGCGGTGGGGGCGGCATCATGCCGGTGATTAGAGGCGGAGGTGGCGGCGCCATGCTCATCGGCATCATTCCTGCGAACGAATCGAATACGAATAGTACTTGATAAAAGACAATTGCGAGATAATTTTTACCTATCGGTGGGGCGTCTGCGAACAACTGATGGGGCCTGTCGGCCTGCGATAATGGATTCTGGGCGGCCAATAATCGCTCGGCCGCCGAGCCGTGTCTCTCGCCCTTGGAATCCTTCTTGAACGCGTAAGAGACGGATATCGGTCGATTGCAAAGGTACTGGCCGTTCATCGCCTCGATGGAGGCATCGGAGGCTTCGAAACTGGCGAAGTTTATGAACGCGAACCCTTTGGAATTTCCAGTCTCCGGATCTCTCATTATCTTGGGCGTTTGTAATATTACACCGAAGGCCGAAAACGTATCGTACAAGAGTTTCTCATCGACTTCTGGATCCAAGTTCCCTATGAAAATGTTCGCGCCGACGTCCAAGTTCTTTTGGTGAGCGGAAGCCTTGTTGACTCTTATGGGTTTCCCGTACAATTTTATCATGTTCATTATTTTTATAGCGTAATCGGCGTCCTCTTCGCCCATGAATTCGACGAAACCGTAGCCCTGGTGCATCATGGTGACGCGATCTTTGGGCATATGTACGTTCACTAAAAATAATAAATTAGATGCGTAAATAACACTTGGGCGATGTTTTACCTAATGGCCCCGCTTGTACGAAGAGTTCCCATAGTAAGGATTCTGATACTTTATCGTCTAAACCACCGACGTATATCGTAGCGTCTGAAATAACACCAAAAGTAAATCATTGCAGAAATGTTAGGTTATGAATCAAACACTTACCTCTATTTCTTTCAGCTATCGGTCCGTTCGCCATTATAAGAAATGGTTATGTACAATTTAAACCAAGCATTAATTGTCCAACATTATTATTTAATTAATTCTTAATATTATATTATATTATTTATCATTTTCGTAAATTAAACGAACGCCGGAAAAGCATGACAGTTTTGACAATTGACAGTTAACGTCATTATTTGAATTTACATCTAAACTGTACTAGTGTAAATAAAAATACGTACTGGATTTTAAATAAAATTTAAATCCTCGTTGTATAATTCAACTAAATAGTTCTTTTAGGTTCTATTCGTTTTATAATAAGTAATCATATATTATATTTTTGTCTTTTTGTAAAATTTTTTGCATTTAGTAGTTGAATTTGCGATCAGAACGAGTCCAGAGCGTTAAATGTCAACGGCCTTGACTACAAGCGTGAAGTTAGCACCCATTCGATTTTCCCACTGGCGAAAAAGCTCATCGAAGAAGGAAGCGTCACTTTTTTCCCATCGGTTATAATATGCCGAAAAGACTACCCGTCAATACATAAAGATTCGTGTAATAAATATGAGCGCTAAATGCTTCGTTCCTAGTTGTAAAAACAAGGTTGGGATCGCTTTTCCGGACGACGAGGACATCAAGCAGAAATGGCTGGAAATTCTGGGCATTCCGCATATGAAACCGAAACCGTCAAGCTTTGTTTGTTTAGACCATTTCCAAGATGATGGGGACGCCGATGATTTATCAAATATTGGTTAGTATTGCGAATTTGCTTTGTTTCATTTGAATTTACTGTATGTAATTTTGTAGAAAATGGAAAAATCGGCACCGAATTAAAACCAAAGTCCAATCGAATATCTATCGAAGGCAAGACAGATGGTGATAAACCGGATGAGAAGCATATTAAACAGCCTGTAACATCAGGAAATTTAGGTATATTCTACATTTCTTTAATAAAATTTAGGTTAAATTACTGATAATATTCCATTGCAGAAATATGTAGATTATGCATGGAACACAAAGATGAGACGAAGAACATTTTCATCGAAGAAATCGAAGAAAGCACTCCTATTGTATTCGCTATTTTAGCTTGTATACATCCTATTGAGGTAAACAACAAATTCAAACAGTATTATCCTTAGTAATACTAATTCAATTAATTCTCAGATATCGTACGAGGACAACTTACCCAAAACGATATGCATAGATTGCCTGAATATCCTCGAGGTGTGCTTCAAGTTCCGATCGGTCTGCTTGAAAAACGACAAAATCCAGAAACAATCTTCGCGCGGTAAAATCCAACCGGTCACGTCGAGCGCGAAGAAGCAGAAACGAACGGAGGACATCGAAACCGATACCCCCGAACCCACCAAGAAAGCCAAAACCTCCGAAGCCAAAGACAACTACGACGAACTCGAGGCCATCAACGAATTTCTCGTTAAAAAAGACGTCAAACAGTCGGCGGTTAAAGCGGAGAAAGACGACCCGTCGAGTCGAAACGATTCCACCAATATTATGGAAGAGGAACTTCGTAAGGTTTGTAGAAATTTCGTTAGTACGGTTTGAAGTTGGCGCGGTTGATGCGTCATACGTCATTTACGTTTGTTGTTTTGTGCAGTTTGTCTGTATTTTTTCTTCCGGATTTAAAATTTGTTAGCATGAGAATAATGTGAATTAATAATTATATTAAAAAAAGTAACGCTAGATATTTAGTCAACATACACTTTGGGAAGCTTCAGTATTAAAATTACAATACAATTCAAAAATATATCCATATCGTGTGTGTCAACTGTCAATATTGTCATATTTAATACGATTTTTGTATGCAAGATGGCGTCGTTAGCGTTATTTGAATATTTGAAAATTTAAATAAAATTATGAATTGTTTAAATAATCATTGCGTTCCTTATATTCCGCAGGTTTTAGAAGGAACGTTATCCGAAGAACAGGCGAGCGCCGATAACATAATAATACAAATACAAAATGACGACGAAAGCGCCGAAGATTCGGATGAACAATTGGACGATAGCGAAATGCAAAAATCTCCGAGGCAAAAGCGCGGTAGGGCCTCATCGCATGAAGTTTATTCGGAAAAAACGGTTAACGTGAAATCGGGGAAAACCATTCAATCGACGCTCGGCATTTACGAGGGAACGAATATAACCTCGTTTTACGACATGCAATTCTGCGAAGTCGACAATTACCTGTTCGAGTACAGATTGTGCAAGCAAAACGTTAGGTACGCCAAGCAAAATAGTTTGTTTTAACTTTTGTTTAAATCCATGAATGGCCTACGTTTGTACGGTACACTAACTACCGTTTGTTTTAGATATATGAGATGTCTAATGCCGTACTGCGCCGCTAGAGGGATGCAAACCCATTTGGGTAGTTTCGTGTTCGGAAACGATGTCACTATAACGACGCCTCATAATCACAAATGCCCCACCGAGGCCGAGAAGAAGAAACATATATTCTTCTACATCATGAAGAGGAAAATGCACAGCGATAAATCGCTGAAATTCAAGAATATATACGACGAAATTTGTCAGAAGTAAGTCGCACATCTTTATCCCACACACTAATGTTATCTAATTTATTGCGTATCTTTTAAGGGATTCCGAAATCAAGCAACTAATTCCTCTGAGGAACGTAATAAACGAAATCTGCCGTCACCAATTCAACCACAAACTAGTACCGATCACGTCGTTCGACGTCCTGTACAATTACATCGAGGACGATTCGTTCCAAAAGTACCAATTCACGCTCGAAGGCACTCAATTCTACCAGGAAAGATTCTCGACGGAAGACAATGCCAAGGCCATCGTCTTCGCTAATCTGGACATAATCGAAGAAATGTCCGACAGCGATCTGATGTACATCGATGCTTCGTTTAGAATCGAAACCAACGAACCGTTCTCTTATCAATTAGTTACAGTTTTGGTGTGGATCGATGAAAGCGTAAGTGCCAAACATAAACAGTCATTATTTCTTAGTTACTTATTGAGTGATATGTTGTATTCGTTACAGTACTATCCGATCATGTACGCCTTGGTGAACTACAAAACGCAGGAAATCTACAAGAAGATATTCGAATTCCTCCACGACACGCTCGCGCCGCACCTGCGACCCGACGAAATCGTCACCGAATACGAATCGAATCTCTACTACGCCCTGGGCGAGATCTACGTGGATTCGAGCATCGGCGGTTCGGTGTTCTACTACACGCAGAACATCTACAAGAAGATATGCAACACCGATCTGGCGAAGAGCTTGGAGACCAACACCTACTTCAGGAACATCTATCACATGCTGCTGATGCTGCCCCTGTTGCCCGTCAACACCATCGCCGACGGCTTCAAGAACATCCAAGCGCAGGCCCAGCAGATGGGCATTTACGGTTTGATCAAGCACGTGTTCGCCCACATAGAGAACGAGTGGTTGAAGAAGGTCACGCCGGATTTGTTCTGCGTACACCGCTTGGAGAACCGAATCAACGAGAACGTGATAGCGCCGTTCAAGAAATTGAGGGATTACATAATGTTGTCGAAAGGCAAATCGCAGAAGTCCTCGCCGGACGTGTTGATCGTCATCGAGAAAATCATCGAGCTGGAGCAATTCCTGCACGTCACGTACACGTCGGGCAACAAGAAGTGCTTCTCGAGGGACTTGAGCAGCACGCACAAGAAGAACGTGCTGAAGGCCTGGCAGTTCATCGAGTCCCACCCGAAGATAAACATCAACAATTTCTTTTCGCGCGTGCTGGGCTACATCAAGTGCATGGAGAACCAGCTGTGGATTTGGGGTTTCTATCGGTACAAAGGCGAGGTGACCGACGAGCTGATCAACGCCGCCAATTTCTCGATCATCTGCGACGTGGACGAGACCGAGGGGGCCGTCGACGGCGGGGAGTCCACCGACGACGTGGGGGAATCGGAGGAGATGCAACAGAACGAAAACGGGGAGGACGGCGAGGAGGAAATGGACGGGGAGCAGGTTATTATGGACGCTGTTATGGACGAGAGCGGTGGGTTCGTTTTGAAAGCCAGAAAGGGTAGGAAACCTAAAAGTAATTCTACTTGATAAATTTTTTTGTGCGTGTAATTATTCCGAAGCTAATTTTCGTTTTAGATACGTTTAAATTGGCTTTAGGAGTATTGTAATAATTGATATATTTAAGTTGGACGTTTGGTTTATTGATGATAGTGGGATTTGTTCGTAATTTTCACGTTACACAACTTGTTTATCAATTAATCAACGATTAATCTCATAATATCATCGATATATACTATCAAAAGTAAATATTTTGTATATACGAAGGTGAAATATACAGTAACTTTTATCTAGAGACGTGCTGGAGAAACGGACGGAAATTTGTTTAGTTTAATAAAATGGATAATTTTAATGGAAAAAAAATTACATACTTAAAAAAATTACATCTCTTTCGTTTCTTCTATCATCTCATCTTCCTCGCGACCGTCATCCTCCTCGTAATAGTCCTCATCGATAGAGGCGCTCTCGTACTGCTGGTACTCGGATATCAAATCGTTCATGTTCGATTCGGCCTCGGTGAATTCCATCTCGTCCATGCCCTCGCCGGTGTACCAATGCACGAACGCCTTCCGGCGGAACATCGCCGAGAATTGCTCGCTGACGCGCTTGAATATCTCCTGTATGGCCGTCGAATTCCCGATGAACGTGCCGGATATCTTCAGCCCCCTGGGCGGTATGTCGCAGACGGCCACCTTCACGTTGTTCGGTATCCACTCGACGAAGTAGCTGCTGTTCTTGTTCTGGATGTTGAGCATCTGCTCGTCGACCTGCCGCATCGACATGCGGCCCCTGAAGATGCAGGCGGCGGTCAGGTAGCGGCCGTTGCGCGGATCGCAGGCCGCCATCATGTTCTTGGCGTCGAACATCTGCTGGGTGATCTCGGCGACGGTGACCGCCCTGTATTGTTGGCTCGCTTTGGGCGTGAGCGGCGCGAAGCCGGGCACGAAGAAGTGCAGCCGCGGGAACGGCACCATGTTGACGGCCAGTTTGCGCAGATCGGCGTTCAATTGGCCCGGGAATCGCAGGCAAGTCGTCACACCTGCAATATGCGTTAGTGAAAAGATTGTAGGAAGATGGAGAATCGCAATAAGTATTCACCTGACATGGTGAGGGATACCAAATAATTGAGATCGCCGTAAGAAGGAGCCGGAATCTTCAACGTCCTAATGCCGATATCGTATAAAGCCTCGTTGTCTATGCAGAAGGTCTCGTCGGTGTTTTCGATGAGCTGGTGCATCGATAAAGTAGCGTTGTAGGGCTCCACGACGGCGTCGGAGACCTTCGGCGACGGTACGATCGAGAAGGTCGCCATGATCCTGTCGGGGTACTCCTCGCGTATTTTGGCGATGAGCAGCGTCCCCATGCCGGAGCCGGTGCCGCCGCCCAGCGAGTGGGTCAGCTGGAAGCCCTGCAGGCAGTCGCAGCCCTCCGCCTCCTTGCGGATGACCTCCATCACCTGGTCGACGAGCTCGGCGCCTTCGGTGTAGTGGCCCTTGGCCCAGTTGTTGCCCGCCCCCGACTGGCCGAAGACGAAGTTGTCGGGGCGGAAGAGGCGGCCGTAGGGGCCGGATCGGGCCGAGTCCATGGTGCCCGGTTCGAGGTCGACGAGCACCGCCCGCGGGACGTAGTTGCCGCCGGAGGCTTCGTTGTAGTAGACATTGATGCGTTCCAATTGCAGCGGGGAGTCGCCGGCGTATTTGCCGTCGGGCTGGATGCCGTGCTCGTCGGAGACCACTTCCCAAAACTGCGATAGAGATTATGCAATAACTTTGTATACGGGGTGTTTCATTTGGAATTGGCAATGGAGAGGTCATGCCCAAAAAAAAATCCAGTACAATGTTTGAATTTTTGGACGATTTATCGAACCGATCGCAAAATTTTAAAAAGCCAGGTCCGGATTGATGTGAAATAATAAAATAGCAATATCAAGCCAACGCCCTGTACATACACCGAATGTTTTTTTAATTGAATTGCAAATGCATCTAGTCGTTACTATAAATTTAGTATTATCAGTACTTACAAGTATTTTATTACATAATTAAACGGAAATTAGATAATGCACTTTTAGTTAATAAAAATTAACTGAAAAATTATCGGAGGTGTTATTTAGCGAATAAAATAGCCATTTTCCAAGCATTACACGATTATTTCGCATTGAATTATCTAACCTAACCTTCACAGTATCAATTTTTCAACACGAAATTACAATAGTCGATATAAATAGAAAACTAAAAACTCACTTTACAACCGATTTGGTTTCCGCATTGACCGGCCTGTACGTGCACTATTTCCCTCATAATCGCCCAATTTAACCTATTTTCAGTATTTTCTCACGTTCGACTCGCGCAGCAAGTTAACCCAAAAAGCCGATTTACACGAACATCGAAAGGATCGACCAGATAAGATAAAATTTTTCGATAAATATGAAATTTTTTAACGTATACTAACGTACTTACTTACAGGAAAAAAGGTAATGATTATTTTTACGGCGATGATCTGGAAATTTACTTTTAATAAATAAACAACGAGCAAAGTGTAATTTTATTGCTATTAAGCGTGATACAATTTACCAGTGTACTGCGTACGTGTGTGTAGATTAGTTTTAAATGGAATACGTGTAATTGTATACGTTATTTTGAAATTGATGTTGCCTATGTATTTTTTATATGCGAACTTAAATTTTTGATTCCGTTTTATTTATTTTTATACACACGAAATTTCAAATTACTTAACCAAAGCAACAAAAGAAAACCTTTTTTTTGTAGAATTTTTGCGCGATATTTAATGGAAATTTCCACCGAATAATTCCATTTCCATTCTTACATGCAATCTTCATCAGATGAGAGAAAGTACTTTACAGTTTACTCGGCGGAAGTTAAGTAACGACAATTAAACATTATCGTTGCCCAGTTATGCAATGGCGACATTTCAAATTACATTTTAATATAACAAAATTACTTTAGGTCGATGGATTATTGCAAACTCCAAAATTGACCACTTTAATATACACATTCCTAACAGACGGCTATAAATGAAACTGAATTTCTTTGTAGAAGTTGGCAATAAATGTCCAAAAGAGGGTTGGTAATTCTGATTTATCGTTGGACAATCATTTTAGCTTCATATCTTCTTCTTCTTGGGGTGCCTCGTACTTTGAAGACATTAGCGATCATGATGTCTATATTACTCTAATAGTTTCTTATTGTTAGATAATTGATTTTCCAACGAAACACCTTGCATATACAGGGTGTACCGCTCTCGAAAGCGACACACCGTATACTATAACGGGATTCCACGTAAAACAATGAAAAAAAACCATAGCATTGCATCACGTTCTCGAACAGGTAAAAGTATTTCTGTTTTGCAAATACACACAAACACATACATACGTAAAAATGCAGATAAGGAAAAAATGTCTGTTATCAGTCTAGCAGCGCGCTTATTGCCATTTTAGCTTTTAATCCGTTAAAACCTATTACAGAAAAATTCTTCCTAGAATGCACCTAAAAAACAATTAGAATATATCGCACCCACTCCTTTCTACACGATCATACACCGTTTTTCAGGCCAAGATCATTGAAAGCAACGTAAAATGAAGGTTTCGATTATATTCTTTGGTCGGACGTTATGAAAAAGTAAATAAATGATCACTAGTGTTGTGTGTTTCCCGAAGACAGGTAAGTTATCAATTCTTATAATTTATTCCGCGCAAAACTCCGGGAAAACTGCACTCGCTTCTCGCTAATGAAACTGTTTAGTTTTAATTAGGTGTAATTACTAACTTCACAATTAAAATGTTTAAGAACAATGAAAGTCCCAAAATGAAACTCCTAAACAATTTAAATTATCGAGTATTAATCTGTTGATACTTATGTTAAATTATAACTGCACCTGTAAAATTAATTTCATTCTTCGCCTTTTACGAATAAATAATTCGAATCAAGCAACATTGATTTTTAAACCCATTCCATTAATATTAATATGGAAAAAATTCTACTGTCACGGGTGAAAACGTGTGTAAGATATTATAATAATTGATGAAATCTGTCTAGATTGTAAACACTGATTATAAAAAAACACCATTTTTAAGCACCAGTAATAACAATAAATTGCATTATTATTGTTTATTGTTATTGTGAAATGATAATTAACACTAAGCTTGCTAACATTCCGATTTTTTATAAATTTAATATCCCAACAAAATGTCCTCAAAATATTACATACAGGGTGTTCAATAATTAAACACAAGCGTTTGAAAGTTAATTGGTACCCCCATTATAGACCCATTACCTTGATAAAACCAATTAGTGTCGAGTAATTAGGCATTTCAACGAAATTCCTAAACAATTAGGCTAACCCGTCAGGTAATAGCTTTTCGTAAATTTTCATTTTAATAATAGTATCTTATCGAGGTTTAACACGTTATTTATTGTACTAAGCTCGCTTTAAATGGCATGAATTGTTAAAATGTTTAAGAATAAATTAATTAGGCCAATTATGCGTACATTCAAACTAATAAAGTTTATTAAACCGTCAATATTACGGTTAATAAAATAATAAAATTTATCACACCTCTGAATACAGGCGAAATGATTTTTTTTTCAAATTCGATTAACCAATCGATTGTAAAGCAGGTACTTAAAAAATCGAATTTAATCGCTCCGTTTTACAATAATTACGCAACCAATTAGGCATAACACACTGTAGAAAGTGGTTTATTGTCCCATTGGAAAAATCTCATCAGTTTTATGCCATGCAATTTCAACGTTAATTATGCCGCAAGACTGTCATTAAATTAATTTCAGGTTTACGATAATGGAGATGTTACTCAAAAAATCTTCATACAAGGAGACCTGATGAAATAATCCCTCGCATTTTATCGACTCACCCTGTACAATAATTATCTCCGCGACGTTTCTAAAACAATTTTTTCGGATTCAAACAAAAAAATTATCTCGAGCAAATCTCCCAGTTAGATACAATCAAATTTATTCAAATAATTAGCGCGAAAAAATCTCATCAAGGTCGATTTGTAGTATCGAAATCGATTAATTAATGTTATATTAAGTACTAATGCACGGCAGAAACATTCTAGGTATATAACGTGTATTTGTAACCGTCCCAATTGCATATTCTGTCGGTGCTAACTAGTGTTTGGTGGTACTGCGAATTGTGTGAATACGCAGTAGGTACCATTGTAAATCAAGTACCATTGAGTTAACGAATTGGACAAATAACAAGGGTACATAAACCGAACATGTAAATTGGTGAATTTTAATTCAACAGGACAATCATATTGTACGGAATTAGGTACTAATTAATGCTGTAAGTACTTACATTGTAATTACGCCTGTTGTTAATAATAGAAATGTTTGTGTTATGGAAATTATTTAGGAACGGGTAATTAATATTTAAAAGTTTAAAAATAATGGTTTTTTTTAGTACCTACAAGGTGCTTTAAAGAAGTTGTACTAAGAAGTTTTTCACTTGTAATTTTGTTCTAAACAATTTTAGCCGATTCGCCTTGTACTCGTACAGCTTAAGTGAATAAATTTTAAATAGTTTATTTTACAATTTAAATGTAATAATTTTAAGGTTTCTTTATCGAATACACAAATTACGCAAATGGAATTGTGAAAAAGTTTTATACAAAAGTTGTGACAAAGTATAGGTAATATAATAAGTATAGAATGCATAACAATTAACAAACGGCAGTATTTTCTTTAATTAATACTGAATTAATGAGTAGATATGTGTAAAAATAGATATATTGTGAAAACGTGGCGAACTGGATAAAAATTGTAATTAGGAAAGTTTATTTTCGAATTTTCTTCTACTAAATGAAGCTTAGCTTTATTTATATTTCTTTATTCACTAGTCTCCGATTGACGAGAGAAAGCGTAAAATGAGTTACTACAATTTGTAATTTTTGATACATTTTTTTGTTAAAAACATTTATATAGTAGCTTTACTCGAATTGTTCGCAAGAATTACTGAAAACGAAAGGAATATTAAACAAACATGTACTTCACACTGATATAATCAATTTACAAGCGCCAATTATCCTTTTAATCTATTCATTACGTGTAAATTTCAATGTCGACAATATACATTTATTCAACATTCCCGAGAACCTCAATTTTTATTACACAATCCTTCGAAATTCACCCCATTTTACGCTACTTTATGTCACTTGCTTTGCCTTATAAGTTGATAAATATTGCGCTCTTAATGCACAAAAGTACCGGCAAAGCATTCGTTTTTAACCTTGAAGGAGGCGGAATCAGTACCATTCAAGGTTTGTAATTCAGACCGTACCTCAATGAAAAGAAATCTATTTATTAAATTCTATTAAACAGAATATATTTGTAACATATGCAAGTAACATCCTGCCGAGTTACGTATAAAAAAGTACTTATCATAATGTATTAAAATATAATCGTGTGTTTACGGGTAAATTTTTCCCATCAATTTTGAACACGAGCGAAATATTATTCGTTATACTAATTATTTTGTATTGTTCAAGCTTAAAAAATGACCAAGAAAAAAATAGAACTCGTCACGACGGATTTCAAATCCACGTAAGTTCAAATTGTCCAATGTCCGGAAAAGATTCAAAATTAACTAATTCTCGTTTCCAGGACGCAATTAACCAACAATGATTTGATGACAATCCAAGATGGCTACAATCCGTACCAAAATAGGAATTTATCGCATCCGAATACGTTAGTATACCCCCGAAATTCCCGATTATTCCCCTAAAATTAGGCAACCAGTTTAACAACAAACATTTACATCTACATCTTTAACCTACAGCGTTACTTGAATTACCTATCTAACGTTTTTCCAGGTTCACCGGAGCCTTGATACACATTCTAAAAGGCTCATTGGGCACCGGACTATTGGCAGTACCGAGGGCGTTCATGAATTCCGGCCTTTTGATAGGAACAGTGGGCACGATAGTGATCGGATTCATCTGCACGTACACGATCCATCTGTTGGTAGGTGATGGGCATTTGACGATGCGACGATGAATGCATAAACCGATATACAATATAAAAATGTAAAGGTTTCAGCTTCGAAGAAGCTGTGCGTCGATCTGAAGCTGCCCAGCCTGGGATTCGCCGAAACGGCCGAGGCGGTCTTCGAAAACGGACCCGGGGCGTTGAAAAAATGGTCCAAGGAAGCCAAGTAAGTACCATATCATTGTTACATTACATATAAATATAGTACTATTTTTTTTTAGGTTGTTTGTAGATGTTTCCCTGACTTTAACCCATTTCGTAGGCAACGCAGTCTATGTAGTTTTCATATCAGAATCCATGGCAAAGGTAATTGTAAAGTAACGGTTATCTAGTACAAACCCACCTCTAGTACAATACAATTCTTTCTATCCGACGAGCTTAAATAACAGGTATTAGAGGTGGTAGCTTTGTAACTGCATCTTCTTCAGTAACTTCAGTGCTCTTTACTTACATGCATTTAACCGATTTATTTGATGCAGTTGATAGGCGCCTACCATCCGCCCGCCCAGCACTGGGGCCAGTACTTCAAGCTGGTCATTCTGGTCCTGCTGATAGTGTTCTGCCAGATCAGGGAGCTCAAGCACCTGGTGCCCTTTTCGTTCGTCGCCAACGTCACCATGACGCTCGCCTTGGTCATCACCGGCTACTACATGGTCATCGACATGGTGAAGGTGGATCCCAGCGAACGGGCTTTGGCCACCGGCCTTTTCGGTAAAACTCAATATACAGTTTCTTCGATTATACCCAAAGCAAAGTCTCGTTCAGAGGGATGATTCGAGGACTTGGAGTCGAGTAGTGATGATGCTACTTGGTGGATGCGAAGACTAGTAATGGGGCTATGTTTGATGAAGTTTTTAACTCTGTATCTTTTTTTTGGATGTTCCAGGATTGCCGTCTTTCTTCTGCACGGTGCTGTTCGCTATGGAGGGCATCGGGACGATCATGCCGGTGGAGAATTCCATGGATCAGGATAAATTCATCGGGTGTCCTGGAGTTTTAAACGTAGCCATGTCGTGCGTGGTCATCTTCTACACAGTGATAGGATTCTGCGGGTACTACGCCTTCGGTGACAAAACCAACGCGGTGATTACCCAGAATCTACCCAGCGGTGAAATGTAAGCCCCCGATTAACTAACTTTAAACAACTGTTAACGACCGTTGAATCTCCAGATTGGCGCAGGTGGTGCAAGCCGCCATATCGTTGGCGATATTCTTCACGTTTATGCTGCAATACTATGTGCCGATAGACATCACCTGGAGGCGGATAGCGCCCCACGTGCCGCCCGAGCGGCACGACCTGGTGCAGATCGGCTGGCGGACGCTGACGGTGACGTTCATCGTGGGGGTGGCGGCGGCGGCGGGGGACCACCTGGGGCCCCTGATCGACCTGATGGGGGCGGTGTTCTTCTCCACGTTGGGCTTGTTCGTGCCGAGTTTGCTGGATATCTTGGTGCATTGGAAGGACTGGGGGGCGCATAATTGGGTGTTGGTCAGGGATTTGATGTTGATCGTGTTCTATTTGTTCGGATTGGTGTTCGGTACATATTTTGCCGTGATGAATTTCTTCGAATGAAGGCGATTGAATGGCTGGAATCGATTCTGTCCCGGTGGAAATTTGGTTGTAATCGTTTCGATGGATTCTCATTATGAATTACGTTTGTTTTATTTTGTGTTCAAGTAATCTGTGCGAGTATTAATGTATATATAAAAAAGTAATAATTTAATATATTATTAACGTTTTTACTTTTTTTTCTTACTCATTTAGATTATAAATAACTGTTAAAGTATATTTTGTTTGGTAAAAATAAAACTATTTTGAGCCATCCTGTAAAAGTACATTAATAAAGTCTTTGTGTAGAAAATTAATAGAATAGAACGTAAATATGACGTATTTTCGTAAATTTTGCTCTCGTTAAAAAATAAATAACAATAAATAATTAATCGAAATTCCTCAAATGGTGTTTCGTAAGCTCTAATTATCGTCATTAATAAAATTGAGTAATTTATTGTTATTCATTAAAACCGAAACCGCTGTGACGGATTCGTTTCGACGAGAATTTTTTTAAATAATGGTTAAAAAAATCATTTAACCGATAATTGGTAATCTCGGTAAAGGAAGATATACAGGGGAATTCATTTATGCGATAGAATTCGTTTAATCACATTTTTAAATTATTACCTTAATTAATAAAAATTAATTAGTAGCTTTAACTTTTGTACTTTTCCAGTTATATTTTTATATTAGCAATCATAGTCATAAAAAGGAAAAATTTAATCTTCATTGCAGAAATAAATATCATCTTTTTAAATTAGTGTTTAAAAATTAATTAATTTGTAAACATTTAATTAATATAAAAATTAATACGTAAAACATAATTTGGAGAAACCTTGTATACATGTAAATAAACCATTACATTACATCAATTAATTAAATGAAATTAAAACTTTTTGATAACTAATTCGCAATGGCAATATTAACAATTATTAAGTAGGATTTAATTTTTTTAAATGGATTTTTTTTATCTTAATTACTTTCGAGATTAATTGCCTATTTTGTAATCAATCACTTGGAATTTTTGTGTCAATAAAATCCCATTGTTTCCTTTAAGAGAGAAATCATACGTGATATTGAATCAGATTTTTATTACCTTTTTTAGGAATATCACCGGTAAATATGATAGGATTTTCCGCAGTCACCTCGTAATTTAACCTAACAATTTGCTTTTTTTAATCTGTTATGATCCAAATAATTACATAATGCAGGTGTTTGTTGAATATGATTGTTGTTGACAAAAAAATTGGAATTTTAAAAACGCCCGAGGCGAGACATGAGTAATAATTGAGAATCCCTTGTATGGTTTACTTATTGTTGGTATTTTTTTATATACAGGGTATATTAGATGAGATGGGAAGACTTAAAGAATAACTCGAAGTACGATACGTCTGTAAAAAAAATAAAATTCAATATATTTACATACAGAAATCCTGTCTAAAAATTACGAAACTCTAGGAAAATAAAAATCCCCGTTCAGAATCTTTCGAAACAATCATTTATTATATACAGGACGTCCCGTTAGAAATATACCAATCAAGAAAACTATCCTACAAGACCACTGATATAAGTTCACATCAGTTTAACTGAAATTCAAATTAATTATTCCCTACTTTATGGACACACTCTATATATTCATAAGGTGGTGGAAAAGCCTGGTTTGACGTTGTCGAAAGGTTTCTCGCGAATACATCGCGCTCGACGCGATTATTTTATTTACATTCGTTTCAGTTTCGAACGAACGAACGGTTATATCAAAACGCGCTTTTTTTATTGCTCTCTATCAATCTATTTTTCATTAAACAACGAGTAGTTGGAGTGATTTGCTTTTGAATCATCATGCCCGACGATAAGAATTACCTAGGTGAGATATTTTATTGATAATTTTTCCGTAATTCGTTCATTTTTTTTCGAAATTCCGCTGGTAATCATCCCTCTTAGCGGTTCCTACTTCTTTGGTTGTCGTTATGTTCTCGCGTTAAGAACGGTCTAACTTTTCTCAAAGAAATAGGAATTAAGGAATGATTAGTCGATTTTTTTTATCGAGTAATCGTTCTGTTTTTCTACTATTATACATTTTTTAGTAGATGATAAAAAGTACGAGTGCGTTCGAAAAGTTCACGGAATATTTTTCGATTTACAAACCTTTTGCAATTTAAAAAAAAACTCGATTAATTTCTTGCATTATATCGATACGTAAGAAAGTGTATCGAATTCTTCCATTCACTTTGCAATAATAAATTAATCAATCAAAAATATATTGTGAATTTTCGTATTACGCACCGACTGGACCTTCGAGACTGTTATCGTTTTTTTTTTAATTTTAAACAAAGAAATGCGCGCGTATAATACAGGGTTGCTCACAAAAGTTTCCGTAATTTTTCACTAGATTTATTATCTGTATATGTTTCATGAACTCCTGCGATTTTTTGGTGAAAATTTTCATTCTGTTAATTAAATAAATATGTTAACATTTAACGGTTCATTAACATGTGACTAAAATACTCATCTCTAATCTTTTTACCCGAGGAAAATCCGATAGTTTTTGTAAAAACCCAAAATTGCATCGTGAAATCGCGGTAATAAAAAAACACGAAATTATCGCTAAACATTGTAGCATTTTTCCAGTTAATTACTCTCCTAATAATTTACACAGGGCGGCCCAAACTAGTAGATTTCAAATTTTTGATTTCAAAGAAAAAAATTACATATCTCAAGCTATCGGGACACCCCGTATGAAACGATCGAATAGTGTATATGAACTCGCAATAAAAACACAGATACCATACAATAAATATTTACTATCAAACGATGTTAATTTACGTTTGTACGATTGTATTTTAATCGTCATCTATCTCATTGATGAAACTTATCGAGCTTTCGTGTTTTTTTCTGCTTTTTCATTCGCATTTTTGCGCAATTTCTGTGCAACAACAAGGAAATTTTCGGATCGATAATAATTGACGAAAATCATCGAGTCACGTTTGCCGATCGATTGGGAAATTTTCTTTCATTTTTCCGCCCTGTATAATGCAAAATTTTTCACGGAATGTGAAAATTACCGAAGCAATTACCTAACTATAATAATGAGCAAATTACCCATATTTTTATTTTAGATAATAAAGTAACCTTATCGAGTACTTGAAAATTACTAGACAACAATGATTTCAAGGGTTTTTAAAACTTTTTTAAATAAACCCTATTTTTTTAACAATATATTTCTAACCTGGATTTGGATTAATTTGGAATGCAAATAAAACGCTTCTTTATCATGTTACTTTTGATCTCTTGCTGTTGTTGCATTCAACCAGATTGTCTGCTACATAATGAATATAATTGTAGAAATTGTGTTGCGTAAAAAGGCCTTGATAAATATCAAATTAGAATGTTAAGCCATTGATTAAACAAAGGTCGAGTACTTACTAAAATTTGTTACAGGTAGAAAATTTAATCAGTTCAGTGAACCACTTCATTATTTGTCTTCTATTGTAATATAATTCATTATAAAATTATGTAATTGTTTATTCAATTTTTATGTTTAGGTACTTGTTTTTTATAGTTTAAACTGTTTAAACTAAACACAGGTAGACATGATTTCGTGACAAGGAACTTCCTTAGAAATAAGGTCGCATAATTCCTCATAATTCTTGAAGGGTCAAGGTGGAATCATCCATTTATGTCTTGTATAATGTTAAAAAAGTTTCCAGTTATTTTTATATTCATTTTCAATTTCTCACAACTAAAATACTTAGTAATTTTTTTGTACGAATAAGAAAGTCAGCCCAATTTTCGCCGGTATCCGATCCAATTCGAAAGCAAATTAACTCGCAAAAGAACGTCCAATTAACGAAATTCTCGCGTAATTACGATACTTATTACTCCGGCATTTTCTCCTTTCTACCCCGTCATTAACTCGAATAAAAATTTACGGTCCGAAATAATCGATTTTCGCCCGAGAAAATCGATACCCGAAACCGGTCCTTTTAAGAAATAGTTCTCAAAATCGATCAATAGAAAGTGTTCGGCGCTTATTTTGATCTTTGAAATCCACTCGAGCGATAAATTATCCCCTAGAAAATTATTTTATCGACCCAAATATCTTTCACTAAAATCTATCATCTTCAGAAACACCGTAGTGACTCGTATGACGCAGTTAATCTTAATCACAAGCAAATATCACAGTGATAATAATGAATGGGACTAGATAATAAAATAAATTTTCTTTCGATTTCGATTTACGATTTATATAAACGGTTCATTTACAGGAGTGACGATGGACGAGAAAAAGGGCAATTTCCCATCGACAGTTACCCTGGAAAATTTCAGTTCCACGTAAGTAAATTATTTTATTTATTTGTACAAGTGAAAGAATAAATATATGTTTGGGTTTTTTTTTACGAGCACACAAATAAGTAACTGACCTTTACCAACTAAGACAACCGGGTTAAATAAAATTTAAATTCATACACAATATTAGTGTAAATACGACCTTGTCGGATAAACTGATTTACCGATTTGTATCGGCCGATGATAGACGGTTTATAAAAGTAAATAAAAACCGATAAATTAACGTCTATTAGACTACTGACATTGATTAAAACCGCCTTATTTGGTAAGTTACGCGGTTTTCTTTTCCTATTAGACGGATTTTTCTGGTTTAGCTGGACTTTTATTTTCGATTTTTAATAGTACAACCGGTAAAACCTGTAGAGAAAGTACCCGCTCGTCTTCTTCGTATTTCTTTCATTCCGAGGCCTCGACTGTCCCAGCTATTCAGCTACATTTGAGCTAATAACTCATATTATGGAAACTTTTATTACAGAGCGACTTTAAACGAGCCCGTACGGATACCGATAAGTAAATTAAACTATCCAGAAAAGCAGTACAATCAGTACGAGCACAGGAAATTGGAACATCCTAATACGTAAGTTGAATCTAAAAATTACCAAGTAATTTTTGCGCTAAATATAATGTTAATTAAAATTCTTTGCAGATTCACCGGAGCTTTCATTCATGTGGTTAAAAGCTCACTAGGTACAGGCATCCTGGCCATGCCGAGGGCGTTCAAAGCCGCAGGGTTGGCCGTAGGATTTTTCGGTACCCTGTTCGTAGGAATGGTTTGCACACATACAGTAAACATGCTGGTAAATCCCCGACAATTCAAAAAAACCCGCCGCCATTAATTCGGTTCTTCTTTTTTTTTCAAGGTTTCGGCGTCGCAAAAAATGTGCGTAAAAACCAAAACCCCCAGTTTGGGATACGCCGAAACGGCGGAGGCGGTTTTCCAAAACGGTCCCAAGGGGTTCCGGCGATGGGCCGGCTTCGCCAGGTACGTACTAGCCCAGCGAATAATCCCCAACGAATCAACCCGGCAAATCTAGTTGTTTGTTGTTTTCCACGTTATATGTATTTGCATTCCATCGATTTCGCAAGACATTTGCACATAATTATCTTTACAATTCCATCGTCACCGGGTTCTCAAGTACATTATTTGCATATTGTTATTTCTAATGCACTATAGGAAAGAAAATAACAATCTATTTACCGCCGCTTCTAATAAGATTGTTAAAAAAAACACATTTTCAAGGAAAGCACATATAAGGAACTAACATTAATAACAATTTCTGTTGCAGGAACTTCTCCGAGCTAGCCTTGGCCTTGACCTATGCGGCGGGAATAGCCGTCTACGTGGTGTTCATATCGGAATCCATGCAAAAGGTAACACCAACAACTTCAAAGAAACCAAAAAAAAATCAACCCTTCTCCAACGCTTTTCAGCTGCTCTCCGTCTACTACCCGTCACTAGGAAGCGACGAGTGGAGTTTGTACTTCAAACTAATCATCCTCGGGCCGCTGGTCCTGTGCTGCCAGGTCAGGGAGCTCAAGCACCTGGTGCCCTTCTCCTTCGTCGCCAACATCACCATGTCGCTGGCGTTCGCCATCACCTTGTACTACACCTTCTCCAAGATACAGCACGTCGAGGTGGCCGAGAGGAAGATGTGGACCGATTGGAGCGGCATCCCCTCCTTCTTCAGCACCGCCATCTTCGCCATGGAAGGTGAACAACACCCACCAAATAGATCCGGTGGTGTTTAATTAATCGTTTTAATCGAGCAGGTATCGGGACCATCATGCCGGTGGAGAACTCCATGGTGACGGACAGGTTCTTGGGCTGCCCGGGCGTTTTGAATTTGGGCATGCTGGTGGTGGTTACCTTCTTCGCCACGATGGGTTCCTTCGGTTACTACGCCTTCGGGGACGAAACAGCGGCTACCATCACGCAGAATTTGCCATCGAACGAAATGTTAGTAACCACAAACTAATCCTCTACAATCCTCCTATCATCAGCACTTCTTCCGCGTACTCAATGGGGGATTTCTAATCCACCTGAGCACCAGAATACTTTAGCTCGTGATCCATCACCAGCTCGATTACCTTAGAACAGTGCAGTACAGGTTCGGATCTGTTCCAGATTGGCGCAAGTGGTGCAGGCGGCCATCTCCTCGGCGGTGTTCTTCACCTTCATGTTGCAGTTCTACGTGCCCACGGACATCGTGTGGAGGAAGATCGAGCCTTTGGTGTCGCGGGAGCGCCGCGACTTGGCGCAGGTGCTGACCAGGACGGGCCTGGTGGTGTTCATCGTGGCGATCGGCGCCGCCGCCGGCCACCATCTCGACGCCCTCATCGATCTGGCCGGCTCGATTTTCCTGTCGACGCTCGGGTTCCTCATACCGGCCGTCCTCGACATCGTCATCAACTGGGAGGACTGGGGCCGGTGGAATTACATCCTGGTGAAGGACCTGCTCATCAGCGCGTTCTCGCTGTTCGGACTGGTGTCCGGTACTTATTTCGCTATATTGGAGTTTTCGTGATTGATTTAGTTCGAGGATTCGATTGCAGCTTGTGATCGTTGATGATGTTAAGTGTAGAAAAGTTTATATTAAGGTCTGTTTGTTCAAAAGTATTGGGTGGTTTTGCCTGTTGAGTCGCTGCAAAGAATTGACTTTGATTCAACTTTCTGTTATTTTTTTATTGTGTCTGTTATTTCTTGGACAAACTGCTATGTTATTAGGGTAATCCCAAAACAATTATTTATTGTATGCCAAACTTAAACCAGTGTTACGTGATAAATTATACAATTAATTTATTTTTTTATTAGTTACGGAATTTTAGCGAATATCGGTTAGTAATAAGCGCAAAATTATGTTTGAACGTCCAACAATTTAGGCTATTTTAGGCTTTAATCGGCTAGTGATAAATTATTTTATTTAGCTATTAAAATATCTTGCTGTGATGTAATAGATGTAATAAACTAGAGCTAATCAAACAAATTTCAATCGTTTCATTCAACACCAAAAAAAAAACTCGAAGTTATATGGTAAGGAATTTAATGACAATGCTGACGATATTGAAGGCAGAAGGCATTTCCAAGATATATTTCACGTTTGCATGCACCTTACAAATTTCTTCCACACGTGCATTCCGGAATTTCGTTTATAAAATTCGCAAGTCTCTTAATAAACTCATTAAAAGGCTCGTACATGGCTCTCACAGCCGCTTCATTTTGCGTTGTCCTCGCCTCTCTCCAAGAGTAATCGAATGTCCCTAGCAAATAAACGAAGTGAATCACACCAAAAATTCACAAACATTACCAATTCCAGTTCCGAGTTACTTCACTGTATAAGGCCTTACCTGGCTCGACCACCAAACAAACAGCAAACACTTTCAATTCGCAATGTTTGGCCAAAGTAACTTCTGGAACGGTCGACATTCCCACCACATCAGCCCCGCAAATGGACATCATTCTCATCTCAGCCACCTTCAACAAGACCCCGAATTAACGCCACCAGTTTCACCACAAAAATTTCTTATCAACATCTTACCGTCGGTAAACTGGGGCCGCACACGTACCCGTACACGCCCTGCCGCAATTTCTTGTTGATCTTCAATTTCACGGCGATTTTGACCGCCTGCTTGCGCAGCTTCCTCTCGTAGACCTCGTTCATCGACGGGAATCGATCGCCGATGCGATCGTCGTTGGGGCCCCTCAACGGGCTGCTGCCGGCGATGCCCAGCATGTTGATGTGGTCCTTCACCATCATAATGTCGCCGGGTTTGTACTTCTCGTTGACGCCCACCACCGAGCTGGTGGTGATTAGGTACTTGACGCCCATCAGCTTGAACACCGTCGATGGTATGCCGGCTTTCCAAGAGGGATTTCCTGATAAATGTACTCGATAATTTGTGTGTTAATAACTCAAAGATGTGCCTGGTGGATGGAGGATGGATTCATCAGGTACATCTCTAGGTCCTCTTGGTCTGTGATAATTTGTGTATCAATAACTGAAAGATGGACCTGATGGATGGAGGATGGGGATTCATCAGGTACATCTCTAGGTCTTCTTGGTTCTCGATAATTTGTGTATAAATAACACAAAGATAGTGTGGAATGGTAGACTAAGTCGATTCTTCGATGAGATGTTAAATTGAATCAGTTTTTGAGTGTAGTATTGAAGGATGTTATAGTGAAATAAGCTTTGTAGGAACTTGTGGATGGTGTTTCTGTTTGGTAAAAAGTACCTTCGAAAAAATGGAACCGGCCTTTCATGATTACTACCGGCGTTATATCGTCGAAATAGCCGAAAACGAGCATCGATTGGTGGTTAGGTACGGTGCATTCGGGAAAGTACGGAATGTCTTCGTATTTGACTTGCGTGGTATTGGTCAAATCGTCCGTTAGAAAAGCTGCGAAAAGTTTTTGGTAAATTTTTTGCATCGAAAACAATTCGATTGTGGGTTCGTTTACCTAAATTGGAGCCGCATATTATGGCAATTTTCGGCACGAAACCGGCCCGCTCGACGAGGAAATCCGCGGATTCTTGCAAATTCTCGTAACTCCATCTGGAAATCGACTAACTTTTCTTAAAAAATCTGAAAATGCGAACGAGATTCTACGTCAAACAAACTAACCTGCCTTCGAAGGCCGCCATAAATGATTCCTCAAATTCCTTACACACACAAAAATTTATCAAATATTACGAAAGAAAAGAAATGAACATGAACATGAACGTCTATATGACAACTACTACATTACACAGGGTGTCTATATTAGAATATAGTAAGCATCTTTTAAGCCCCTTTTCAAGAGAAATTAACTTGACAATTAAACTACATACAAGTACCAATATTACCTCAATTACAACTAGCAGTCCACTAGCAGCACCCACAACGGCACGGTTTCTTATTACCCATAAACTTCACCATCGCCGTCACGAACTCCCTCAAGGGCTTCTCCATGGCCTGGGCCGCCGCCAAAACTTCCAAATGGTTCGGTACCTTCGTCACCGCCCACTCCAGGTTACCTATACAAACAGTTTTCTTTACTCCTAACGTCCCTGGAGGGAAATATAACCAGCGCTTACCCTCTTCGGTAACTATACTGATACCGAACACCGTCAAACCACAATGTACAGCCACCAAAACCTCGGGTATCGTCGACATTCCCACGGAGTCCACGCCGCATTTCAACAACATTCGCGCCTCGGCCACCTGGAAGAATGTTTTACTGAAGGAACACCACACAAAAAGAATTATTAATGTCGTGGAGTAGTGATAGAAGCAGTACTAGATGATATGCAGGACCTGGTGGATGTAGACGAGGTCCTCTAGACAAAAAATGTATTGTGCTTGAATCATTGACTGGAAGAATGTTTTACTGAAGGAACACCACACAAAAAGAATTATTAATGTCGTGGAGTAGTGGTAGTAGCAGTACTAGATGATATGCAGGACCTGGTGGATGGAATATGGATCCAGGTCCATCTCTAGGTCCTCTAGACAAAAAATGCATTGTGTTATTTCTTACAGATTCGTAGGAAGGACCGGCGAGAGCGGCGTAGACGCCTTCGTAGAACCGGTCCTCGTAGCCGAGCTCCTTGGCAATTCGCATGCCGGCCTTGCGCAGGTCCACGTCGTAGCAATTCGACGTGGGCGGGAAGCGCGGCCCGAATTCCCACTCGTTGGGGCCGCGCAGCGGATTGTAGCCGGAGAGGCCGACGTAGTAGATGTGGTCGCGCAGCACGATGATGTCGCCGACTTTGTATTTGGGGTTGATGCTGCCGGCGGCGTTGCTGACGAACAGGTACGAGCAGCCGAGGAGCTTGAAGATCCTGCAGGGCATGGTCACCTTCCACATGGGGTAGCCTTCGTAGAAGTGGAAGCGGCCTTTCATGACGACGACCGGCACGGAGGCTATGTAGCCGAAGACCAACGCGCCGGAATGGCCTTCGACGGTGCTTAGCGGGAAATTCGGGATGTCGGAGTAGTTGATTGATATGGGGTTGACTAGGTCGTCTGCCATGGTATCTAGAATTTCGTTGCTCTTAATATCAAACTCAAGGTAATGGAGGAATGCCAACAAATAGTTGCTTACCCAGTCCAGATCCGCAAATTATACTGACTTTGGGTGTCATTTTACATATATTTTTCAGAAAGTCTGCTATGTCGTTGAGTTCCTTGTAAGTGTATCTGAAATTATTCGATTCGAGATGAATTTTTTTGCAAATAAAATATCAAAGGAAAGGAGTATTCTGGGTCTGGATTTGAATAGCGCGAACTCACCTGTTTTCAATATCGTCCATGGTAATGTATGACTACGGTTTTGTTCTTAAATAAATGGCATTGAATTCTACGAAAATTTATCCTTTGAATGACATGACAATGACGGCAACAGTCATCGCAAATAATCGATTCATCGTATCTATCCAATCCGAAATTAATACAACAATAAAATTACCAAACACAAATTCATATTCATACAGCAATCCAGTTAGTTAAGGTCGATTCGTACAATAATATTGGTCACTTGGACAAACTATTTAACGCTACAAATAAAACCAAAATAGGTGACAGACAATTTTAATGACAAAACTGACGACATTGAAGGCAGAAGGTATTTCCAGAATATTTTACTTTTGCACACATTTCATCAAATCAATCACATAACGGATATCAGTTCATCCAGCGATACAAAATATAGGAACTTCTAAGATCACAGATCCTATATCGCAAAATTCAAATACTTCTTTCATTCAGTTCCTGATGATAACTTCATTGTATAGGCCAACTTCGGGAACGGTCGATCTCAATCACAACTGCAACAACCCTCACAGTAGCAACAACCGCAACCGCACGGTTTCTTATCACCCATAAACTTCACCAATTTCGTAACGAAGTTCTGCAAGGGCCTCTCCATGGCCTTGGCCGCCGCCAAAACTTCCAAATGATTCGGCTTCTTGGTGCTCGTCCACTCCAGAATACCTACAACGATTCTATTTACTCGCCTACATCGCTTTTAACTCAATTGGAATGCGTAGAAAGAAACATAACCAGCACTTACCCTCGTTGGTAATCAGACTAAAGGCAAACACCGATAAACCACAATGTATCGCCACCAAAACCTCGGGTACAGTCGACATTCCCACGGCGTCCACGCCGCATTTGGACAACATTCGCATTTCTGCTACCTAGATGAAGGAATAAAACACAATAAGAGATTTAGATACTATAAATAAAGCCTTGGAGCAGTGATAGAAGACTTCTCTCATTCATACAAACTTACAGATTCGTAGGTGGGACCGCCCAGCGAGGCGTACACGCCCTGGTGGAACTTCTTCTCCAAACCGACCTGTTTGGCTATTCGCACGGCGGCCTTTCTGAGATCCAGATCGTAGCAATTCGACGTCGGAGGGAAGCGCTTGCCGAATTCGGATTCGTTGGGGCCGCGTAGCGGGTTGTTGCCGGCCAGGCCGAGCATGAAAATGTGGTCCTTTATCATCATGATGTCGCCGACTTTGTACCGTTGGTTGACGCCGCCGGCGGCGTTGCTGACGATGAGGAACGAGCAGCCGATCAGCTTGAAGATCTTGCAGGGCATGGTCACCTTCCACATGGGGTAGCCTGCGAGTGGAGAGAGTGGTTATTGGTAGAGGGTTCGAGGTAGTTGCGGGTACCTTCGTAGAAGTGGAAACGGCCCTTCATCACCACGACTGGCACGCAGGATAGACAGCCGAACACCAACGAGCCAGAGTGGCCTTTTACCGTGCTCCTCGGGAAATTCGGGATTTGGCTGTAGTTGATTACTAGAGGGTCGACTAAGGCATCTGCTATGGTACCTACAAGTTCAATTTTTCAGATATTATCATCAATTAAAAAATATAAGGAATATATAGTCATTATACCAGTGTTCAAAATGCTAACACTTATGAATGGTAATCAAGTTATGAGTGTTCAAATAACTAACAGTTACGAATGGCGAGAAGTTAGTCATTATACCAGTGTTCATAATGCTAACACTTATGAATGGTAATCAAGTTACGAGTTTTCAAATACCTAACAGTTATGAATAGTAGTTAAAGCGGTTTAGTAGTTGAAATTAAATTCAAATTAATTTATTAACGGAAAAAAGCATTGCTCTAATTATTCTAATGTTCACTCTTACCCAGTCCGGAACCGCAAATTATACCGACTTTCGGTTCCATTTTAGATGTTTCTTTCAGAAAATCTGCTATTTCTTTGAGTTGCTTGTAAGTATATCTGAAATTATTCGAAACAAGATACATTTTTAGGTACATTTCAACACTACTGCCTGGGACTCCCCTGTACAAATAGGTGCATAAAAGGAAAGATGCGCTGGATCTGAATTTTTAACTAACCTGCCTTCAACATCGCCCATGGTAATTTATGAATGGGGTTTTGTTCTTAAATAAATGAAGTTGAACGCAACAAAAATTTATCTATGACTAATGACATAACGATGACGCAGTCATCGCAAATAATCGATTCTTCATATCAATCCAATCAGAAATAAATACAGCAATAAATAACCACCATTCGTACGACATCCTCACCGCAAACAAGCGTCTTTGAAATTGGTAACATTCAACGTACTGAAATAATCGTCGTGCAAAAACCGCACGATATCCTCCATTTTGCACAAATAAACTCTCGCGCTAACACTGACCGTGTTCCTGCAAAAACCGATCTGCCTCGTAACGTCCACACCGTTCGAAAGCACCCTGAAGTAAATGCCTCGATTGTTCGCGAGGTAATCCTCGTTCTCTTGGTATATCTCGATCGCGATGCGGGCCGCGTACCTCAACAGAAACGGATCGTTCGGCAGGCCCAGCGCGCAGCTCAACTGCTCCAAAGTGTGGTCGTGGCCCGAATACACCACTAGGTAAGGGCCGTTATCGGATACCTACAAAACCCCACACGTTATTATACGTTTTTTAATCAGTAACTAGAAGTGTCTTTGTGAGGCTACAAGTGTTCATAATTTGGACCTAAAGTGGTGTTAAATCCATCACGTGCAATTAACAATTACCATTTGCAGCATCTGTTGGACAATGTGTCGTATTAGACCGTACGATTTCAACAAGCAGTACCTTTTCCAATTACGGTCTCTCCATTTCTGGTAGTTTATCCAGTCCGTGTAGGTGAATATCCCGACAACGTTTTGTCGTCTAAAAACTTTTGATTATACTATTTGTATAACATTAAAGTGAATAGTACCTAATGCAATTCACAGGAGAGTCACAAGGCAACCCGTTCCTGTGGCAAACGAACGTCAGTAGAGCATCTCTAATGAAATGCGGATCTGCATTGGTGGCTGTGGATTCTCCGTTGATTGAAAATAGAGTAGAACCGGTGGATTCGGCGAGGGCTGCAACAGCAGGATGAGACTGCAATTGCTGCGATATACTCTTTTTCACGTTCCTAAAACGCATACAACTGTACAGGAGTACTTGTAATAAATATAGATAAAACCTGTATAGTTTCTCTGTGATGGGGCAACCACAATCCTTGAAACAGAAACTCATACTTTGACTCTCGTGTATGCTAATTTTCTCGAGAACATCCGATGGAATGAAACCAAACAAGAAGGCCAATACCGATTGGAAGGTTCTACGGTAACGCGTGCTGTAGACTAATACTTCACTAGGTTTTAGAGTCGATAATTTCGCCCAAATATCCTCGTAGTTGCTTTTTAACAAATTGCCTAGTTTTAACAATTGAAATATACCTACAAAATACATGGATGTTTTGAACTATTTTAGATGTATAAAGGAATTTAAGCACCTTGCATCGTCAATTGACCTAAATGGCACTGAGTCGGATGAACTGGAAGAAACGGGAAATTGTGAAAAGGCCCCGGACCTGCCCAGGAGACTTTTCCAGGTAACGATTGATTGCGCAAATATGCCTGAAACACACAAAATAAAATCCTATGAAACAACTACACTAACAACAAACCTTATACGATGATAAAATCTCGCTATTTTCTGTACCGCAATTTATAGAGGATATTTTCTTGATGTGCTGAAGTGGTCCTCTATCACCGTGCCTAAGTAAAATTATCAAACCTTTGAGATACCATTTACTCCCCCTTATGGCTCCTAAAAAACGAATTATTTATCACGAATCGCGACGTACGAACAGAAGTACCTTCGTCCCCGGTGGAAATGTCTTCGGGGAAGTTGCATATTCGAAATATCCTCTTCGTTTTCGCGTCTAAAGCTAGATTGGTGTAAGATGCCGATGAGACTTCGGTCTCGGTTAGTTTTTGCTTAGATTCTAAAAACTTGTAGATTCCCACTACTATCAGCAGGATCCACAGGGTCATTAAAATGTAACAGTGAAGCGCTTTGGTTTGGTGTATTCGAAGTAGATTAAAAATCATTATTGATTGGAGGGTCTGGTTTGTTTTTGCAAATGGTGCCTGTAGTCTTATAGATATATTGTTGTATTAATAGCTTTGCGAGTTTGAACAATTATTATTATTCGTTTCATCTCGGTTTGCCAATTTGATTATTGTTGGAAAATTTGAAATTATAAACAAGATTTTTATACACACTGACATTGACACTAATGACAAGACAACAAATTCTTTTCTTCTCTTTTAGAAAAATAATTTATCTAATGTTTCATTTATTTTAATAACTTTAGTTTATTATTAAGTAAAGAATGAAACAATAAAAATTATTTATATTTTCTTATAAGAGTACGTATTGACTAAACATACAGTGACTGAATAACCGAATAGAACTTGTCACAGGTTCAAATGAGCGAAAGGGTAGGGATATGTCAAAAGTGTTGCCTAACGTATAGTTGCTTGAATATAATTTATTGTATTTAGTATTTTGTAGAAATCTAAAACACACGTAAAAGTTGTTTAATTTGTTTCAAGTATGTACTTTATTCAGTTAGTATTTAATAAAATTCATACGAATCGAAAATTTTATTAACAATAGACATAATAAATTACAATAAACATCACAGGCATTTTTTACAAATATAAAACATAATTCCTGTATTATTCCACTCAATCAACATCACGAGATTCAAAAACACCGATCCTAGTATTACAAAAATATCGAAGCATCGAATAAAATCGAACCGAGGCCTCGAAACAGTTTATCATCCAGCCACCGCGCAATAGTCTACATGAACAACTCGTTGCGTTGATCCCCCCGCCGGTGGTACTGCACCTTCACCTGGTGCACGTTCATCACCAGACTGGTGGTGGTGCACAAATCGGGCTGGGAGCGCTTGCACTCGACGGGCGCGCTCCCCAGCCCCAGCTGATTCGTCAACGGCTCGCTGTAGTAGGACAAGCCCTGGCTGTGGTTGGACGCGGTGCTCTCGGCGAAGCTGACGCGCGCCGCGCTCGGCGGGTAATCCCCCGAGTGGGTACGATCCTCCTGCGGATAGAACGAAACATCATTTAGTTCAGGAGTGGGGTTTATCGATTCGCCGGGTAGTTGAATGGATCCGTACAAGAAACTAGGTTAATTCGGATGAATGGTGTCATTAGGGTAAAAGAGGTTGTTTGAAAACTATTATACAGGGTGGGTTTGAGATAATTTTATATTAGAAAAAAGATTAAAGGACACTTTATCGTAAAGCTTATGTTTTTAAAGGAATCGTTTTGTTATCAAATCGGTCCTGAAATCCATTTACAGAGAATAATTCTCAACTGTCAACTGTCAATGTCAAATAAATTTAATCAAATAAAACCAAAAACCATTTTTATCTAGTTTATTAATTAGTCAAAAATTTGATCTAATCCTATATACGTTTAAACATAAACTCGTATAAGTATAATATTATTCAAATAAATCCCGGCATGGAACTTCCAAATCGTCCCCGAATATTTGTCTTGTTTGCTTTTCGCTCGACAAATAAAGCCCATATTATTTCGAAATTCTGGCATTATCGGGGAAGTTTTGGGGAAGCGGAAAACGCGGCACGTTTTCGGCAAGGAAAAATAGCCGCTGGAATTTCATCGCAATCCGTTGAATTTATGCCGACGGACATTCGGGAAACTCCCACTGACGCGGGAGAAAAGTTCTTCCTGCCGACTCGTCGATATTAAGTAGTAAAAAATCGGCTTTTCTTGAATGAATGAAAATCCGCTGGAATATTCTCCTCGTTTGGGAAGTTTGATTCTAAATCGGCGATAACGAGATACGTTTTTCGAAAGGTTTTATGAAAACTTTGTTATACTTGTGTAATAATAAATAACGTAAGGAATTTTCTTAATATCAGGATACAGCTACAAGTGTATACATATATTCTGTTTGAAGAAACTTTTAAAGAAGAATTGCGTTATTTTTCATTTAGGAAACTGGAAGATTGAAGTTTTTTGCTATATACAGAATGATATGAAAATGAATTTCAAGCGATGATTGTTATTCATGAAAATGCAAAATTGGTTACTATTTATAGTTTATTCCAGACGAAACATAGGACAAATTTAAATATCACAACACAAACTTGATGGAAAATTTGTTGTAAAAAATGATGTAGCAATTAAATTTCCAAGATAGAAGTCACAAGAAAAAATGCATTTATTTCAGGTAAGGATATAACTCAAAAACATTAAGATTTACAAATCTTTAATTCAATCATCTTCTAACCCTCTATAAAAAAATCGATATAACTCAAAACCTACCAAAACTAGGGAACTCTTTTAACAGTCAATTCAAAGAGGAATGTTTTCCTACAATCTAAACTTAGAGCCAATTTTCCAGCATAACCCCATTCGAAGTTACAAGAGTACTAACCTTCTGCTGCGATTGGCCGATCTTGCACAAAGCCAGCGACTCGTTTTTATACAGGGCGTTCGTTTTCTTCGCCGCGGTGCTCTTCGTTGTCGCCGATCCGTCTGGAACAGATGGATAAATATTACCAGACGTAATTACCTAACGTTTCCACTTTAATTGCCGAGTTAATTACCCTCTAATAATTTGTTAATTACATAGTAGAGTAAGGAAAACGCGACGGGGTGTTTTCTTTGCAAATAAAACGATTCAATTGGAATGTCAATTTTGATGGCGCAATTTCCTGGTTTTATACAGGGTGTTTCGAAGTTTGAGCTCTTATTTTTCGTTTCATTGATTTTCCGAACGGAATACTAAAATGGTTTTTTTGCGTTCCATTTTCCATTGATTAACGAAATTTAAGCGGGTTGTTTTCGGTGTTTTTTCGGTCGAGTTGTTACGGAATTTTCGAAAAAACGAACAAAAAATGTTTAACACACGCTCGGAGTTTCCAATTTTTGTCACTTTTTCTTTTTGCAAGGCTCCGTATAGAGCGCACAAACGGGTTTTCATTCATTCATATTGAATTTACGGAAACATTATTGCAAATAAAAGCAGTTCGTTCTATTTGGCTTCCGTGCCATTCTGCGTAAAAGTTCAATTTGTTCTGGTATTTTTACTCCAGAACCCGTGGAATTTTATTAATTATAATAACTTTGTAGTTGTTATTGAAATTTTCAATCTCCCCGTTGCTTCGTTTATACAGGGTGTGTCATTTTTGAATTTCTATCAACAGTCTATCAAATTTCTTCTAAACTTGTTCATAATTAAAAAACCTTTTATTCACAAACTTATTGTCTCTTCGAAATCACCCTGTACAATTCGCGCGAGGAAATTTCATCGCTTTTTTTTAACCACTTCGAGTTTCTCCCAAAAAGATAACTCCAATTCTGCAAACTCCTACAGACATCCTTCGATATTAGTTTCCTATATATTCGGGAAACTTATTTTAAATTAGATTGAACACGTAATTCTCTCTATGTCTAGATATAACAGTAATCGAAAATTAATGCTATAATTATTGGTTAAAAATACAATAATACCGGGCGTTTAAAAAATACTTACGGGAATGATAAATTTTTTTGAATACTTCCCATTTTAAAAACGCCCCTAAAATTCATTCAAAATCAACCCAAAAACGTAACAAACCCAAGCGAAACCCCTTAGAAAATCTTCGTATTTTTGCAAATCGAGATATTTATAGACCCGCCTAAATAGAAATAAAAATTTCACTCACCTTTCCCGTGACGCAAGAAGCACTTCAATAGTCTCCTGACGACGTCCTTACTCGCGTAGGTCGATCGAATTTCCCCATCTGAAAGTATCGCATTTACCGCCTGTTTTTCCAATTCCATGCCAAATGAAAAATTATAGCATTAATTTTACTCCGAAGCGATGCATTTCACGCGCCGGTCTCTCGACATTCATTATAGAATAAACGCACAAAAAAAACCCCGGCGATTCCCCCATCAGCGTTTAAAAACAAATCAAGCGAGCCGTGACAATAAACTCACCCTTGGCCGAATAGCCCTGGCAGCTGAGGCAAAAAAATTGCGAAGAAGAAGAAGAAGAAGAATAAACTCACCGTTCAAATTTTCGTTGGGTTTCCTGTGCGCCTGCGAGGCGTTCTGGCAGGTGCGATTGCATTTGATGATGTAGCTGCCGTATATTATGGGATTCATGCAACTGTTGGTGGCCACCATGATGAAGAAGAACTCCTGCAACCAGTCGGGGACTCCTTCGGCGCTCGTCCTGTCCACCATGTACCTGCAGGAAGATTTCTAAATGCACCAAAATATCTCGGGATGAACTGAAACTGTTCGGTTATTCGGTACAAATTCGACAGATTGACGAGCGTTTTCTGATGTGGATCTTGTTGATGAGATTAGGGGAATTGCCGGGTATTTTATTAATTTTTTTTTCGCATAATCTCGTTAATTTGGCGAGTTTTGGGCGATCGCATAACAGGTTTTTTCTCCATATTTTTTGCGAAAGAGCAAATTTAATTTGTCAGTGCTCGAGATTTCGCTCGAGCGGGTGAATGTAACATGAGCAAACTAAATACAAGTGGTATTAAATGGAGTGTACGGCTTGGGAGATTATATTTTATTTATTTTCGTTCGCGTGCGAACGTGATTCGACTAGACTTTGATTCGGATTATGAAGGACCCAGCAGGAATTTGATTAAAAATGTTTTTTTTCCAAGAAATATGGGTTGTAAGAGTAGAGTCTACATCTGCAAATAAATCCTTCGTAGGTAGAAGATAATCCCAGTAGCCTTTGGTCAATTACCACTTGATTTTGGTACCACTTACCACAAAGTCATGATGGCCGTTGGGGTGCAACAGGCCACGTATACAGCCACTATAGTAATGGTCATTTTCAAAGTGCGACTTTTCGCCTTTTCGATATTACTCACAGCCGACCGCCTCAGCCTTAATTTCCCATCAGCCAACGGTAGAGACTCGTCTGCAAAAAACACCACTAATAGCAACAATTAACTGACACATTTTATAGTACGTTCAGAATTAATTCTTAAATGTATCAATATGCCCTGGGGTTAAAACTAATATAATCTTCACGTGAATATGCGTTATTAAATTGTTTTCAAATTTGGGGGTTGACTTAAGAATGAAATTACCTTTAAAACGAGGTGTCACTTGATCCCCCTTTCAATAAGAAAAAAAGATGGCGCCTAACTGTCATTTTGAAAGTTTCAACTGTCATTTTTACGTCAAAAAATAGTATTTTTACTCCGATATAAACACCCCAAATTGCGCGATAGTCTTGCCATTCAAAAATTAGTGCTTTTAATATACTACTGCAGGTGCTTACTTTGGACGATTTTGGAGTTCCTGGACAACTCGCACATGATGGCCGTGTAGGCGACGGTGATGACGGAGAGCGGCAGGAAGTACATGAAGATGACGCAGAGGAAATTGTAGGCGGTTTCCTGGCTCGGCGACGAGAAGAAATAATAGGAAACGCATTGGGTGAAATTCGAATTGTCCGGGTGCGTTTGCACGCTGAACACGAAGCTCTGGAACGAATAGAACAAATACAGATTGCTCCATTGTTCATTGCAACATAGGCTACGGGTGCAACAAAGACAACTTCAATTAGACACTTATATAGGAAAAAGAATGAGTGACATTTGTGTCATTACTGTCATTTCAACTTTTCACACTGACAACTGTCATTTTAATAATCTTTCTTTGTTCAACTCATAGAAATGACCATGTCGAATGAAGCACAGTGTATATCGGATTCCATTGTTATTATTAAATGGCAAATAAACTCTCTTCGAACGTGTTAAAATCTATAAGTATTGCCTTATAGTAATTATACCCCATTCGCTTATCATTAGAAAATCTAATTTTGTATGCAAATAAATTATGTAATATAAGTAATATTTCTTTAAAATTTTGTTAAATAGCACTGTAAAATTACAATTAATCAATCAATTTTAAAAGGTTATGTGAGAGTGTCGATAACTAATAAGTTTTCGAATAATTGTCACCGATATGATTGATTGAAAATTGAACGATGTTCGAAGAAAACTACGGTTGCCTGACTTGCTATGCAGAGTTTTAACTATATTAATTTTAGTTGATAAAGTTTTTCTTATAAAACATAGTTAGTAATGAATAAATAGCAAGTATACAACAAAATTAATTTAATATTAAACAGTCCAGTAATTTATAAAAGACATAAAAAATTCAAAGTGGCCTTTTTGGAGTACCTACATTAGCCACATTAATCACCACAGTAAATTGAAATTAGTGTAGTTATAAAATATAAAAGTTAGGCACTATTTTTGCCTCGTTCTCCTGCACTATTTACCTTTATTTCTTTTTGTGCATTATACAAGAAACTATTTATATCTCGAGCAGTTATACCTCCGCATTTCAAGTGAATAATTCGCAATAATACCAGGATAAAAAAGATTGCGGGGTAACCGCAAAAGTATTTTACATAGTACCGCGTAGCGGCGAATAATTTTCAACTTTCGGAGTTCGGACGTTTCTATTAAAACTTCGCGTTATTAAAATCGCTATTGTTCAATTATAAATTTAAATTAGCCGGTTTAATTTTCCTACTTTGTAATAATTTGTAACAGAAGTTCGTTTAATGACGAACTGGTGATTCCCAGAGGGCCACGTATGGGTTTTCAAGTGAATATCTTTGGTTTCTGATCCCTTTAAGGAGGAATTATTCAGGCAACTTGTGCTGAAGTTACACGAACATTGCAATTAATAATAAACGAAGTAATATTTAAGTTGGGAAGTTTTCATTTGGTTATTTTTTGGGTTTTATCTAGTGGTTTTTGTTAGTCAAATCTTCAATAAATATGAAAAAAACGAAGAATTTATCCAATAAATTTGAATTCATTCAAACGAATTTTATTTTACTAATGCCAATTCGTATTTTATCAGCGATAAATTCTCTAAATAGTTTAGTTTTTGTTTCCTGAAGTGTGAAATAGCGATTTTCATTGTTAGAAATTCCGTTTTATTCAAGCGAATATAGTTTTCCCGGAAATTGAAATTTCGTTCATTCGAAATTCTACTGTAAAAGGATTATTTTAAATTTACTCTCTAAATATTCATGCATACGGTCCTGTTACAAAAGCAGTCGAATAGACAGGGCCGAATTCGTGAAATTCATTTACACATTACGAATTCAATTAAACGGAAAACTGGTATAAATTATTTGTTTGACCGAAAAACAAAATTTAATTTAACGAAAAAATTAATGGAAAGATTAAAATTCGTTCCGCTTTATGCTCATGTCTGACGATTTTCTGTTCGTACTGCCACGTTAGCAATTTACGGCCCCCTAGGGGGAATTTATCGCTTAAGCCCTGGAAACGGGAATTTAAGGGAAAAAAGAGATAACTCGAAATTCTCCGGAAGCAATTAAATCCAGAGATCCGGAGCAACAATTCGGCAATGGCGCGTTCCGGATTAATTAATTCAAATCAAAATACCTGCAACTTTGATGTAGATCATACCTTAATTTAATAATAGGCATTAACCATTGTGATTTGATTTACCTCGGCTCAAATGCTGCGGTATTTTCAGCTAAATTGTTTGTTGATTTTCTTTTATTAAGTACTAAAGTAAATTCCGAATTTCGATTAAATTCACAAGTAGTTTATTATACAAAATGTACTCACTCATGAGGGATAAATCGGTAATGGGAAAGTAAACAAACCCACTATCAATGGCGTTCGCATTATTTTATCTGAGGGGTTCCTAATAAAATATTAACAGAGTGTCTTATAAGTAGAGGATAATCTTTTTTCCTGCAGGTGGAGCACTTTGTAAATCATTCTAATTTGTACAATTACATTAATGAGGTCTTTTGTAATGTATATGACAACAAGTATTAACTCTTCCTGGTTTCTCAGCATTGTAGAGTAGATTTTATGAAATTCGGAAAAGACACTCGATAATCGCGTGCTTAAATATTTGATAATTTCAAGAATAAAGCCTTGCAAACAACGCGAAATCCCGATATATTTTATCTCATCCCCCGTTCGAATTCGCATTATAATTATCCGTCAATGTTTGCCCGAACGCTTGGTCGATTAAGGATTTTCCAAGGGCTAACGAAGGCCCAGTATAGCCTATACTCAACGTACCCAAATTAATTTAGCTACAAAACGGTTTAATTAAATTCAAAATTCAAATTTCACACAGAGTAGTTTGAATGCTAAAAAAATTGTTGAAAGTCTTGCCAAAGTCAAACACTGATGGTTCTCAGGACATGGAAATATGATCTTCTGAACCAGCAAACCAAGACTTGCCAATTCTAATTAAAAAGTAGGCGCTATTGAAATTTTGTAATTTTTTCATTGATATATCTTTCGCATACCAAACTACATTTAATACTATCTCCTGTTAGCGAGCGGGGTATGTTTAAATAACAAATAAATTGTCTATGTTTGTCTAAAATAGTCTCCAGATAATACACACAGGTGCGTTTATTTTCAAACAGTCATGACGTCATAGCCAAGTTAATTGAAACAACATATAGGAACATCAGTTCGGTAAATATCGCATGCACATACCTCGCCTCAAACACTTACTTGCGGAATGCAATACGCGATAGAGGCGCTCCAAGCCACAGACAACATGAGTTTGCCTCTTCGGCGGGCATCGGTCACCCTCAGGGGATAGAGCACTGCGAAATACCGATCTAACGATATGCAAACCAATATGTTGCTGCTCAAATAGGGGCCCAGCACCCTCAGGAAGAGGAAAACTTTGCAGGCCACGTTGCCCGCCAACCAGACCCCCGTCAGCCGCCAGATCACCTGAAACACAACCCGAAAATTACCTTACCGAATAATGAATAGCTTGGCAGTTGGCATGCAGAGTTTTCCACTGCCAAGCTACATTTGCTGAGGTAGATTATTAATGAGCTTTTAACCAATGATTGTGTATACGCACCTCGCCCGGTATCATGATGAACGTGACGATCAAATCGGCTATGGTGAGATGGGTAATCATCAGACTGATCCTGGACTTCCTTCGTCTGGACCGCAACAGCGACACGAAAACGGTCAAATTGCCGATGGCGGCGACCACGAAGAGCACCGTGTAGAAGGCGATTTCGCGGAAATTCCTGCGCTTGAATTGCTCGGTATCGACGAAGGTGGCGTTGCCGTCGATCGTCGAGGAATCGTTGGTCTCCATCGTACCGAGGACGTGCTGGAGCTGCAGGTGTTCGTTGACGATGATGTTCATGGTGCTCCAGGTGCGCTGGTTAGGAGTTCCATTGCGTTTCGGCTGGAAGAGGATTTAGTGGAAATGTCTCAACAAATCTATATTCTGTTTTGTCCATTAAATTAGTTAAATATGTCGGCTATTATGTAACGCCTCGTATAAACCCATAAAATACTAATAACCTATTAGACTTTATTCGATATACATTGTGCTTCATTCCAGATCGCAACATAGGTTGTATAGGTGCGATAGAGACAACTTCCAAACACTTATAAAGGAAAAAGGAAGAGTGACATTTGTGTGATTGCAACTTTTCACTCTGACAACTGTCATTTTATTAATCTTTCTTCGTTCAACTCATAGAAACGACCAAAACAACAACTAAAACTAACTAGATACATCATCTGTCAACTCTGTCATACAAAAAATGGTCTTTTACAGATCGGTAAACAAATAAATGTATTAGTTGAAGTTGAATATCCAATATATCCGCATCTCCGAATTGAAACTCTAAATGGAAACGTAACCAAGACAATCCGGTATTTTTATTACGTTCCGTTTCATTTCGTTAAGTATTACTCTCGAAACTCCAGATATGAGTGAATATACGGGATGTCCCATTATACATCACCTGTCTCCAGAGACCTCTGCCAGAAAACTCCTGGGACAACCCGTTCGCGTTAGTTTGTAGTACGAAGTAGATATCGAGTGAAATCTCATTAAATTTCCGCATTTTGAACAATTTGGACGCCGCTCTAACTCATGCAAACGAATTTCCAACTTGACGGAATTTTCCTAAGTGCAAACGTCAAGCGAGTTTTCATCTACGCTTTTTCACTTTCGGTGCATTCAATTGAAGTTTTAATGCGATTAGTAGATACCTAGTTTATTAATGGAGGCTATTCCAGGGAGAAATTAGACTTAGTGAAGAACATTCTGATAGAAAAGTTATTTTTATTTCTAAAATTTCAATACTCTGTAGCTCGAAAACTAAGAGGTTTAGCACATGTATTGATATAAACTTTTCTTCTTAAAATCATCCAGATATTCACGTCCTGAAGTATCGGCACACAATTAATTAACACTGGAACAAAAAAGCACTGGAAGTATCCAATTACAATCGATCCTGCAACACTGCGGGATACTTTTAAGGATAATCTGATTTTTTTATCTTTCCCTTTATCAATTTCCATCTTCCTATTTTTATAGGCGGCGCTTTTATTTCTCCTGTAATCTTATCTTCGTTATTAGTATTTGCTTTTCATTAAAATTTTTCCGACGCTTGGGTACCGGGAATGGCGATTTGGTAACCGAAACAGGAAAAAAATTCCGGGTAGTATCGGCGATTGAATATCCGCAAATCCAGCGCCTTTTTTTTTTCGCCGCCGGAGGATTGTAGTTAGATTAATTGAATTTCAAATTTCGAGAACATTCGTAAGGATATATTGAGAAAAGGGAAAGCGATTAGGGCTTATTTACACTGCTTGGGCGAGCGGATTGATTGATATCTCGCTGTGTCGGAGCCTTTCGCTATACCCGGCGCCTCAAAATTGATTTTAAAAGGAATATTAAATATAATTTTTCATTGAAAGTTCCTTTCCGACTTTTCCACAAAGTTAACGAGGAAAAAGAATTTTTGTTTAATACCGCCGCTGCGGAGGAATTTAAAACAACCCCTATAATACTACTCCTACAATATTCGCGCCAGAACTTCATAATGCTCCTGCATTTTAATATTTTAAAAGTCGATTCAAACGGACGAATTCAATATCTGGCATTTTTATATTATATCTCCAATTTTAGTGAGCTTCAAAAATAAAATAGTAGGTAGTATTCTACAAAGGTTATTATTAAAAAAAAATGTCAAACGAATATCTCACAACATCAATCCAAATATACACACAAAATACATTAACAAAGAAACATTAATACTAATCATGTAGTAGATAAAAGACGCTGTAATTAGGTTAGGTCATATATGACCTTTGGTTACCCCCAATTCTAAATTAAAGTTTGTTTACCAGCGAAACGCCTTGTATATATACAAATTGATTGATAAGTATCCAGCTGTGCGACAGGGTGCTTTGTAATATTCGTTAACGAATCCATTCCCGTCAATTATCCTTGATCCTTGACGAGGAACGACCGATTACCATCTGTTGAGAGTGGTACATCGACTGGTCTGGCCCGGATTTGAGGAGAATGGAGAGGATGAAGCGAAATTAGATTGTTTCTCGTTATGTTTTCCCGATTCATATAACCAGATCGTTCGCGAAATGGAAAATATATAAGATTTTTTTTCCTTGTTGTTGTTTTTTTTATCCCCTTATTATGAGGTTAAAGCCGGAAGTTTGAATTCGACGATAATGTCTCGGGCGGAGTTCTCGATAAAAGGAAACCCGGATTGGCAATTTTCCACTTTCTAGCACAACGATAATCATCTAATATTATCCCTGCGAGAATCCTTTGATGCAACTGGTTGATGTAATAGGTACTTGTTAGGCTCTATAAGATCATTTTAATCCGATAATGATAATGATATGGATTGAATAATTGATTCAAGTAGATGCATAATTACTGTCTTTAAAGGAAATTTTTTTGTAAAAAAATCCAGTAATGTCCTCCGAAAACTTTCGAGGACAAAAAAATCGATTTAACAACAAGGTAATTCGGAATTATGGGACAAAACTTCTATTACAGTGCAATAATAATTTGAGCACAAAAAGGAAAATGTCTCCCTTAAGGCCGAAAAATGTACTGAGACAATTAGATGAAAAATTGTTTTCTTTTTTCAACTTCTCCCTACCTTTTTTTGTATATAATGACCCTTATACATTAAGCGCTTTTTATCAGCGTATTTACAGATTTTTTTTGAACAAATGTTGCAAAAATTCACCTAATTAAGTGCTGTCAACGGTCGTTTCTGTGTCATATACTTTATTAAGAGGGGCGGAAGAGGAAGTTGTTTGCTAAAAGAGTTCATTTTGACGTTCCAAATAAATATGAAAAGCAAATGTCGCCCGTACTCAAAGGGAAGCGTTCCGAATACACGTGCTGATATGATTTATTCGTTTATTTACAATGCAAATTGATCAAAAATTATTATTATCGATGCAAAAAAAACTAACATAGATATTTGATATTTCCAAGGTTGATATACGCTAGGGGATTGCTCGATGTAGGTTTATTATGACGTCAGAATTATCGATGTTTTTAGATTATGGGTTTTTTGAATTTTGTTGTCTTATTAGCAACTCAATAACAGTTTTTTTTCGTGTTTTGTAGTCGTAACGATATTATAAATATCGGATGTATTCATTGCGCTTTGAAGTTGGAGATTTTCAATGGATGGCTGAAGTTTAAAATGAACTGCGGGTGATTGAAAAAGTTCAGGAAAACTCTACACTCTCGATGCTCGGTATTTTATTTTACTTATTTACGAGACTAGTTTTTGATTGCGACAACTTAAAGCGATAGTTTTATTTTACTACGAATCGCTCGTTTTTTTTTGCATCGAATTCTAATTACCTCGACCACTCCTTGCTTTTCATCGAATTACCATCGATTGGCGCTTTAATGGAAAAAGGGTTTTTCCGCTCGGCTGGATCAATTAAAACCGTTTCTAACAATTAGCCGGGCTATTTGGACTTTTATTTCGTTCGATTGACCCACTCGAAATTCCTACAGATCTCAGCTCGGTTTCAATTTGTAACCGAAACTACCCTAATGTATTCCACCGATAATGGGGATTTTCTTTCAACGTTGGTAACACTGAACTATTAGCTGTGTCGTGGAGACTTTTTATTGCGAAGAGACTAGTCACAGATTCGGATAAAATGAACTATTGTATTTAATTAAATTTAATGAAAGCTCGAATTAGATTTGGGGAAATTCCAATTCTATTTTAATACCCTTGTTTCCTTTTCATTCCAATCCAATTTGTAAGACGTGTTGAAATTTGAAAAACAAATCGAAATACTATACCCCTATCGCGATTAGAAGATTTAATATTAGAAAACTCTATTAAAGCAATCCAATAAATAATTAATTACAATATTAGTAATATTTTGCATACAAAATAAGGTTCTGGTATAAGTACTTCCTGATGGCGAACGGAGTATAAATTACAAATCAAATGGAGTATTACTATGTTGTGAGATATTTGATTTTCTATAATATCGCTTGCATTAAATTCGATTTAAATTATTCAGGCGAAGTAAAAATCTCGTTCTGATAAAATCTATCCGGATTTGATTTAGTAATTAAACACACTACCTATACGGCTCTCATCAAACAAACAGGCGGAGTGTAATTAAACCTATAACTATTTGATGTATCGGAATTACGCCTACAACATATTGGTATTACCTGTGTATAACGTTTGTACAAATTCATGAAAAGTTCGCCCGTTTAAATTTATCATCATTAATTAATTTCGTTTTGTACAGAAACGGTTATTGTAATAGCTTAATCTAAGTATGTGCTTAATTTGGTATTCCATTAGTTGGTTGTTTCAATATTTTGCTGAATTATTTTAACTGAAATAATATTCCATATATTGCACGCGTAATTGAATTTTAATTATACGGTAATTTGTAAGTATTCGCTTAGTCCGGTCGAATTATCGTTAATTATTTTAAAATCCTCAATACAATTTTTGTGTGTATAAAAACTCTTTGGTGTTTTCCGTAAGGAAAAATTGTAATTAAAAAACTATATCAAATTTCATTAGCTAGAGATTTTTGGTGAATTTGACCGGACTATAAAGCTTCCATCATTCCAGTGGTGTTGTTTTTATTAACAAGTTGGTGTTCAATTTGCACGTGGAATTTGCTTCTAATGAAAATTTGCCAGCTCGTTATTTTCGATTGACCGATCGAACTTACTTACAAAGCTGCCTAATTAGGTAAAGTTAATTAATGCTTTTTTGCTCACAAAAGAAGGCTTCTGTCTAACTAATCGTTTGATTCTTTTGGAAATAAAAGCTTCGGTAACAAAAAGCAACAATGGAAAAATTGCAAAGTCGCGATTTTATGAAATAAAAAGGATATGTATAAAGAAATATGTATAATGAAAAATTGTTGGTTTCATATTGTGTACCTACTTAATGCGGTGGAAATATGGAAATTCCTATTTGAACATTCAGTGTAAACATTGCCCGTTTTTTTATGTTTCTGTTTACAACAAATTGTAATTAATACAAATTTGTATTTGCGGAATTGTAAATTTATTGCATACGTTTTTCGCTATAATCATCCGTGCGTTTATAAATTCAGAGTAAATGTCCCAATATTTGCATTAACAATGAAAAAAACATTTTTGTTTGTCGATCCGAAAGTCCAGTGTAAACGGTTTTAATTCCACGAGTTTTAAATAAATAATTCGTTTTGAAAATACTGTATAGATTTTCTCAGTGCGTCCAACTCTTAATTAAAACCAACTTTTAGCTAGAAATTTAAATACAAAAATATTATTTTTGCGGATTTGAAACCCCATTGCAAACGTTTTCCGTTAAGGTAGATTGGGGCAAATGTAAAAATGGGGTAAATGTAATATTTTTACCTATTATGTTAATGTATTTATTATTTTTAGAGTTCTTTTGTGCATTAGACAGGGTTTGTTTCTTATTTTTTCTTTATTATTTTGTAGCTCTGTTATTTTTTGAAATAAATAAATAAACAGCATATCAAATTTTAGAGGAACCAAATATTTTTTTACAATTGCCCCATATGTTTTTCTATATAATTGTATTGCACTTTAGAACCGTTTGGTTCGGGGTAAATGTAACATATTGTCAACATTTAAAAAAATATGTAAAATCGTTTTCTTCCTTTTTCAAAAAAAAAACTTTTTAAAACCTCGATTCTTTAGTTTAGGAAGTTGTGAATTTAATGTGGTATCAGCATTTCTAATAAGAGAAAAAATAAAGCCACATTTTAGGATTTAACTTGAACTATTCAAATTTTACAACCGATTTGCCCCAGTCTACCTTATAATATTCGCGCAAACATTCGCCACCATTAAAAACTTTTACCGCGATTTAAGAACACAAAGCAAACATTTTCGTCGGAGTGATTAAAAACAAACAACTCGACACAAAACTTTTTACATCTCCCCATTAAATTTAATTACCAAAACTACACCAAACCAAACCAAAGCGGCTATTCCAGCGTACCCGATCCTCCAAAAACAGCAAAATCCAACGAAAACTCGCTTCGAAACTACACGCGACAGTCCGCAAAGCCGCGTTTTCCGCACGATTTTCCGCCGCGAAAAGCCATAGCGAAAGCGCCGAACGTCGACTGCACGCAGCAGGCCTCGCAGGACATGTCACTACCGGTTTCGAACATGGCGAAAAGCGCGCCGACGTTTCCATTCGAAAACACGTCCGATCATGTCGCTTTGTTTCGTCGCCATTTACTTTAAATATCCCTTCTGTGAAACGCTACGACCGGTTATTACCAGTCGCTTTTTGCGCCCACTACACAACAATAACACCGTTTGATGTACGAAACATGTTCATCAACGGGAAAACACCCGAAACTAAAGCAAATTACCCCAAATTGCGACCTATTCTCATCGCATTGTATATCGTCGGTTTATTAATGTGTATTGAAATTGAATGATTTAATAAGCCCCCGGGTAGACCGCTTCCCAATTAAATTACCACACAGGTATACTTGATTCAATTTTATAGAGTACACGACGTGAAATAACAACTCCAACTCGCTACAAAAAATATCGCTCTTTTTATTCGAATTACACAAAAAATATCCGGACGTTCCTCCGTCATTTTTTCATTCGGATCGTTCAAAAGAGAGATCGGGGATTTGGGAGGTATTCCCATCATTCCATGACGTTGGGCACGCCGCCCGTCACCGAGTACTCGATGCCGCACTGATTGACGCCCCGTTGGATCTTCGAGACGCCCTCGACGCCGAACTCCGAGCCCCAGGAGTTCATCAGCAGCCAGTAGGGCACGCCGTTCTCGACGCCCCAGCCGATTATCTTCACGGCGTGCCGGCCCACCAGCTCCCACGAAGTGTGCTCGTAGATCCCTTCGAATCCCAAAATTACACTATAATATCCACTATACCAATCCGCGATTCGTTTGGTTATCTTGCAAGAGGTTGCAAAAAAACCATTGACCAAAAACACCTACACTATACTTCATCCATTGAACCAACGGAGTAACCAAAACAAGTTTAGACGCTGGATCATCATGCACGTTTGCATCTATTGCAGCGTCTAAACTTGTTTGGTTACTCCATTGCTTGGATGGATGAAGTACAGATTCTCCTCTATGCAGGGTGGACCACTTGGTGAAATATTTACCTTCTTTGTAAGCGAAGTAGTCCTTGTACAAGTCGATGGCGGCCACGACGGGCCCGTTGGTCAGTATCTCGGTTTGTATTTGGGCGACGTCCGGATGGACGTGATAGGCCGCCAGGCCGTGTCTGCGGTCGCTCTCCAAGGATTTATTGTAGCCGAGCGTACAGTGAGGCGAGCAAACTGGATTTACACCATTCGACGCCGTAAACGGTTTGCAACCCTGAAACGTACAGGCAAAAAACCCGCTTGAAAGGACCCCTCGCTCTGACGCAAAGCTCTGGTGGTGTGTCTACCAGAGCTTTCGTCGTATCGCGACGGGAATATCGGTGGTGAGATGGCGATTAGAGCAAACGCGTCCGTAGGAACACTAGTCGATAAATAAAAGAATGTTAGAAGAGATGGAGCATACAAAAAACTAAATGAAATGAGTAGGTACTTAAGGGAAATTAACGAACAAGAACCAGTTAACATGTGTAGATACATAGACAAAAAATAGCTAAATTGGTATGATTACCTAATAAAAATGAAGGAAGATGGTTCTAGGTAAACAAAGAATATCTAAGATATCTAAGAAAGAAGTGGTTAGTTAGCACTTAACACCAAGCGAAATGAAGTAGTTGGGCATTAATATAGTAAGAAATAGAAGAAAGGGGTGCAGCAAACTCTGATAAAACTGTTGATAGAGAATAAGGAGAAGATTCATCGAGTAGGTTTTGAAGAAATTTTAATAGATCAAGCACCGTGGAATTGATCGATTTCATTTTAGGGATGTGGTGCACTTAGATCGGTAATTTCTGGTGCAATATTATTTTAATCTAGGTAGTGTTTAAATCGAGCCCGCCGTGAGGTGGACCGAAACATTAGCGCTTACCTGATGCAAATAATTATACTTATAGTTGCCTTTTTCAATGATTTCTTTTGTCGTTTTGCTAACGTTTATAGTGCACGGTACTTCTTTGGTAACAATGATATCGATTAAGTCTCCTTTCGTTAGTTTGCTTAGCTCGTTTGCTGTTGAATTGTATAGTAGCTGAAATTAATAACAAATCCAAAATCGAAAATAACGTCCACGTATTTTTCTTATTAATTTCAGCACTAGCAAATCGACTGTACGATCGATTTCGTTAAACTTCGGATCAGACGATTGATCTTAATTAAACGTTGAGCTCGAGAAAACCGAAGAAATCTGAACCAAACTAAAGCAGAAGGCTGGAAATAAACTAAAATCATCGTAAATTTGGAAAAAAAAGATGCAGAAGAGCCTAGAAGTGCTTTCACTGGAGCGAAATCATGATAGAAATGTAGAACATAATACCAAATTTTAAGCATTTGTTTGGACCATTACATCAAATCTTCCTCCGGCAGATTTGGACGCCATCTCCAGGAGATGACGAGCAAAACGCTCCGAAGCTCAATCGACGATCGAAAGTCTCCCCGCACCGAAATCGACCGCGATTCCAAACAACAGCAAACTAAATGGATGCACAGGGACGGGCTCACCTCACTCCTGTATTGGTCGCCGCCGGACGGGATTCCGTAGATCCTCCAATATTCGAAGGGCGTGTAAAGGTAGCCGCTGGTGCAGCCGTTGCCGCACGACTCGCAGCACGCTATCAACTCCTCCACGGAGAACGTGAACTCGATCATTCCCTGGCTGGCCACGCATATCCTGTCGGACATCACCTCGGCGGCCGCGAAATCCTGCGAAACGGACCTGTATATGTACAGTCGAGTCTCCGCCGGGAGCTGAAGGATTGGCAAGCTTTCGGAAGGACCTTTGGGAACGTTGGTTCGAAGGATATCTAGGTATTCGATAGAAGTGAATAGACTTGCAACCACTAGGTCGATTCATTCATGGAAGGAATGAGTTTATTCGAGTTGCTAGATGATCTTTTGCATGGTCTATAATAAGTCTTCTAACATGACCAATATTTCCTTCGATATACCTGTACCTTTTGCATTTACTTTACCACCTTATGGAAGTAAATCCTCCTGTTTGAAACCTTCCCAATATACTCTCCTACAATTAATATCCTCTTGTAGGTTATGTAGATTCATCTAGATGACCTTCTGCGTAGTCTATCCTACCTTTTGCTGTTAAAATTACTGCTTTAAGCATTCAAAATCTTCTAACACGACCAACATTTCCTTCGATATACCTTTTGCATTTACTACACCACCTTATGGAGGTAAATCCTCCTGTTTGAAACCTTCCCAATATACTCTCCTACAATCAATATCCTCTTGAAGGTTATGTAGATTCATCTAGATGACCTTCTGCATAGTCTATCCTACCTTTTGCTGTTAAAATTACTGCTTCAAGCATTCAAAATCTTCTAACACGACCAACATTTCCTTCGATATACATTTTGCATTTACTACACCACCTTATGGAGGCACCTAAATCAACTCTTCTACAACCAATATCCTCTTCCAACAACCTTGTTGGACCATACAGACCCTTTTGGAGGTATTATACACCTCTTCTGCGATCTTTTGCATGTTCCTCCTGGAGATGTTTGTGGTAAGAAGACTTACCCAACTGGCTCCGCAGTACCTCTGGTCCCTGACCACGCCGATGGAGCCGCACTGGGGCCAATGCTGTCTGGCATCGAAGCTGGGCGGTATCTTCGTTCTGTTGATGTTATCGTACCGCTTGGTGTACGGCTTGAACTTGGGATCGGGATGGTAGGCCTTGAGGCCGCCGAGGACGAGCAGCTGCTCGTCGGTGAACTTGTCGAAGGCGTTCCTCGACGCCTTCCATCGGCCCTTCGATTGCTCGTTGATGGTCTGCACGTAGTTGTCCGTCAGCCAGTTGACGTCCACTCGGATGAATCCCCAGGTGTATTTGGTCACGCTAAATCCTAATAGAAGTGTTAGATAGTGCATTGGAGTTGTCTGGAATAAATCGGAAAAAAAGGGTTAACGAAAAGTTAATCGAGTTGTATGAAGTAGCGATATTATTGTTGTGTTAAAGGTGAGTGTTTTTACCTTCATTGCTGGTTTGTTTGGTTGGGAGATGCACTTAATGGAGCGGCATTGAAATTCTGATTCGAACTAATTCGATGGAACGGACGAATTGGATTTTTATAATGGCTTAAATGTAGAGAAAAATAAGGTGAATAAGAGTGTTATTGGAATTTCGCGTGACACGGGCGGATTCCAGCGAAAAAAACGATGAAAATATGAAAATATTAGTCGATTTTTAATCGATTTTTTGGCTGTCGTTTGTATGGTTTATCGAAGAATCGAAATTACCTCTTCAGTACTAACTATGCAATAATAATATTCTACATTAATATTTTTTTGATGTTAAAATTTTCTGTTCCGATTGATTCAGTTATATTAAAGTGCTTTATTAAATTCGTGACTCTTGAATATTAACCCTCTTCATTCCACGCCGTCTCCATGGCAACACCGCCATTTTCCATTTTGTAAAGGGTTATTTACCAATCATTATAAATTATTTAATATATATTTTTTTAATTAGCAATAAATAGTAGAATGGGAAACATATAAAAAAATGGCTTACTTTTGAGAAAAACTAATGGCATTCGAACAAAACACGATGAACGCAAAATAAATTTTCCGACTAAATATTTGGCTAATTTCGAATACGAACGGAGGCTGTCACGACGCGATTGCATTTTTTTTTCTCTTGCGAATATTTCCAATTATCTCTCGAAATGCCAGCAAATATAATTATTTACCGTTCCACCAACGATTATTAATAAAATGTTATTCATTTCTCGCATTATCGAAAAAATGCAGTTGATTCACGCGCATGCATTTTATTTGAATTATGCCAGTTTAATGGTTTGAAAAGTTGTACAAATTTATCAAACGAACGGTTACAAAGTATCGCAATTAATTCCCATCTCTACACCCGTATCACCAATTGACAGTTGACACTTTTTGGAAGTGTCTACTCGACCTAATTTATTTTCGGATTGAAATTTTCGTGAGTAATTAATTTAGAATTAATATTAATATTGAAATTAAAATTTTTAACTCGATATTGGAATGTGAAGAATTTATCCAATAAACGACGTGGAATTATAGGGAAAAAGTGATACTTGTATGTTGAGGATTATATTTGAAAATTTAATTGTGTGCTTAACAATAATACGAAATATTTCAACTTGTATGTAGATAAAATGAAATGGATTTGAATTTAAAAAAAACGCTCTCGGTTGGATTTAATTTGAATAATATAAAATCATACAACCCCTTATTGGAGGTTTTTTTTAATGGCTTTTAATTGGCAGCAAATTTCTATGATTTTATTCTGATCGAATAAAATATGCATGGAAATTTTGTCGAAACAAAAATTATATTTACATACATTCAAAAATTTAATAGAATTGATCTGACGTTTCCGTTCATACGTTTAATCGAAAACGTGATTTTCTTATCACTTTTGTAATCTTTCAGGAAATTTTACATATCTACAGGGATGTACAACATACGAGGGTCAAACAGTATATTATAGAAACAAAAATTGTTTCTAAACTCAAATTAGACATTGTACGGGGGTTGGTAGATTAGCCTGAAAGTGATTCTACGAGGGTCGACCAATATATTATAGAAAAATAATACGAGGGTAAATCGATACATCCCGGAGCTTTTCCCATCAATTTCGAACCGCCCTGTAAAATGTTTACAATTAAAATTACCATTCCGGGCGCGGTGGCGCTACCGTACGAAATTTATTAGCGATTCACGAAACGATCCGAATTCTCCTTTATATGTCCAATTTCGCGGCTAAGTTTCTATTAAAAGTCTCGATTCGTTCTGAATTTCGCGATACGCCCAAACCGATTAGGCTCATACGAATTCGAAGAATGCCGTTCTCCTACTTTGAGGATTCCGATATATTTATTTATCGGCCGTTCGACGTTTTTAACTAGTGCAAATAATCGAATGGTTCCGGCGATTGAAAGAAAAAAATGTATATATATAGGCTCATCGAGGAAACCGTGACACATGACGGGAGGCTGGTAAACAAATTTCAGCGGTTTTTTTATGGCACTTTTTTATGGGGAATACGTGGAGGTGTTTAATTTAATCTCCATAAATTAATGGCACAGTAAAATAACCGATTATGCAAATAATCGCATCGGATTATCGGGAGCAACGTAATCACCCGGTCAGTAAAACTCGAACAATATAGGGAATTTTATTATGCACTCGATAATGCACGATTAGTGCAACTTTCTAATGCATTTAGTTGAATAATAAATTGTTTCGTACTTATTAGAAGATAGTACTAAATTTATGCATTATAAAGGGTGTTTCTGAACTAATTGGTTAAACTTTGGGAGCCAGTAGAGAACCTCAAAGTATGATAAATGTCATTTTATCGGAATGTCAATGTCAATGAATTCATTCCTAGATTTTTAAAGATGACAGAAGTTTAATAATTTTGTGTAACAGAATTTTAAAAGTCCTTTTTCGTGAAAACGGTTCACTTTACAGAAAATCAACAAGTATACCATTTTTATGCAGAAAACTTCATTTTTTCGTATTCTTTAAACAAATCAATAGAAAAAGTTGAAATAAAAAAGATAGGTTAGAATAACCCCACGAACCCCCCATTTTAACCCACCCCTGGACAACTTTTTTAACCCGGTTGAATAGTACCCTAAGACAATTCATTTGCTTAGTATGTGTACCAAATTTCATCATTTTACCTTAGCTATTAATGAAATTATTAATAAAAACTCCCTCTTTAAGAACCCATCTTTAACACTTAATTCAGAAACACCCTGTATATTAGTCACGCGACCCTAATGAGATAATTTGATTGGTTCCGGTCGATTTGTCGATGCCTATTCAAACAAACCTAATAATTCCTCCCCTTCTAATTGTTCTTTAATCGACTTTGTTCTCCCAACTTTTATTTACTCTCTTCCTGATTGAATGCCTGCTCTCATTGGGAGGACCTCTAAGATTCAAGGGTAAACTGTTTGGGGAAGTACAAATGGGGTTACAATGAAGGTTAAATTAATTCGAAATTGTTGATTTTTTAATTGCGAAGTTGGTACAATGCTTGGTAGCATTGTTCGAATAACAAATTTGCTCGGTAGCTGTCGAATACATGCACAATGCAAAAAGGATTTATTTGCTTTAATTAATATTGAAACACAATCATTTGGAAATTCAATAACGCATTTAAATTAGTAATTAACCGGTTCTAAAATGTTTTTGCCGCTTGAATATCGACTAAATCTACGGGGTTCTTAAATTTAATTTAATTTATCCCACTATTTATTTTACAAATGCGATTTTTTAGTGACCATCCATTGAAGATAAATGGATTAAATTCAAAAATTCAAAAATTTAATAAATTGGACCACCCTGTACGCGCAAATCATCGAACGAAGCCAAACATAAAAGAGCACTATTTACATATAATTTAAAGGTTTGTTAGGCCGTGGATTTTTGGAAAACGTTCCGCGCATTGGCCGATGTAACGCGGAATCAAGGCCAAGGTTCTCGGACACACCCAAAGCAGATGCGAAAGAATTTTTATGGAATTACAGTTGCAAAACATCGACGGAAACGTTTTCTATTTTTACATCGATTAGATATGTTATGTAGTACCTATCTGTAGGATATAATGGGCACGTTAAGTACCACGGTGCTCGCTTACATTGTACCGAACGCGGAATTTCAATATTATTTCTATTTTATATCGGTTTCAGTAGTATACATAATTGCTTAGAAAGTGGGGAAACTGGAGAATAAATAAGCAGAAAACAACGTAGCTTGTGATTTCATTAGTAACTTTTATTTAACCTACGGACCGACAGGGATAACCGAAGACGCGATCTGCGCGACTTTCAAATCGCTTTGTACATCTTCAGATATTCCCATCGGTCTGTAGAAAAATCTACGGCACTAAACGTAGCATGCACCTGACGAAATTCAGAGCGGCGATTTCCGGGGTTTCCCCGTTCTTCTTTCCGCATTCGTCCACGATTTTACCGCGCAAAGCCACGTTGCTGGTGAGCCTCTCCACGTGCTCCACGAACTCCGGCTCCACCACGTCCCCGTCGGCGTCCATGTGGCCCATTTTGACGTTGAAACACAACGCCATCTTGCCGGCTTTAGTCGCGTCGCCGATGTCTTCGCCTTTTTCCAATTTCTCCAGCAGGTTTTTCGGACCGCCCAATTCCTCCTCGCATTTTTTCACCTGCTCGTTCAGCTTCTCGCGCTCCTCCTCGCCTTCGGCCTGCACCTAATAGGGAATGTAGCTAGCTTGATTGAAGACCAAGTGATCGATATGTAAGAAGATTTTAGTGGAAGTTGATGAGAAAATGTAAATGTAATTGTAGGTTGATCAAATGGCTGTGTAATATACGAAGTAAAAGACCATTAAAATGGTGGATTCGGTGCTTACCAGAGCCACTATTGTTAAACACAAGAAGATGATAAGTTTCATTGTTGAAGTTTTGTTTTTGTAGTGAAAATAGCAAATTTCACATTTATAGAAAAATATTATCTCTTTGATCAGTTCATTATTTTTAATTACGCTTTTTTTCTGTTTAATTGGTAGTAAACATATTTAGTAGGTATATTTTAATTAACTGGCAACGACAGAACAATTCCAGAATTTTTTGTATTTCGAAATTCGACTGTAGTCTTTATAGGGAGGTAGTTAAGTAGATGATGCCCCGTTTGTTAGACAAAGCGACGGGGAAACGGGCAAAAAATCATGAATTTTTCATGCGGCGACCCGGTTAAAACCAGTAGAAGAGGCGAGAATATTTTTCTGAATTTACTCGTCTATTAGAAAGCCAAGAATTTCAACACCTAATTGGCGAAACCGCGCCGGCACATTGGCGAATCTCGCACATAAAATTAACCCAAAAAAAAAAATCGTTCGAATCCGGCGCGCGAGCCGACGACACTTCGAGCGGAAATCGCGAACCCCCGGGAAATCCCCGCGAACGCGGCAACGCCGCCGTATTTTTTCCGTAATCGTCCATTTTCTACCAATTACGCTGTACCTTCGGCGAGTTAAAAACCGCCAGTGAGTCAAGGTCATCGGACATTCTTCGGACTCATCGGTGACCCACTCTCCGGCACCGCTTCCTGGGGGCCTTTCGACCGCACAAGACGCGCCTTCGGAGACCTGCAGACGCCGCGGCGCCTCCTCGTTTGCCCGCCAAATCCCGCCCATTCCCAGCGAAAATCCTGGTAAAGGAACTGAAGGTCTTACGGGAGGTCTACCAATTCGTCTAACTTACCTACTTATTCGACAAATCAATGAATCGATCTACTTGAAACTGAGACGTTACTAAGGTAGAGTTTGGGCGGTAGACCGGCAGGTATATAGATCTGCTATTTAAGATTTTTTTTCTGACTAAATCGACCTATTAATTCTTCTCTAAACTCGTAGATTAGTTAAAATAATAATTTTCCCGGTAGACTATTTAGGAATGGTTCATTAAAACTTGGAAGTTTTACTCATTAGATAATAAATCATTAATAGTGTTGTAGAAATCGTGGTAATTTTGGGTAATTTGCATTGATATCTGGTGTAGTTAATTTGATCTGATTACATGAAATTACATTAAGAAACCATAATAAATATAAAGATGCCACATAAAACCGCCTATTATGGAGACGGTAGACCGCATATTCCACCAGAATTAGGGCGGTAGACCAACATTGAATAATTTTTTAGAATCCCCAAAGAAGATTTTCCTCGAAAGTTTTTTTTTTTTTGAGAGAGCATTACGCTGAACGGTTCGTGAATAAGTTCCACGGCGATTTTTCCTCCATCTGGCGACTTTTTTTTCCGCTTTTCCTCGACCGGCGAGTTTTTAAATAGTTTAATAGGCTAATTTTTCTTTAGTGCACCGACGATGCGCAACATGTTATAACTGTTCGGTCTCGCGTGTCTGGGTCAAAAGGCGGTCGATGATGCTCCTCTCTTGCTTCTTCTGCTCGACTTATAGCCCGGTCAAATTTTTCCCAAAAAAAAAAACGATCGTAAAAATATCTAGGAGTTTCGAAATTCGGCGCATTTTTCGGTTTCTACTCGCCTTTAGAGTACTATTTTTATGGATTTAAAAGAGTTGTATTGTATTTAAAGAGTTGCATGGTATTTTTACATACCCCCTTAACAACACAAGCAAATTTTAAAATTTCGAAATGCAGCGAAAAATCGCCTTAACCCTCACCTTTTCACCCTCTCACACTCACCATTCGATAAAGATTGCTAATAGATCGAGTATTTCGAAACTGGTTCGCCAGCAATTTTTTTCCGCGGGCCAATTTGACCGGGCTATTCTTCCGATTCCTCTTGTTGTTGGTCAACCGAAGAGGAAGGGGCCAGAATTGGTCCTACGTGGGATTTTCATCAATTCACCTGTCTAGGTGACTGCCATTTCTGAATGTGACCAGTAAGATCGCGGATTGGATTGGATCGGATCGGATTGAATTGAATTGGATGTGCGCGCGTGATTAATTCCGCTTCATTTTTTCGTTCCGTGTTGGATTATTCGCCCGGTGTTCACTTTCGTTTCTTCGACCAGGTACGTTGATTAGTCACTTATTTTATGGGAAAATTGTTGGACACAACTGGTTGAAATTAATGCAAATATTTTCTTCGAATAAATTCATTGGTTTGCATATTTATGGAATTATGAAAGAAGGATTTGAGGATATTCGAATTATTTCTCGCCCTCCCCCCGTATACGAAATAATCGTAAATGGCGGTTAAATTGCGTTTTCTGTCGTTTCGAAAAGCGTTTTGTAGAAGAGTTTTCCTTCGAGGGATTTAGTATATTGGGAGCGGTGGAAACTGGAATGCTAATTAAAAGTTGAAGGAAACGCTTTTTTTTTCAAAATACTCGAATATTGCGATATAATGAAACTCCTAAAGTTCGTCGCAATGTGGAAGTCAACAGGGAGTTTATTTTACATTCACCGGAATGATAACGAGAATGGCTCTAAGGCCGGATATTATCGTGAATTTAGCCCCTTTGAATACGAAGGGTTACACAAACAATCTTTACTTGGATATTTAATTAGGCGCTTGATTTTACTCATTCAGTCAAAATAACTGAATTATAAACATCAGATTTCTGTGATTTTTTTTCCTTTCATTTTTTCTTCAATTACCTACTCAAGAAGAGTCACCAAAGGATAATTTATTCGTTAAACTTTATTCATTTAATCAAAAGCAATCGAGTTACTACCTTTTTTTAAAGTATTATCTAACAGATAAATTTATCTCCGCCTTGACAATCATTTGTTGACATTTTGCTAGCTTATTATTTGTTCTAAAGTTAATTTATAACACAAATAATTGCAATAATTGATGAATTTTTAATTACCTTACTAAACAATCGGATTTTAAGACGATTTTACAAGTAAATTCGACAATTATTCTCAAGATTTTCCAAAAATGCAACAATTGATACCCCCAAAAAAAACCACCAAGGTCCCATATCATTCAGAGGTCGGCTCGTCCCGTTTCCCGTATGACGTCACGCGAATGCCTCATCGATTTTCGCGCCCTCCAGTGTTCTTCCACAAAAAAGAAGAATTCCCGTTGGTAATCCTTACGAAATTACGGCCGGTTAGCGCGAGATTCATTCACTCGCATGCACGCGCAAAGCCGCGTCTCGATATCGAGGCTAAAAGCCAATTAACGTGTCATATAAAAGCGAGAAATTAACTCGACGGCTGTAACTTTCGAGGCCACCGATATATTATTCAAAGAGCGGCCGAGAAGAAGACCACGATGATGGAGGAAAACGCGCTCTTTGCAGACGACTCGGAGCCTTTGATTTATCCTGTACGCAGTTTAAAGTTTTACTGGCTGGATACGATGAAGCAAGAGGCCAAAAAAACGAACGACGAGTACTCTTTTATCCCGGCGGGCTTCCCTGAAACCATTGTACCGGATTAGAGGCTGTAAAATTCGAGGGTAGCCGGAGGGCTTAGCGCGTAAGAGGCCGGCGGAATAAAAAAAAATGGAGAACTCGCCGCGGGAACGGCCGGCGTCGTTCAAAAGGCGAGGTGTTATGTAAAAGTAACACACAGTCCGACGACGCGTGAGGTAATTCTCCGCTTCTTCCTCTTCTTCTTCTTCTTCTTCGTTTTGTTTTCTTTTTTAAACCGAGTCGCTCGTTACTCGGCCAGCGGGTCAATCGGTATAGGAGGTCAGGTGACGGCGGCGTTGCCGATTCGCCGGGACATTTTATTGGGCTCGTTTCGTGGATAAACCAAGTGGACTCGAACTAGTCGGGTATTCGGCCACTTTTTGAAAAACTTGTGTATATGCGATAATACAGAAAAAAAGAGTCTAGGAGGGTTCTTCTTGTTTGTTTTTTGAGCATTTTGGATAAACCAAGTGGACTCGAACTAGTCGGGTATTCGGCCACTTTTTGAAAAACTTGTGTATATGCGATAATACAAAAAAAAAGAGCCTAGAAGGGTTCTTCATGTTTGTTTGTTGAGCATTTTGGCCTTTAACGTTAGTAGTCAATTGGTAGATCTTATAGAATTTTGCTAATTTTCATTATTTGTATTCACTATTTAATTCTTTTTATCAAGTAGGTGTTGACTAATTGGATTATTTTTTTACCCTAAGGGCCTGGACTATAAATGGTGATAATATATAGTAAGGGGGAAAAGTTGCTTGGATTAGCTTTAGTCGGGTGGATAAAAGTAAATTAGGCGTTTGACGTTCGGCAGCGACTTGTGAAGTCGACTGAGCGTTCATAAATAAACATTTGTGATTTACTTGACCTACAAAATCGCAGGATTCGAGGTGAAAAAGAAACCAACTAAGTAATTATCGGTATTTGTAGGTCGAATAAATCACAAATAATCCGTCGCATCTTCTTTCGCGGGGTTCACGATCTCTTGTCGACGTGGACATCCGGCCAGTTCTTTCGGGCCCGCGCCTGCGGAGCCATTCAGCCACATACTTCCGATTGATCGGAGAGGATCGAAATTTTTTTGTATTTCGATTCGCTAAGAAAACTCCCAATTTGCTTAAGCAAACAATCGTAACGAGAACGGCGTATCGCGGATCTCTGGGTAACACAATGGACCGAATCGAGGACGCAAATTCACTATCGTCCGACGGACAACAAAAATAAAACGAGGCAAATAAAAGAGATAATGCGATGTAACAAGATGAAAAGTAATCGTCGGATTTCGAACGAAAACGAAACGGCCGTTCTACCCGTTTTATTTTCAACGTTCGCGCTGCCCGTTCGATCGGAACGGACGCGTTCGAGAGTCGAAAAGTTTTATACTCCGTTCGCTATCAAGCGCTAATAATACAACTCAATTTTATATGCAAAAAAACTGGCTTAAGATTCCAATTCTTTTTACAATTGAGTAACAGTTGTTTTAGTGAGGTTTTTATCGGCGCGCCTATGACTTGTTGGATAAAAAATAGTTTTTTTTCTATCTCCTGATAGCGAACGGGGCATAAGTGGCTCATTGCTCAAATACGAATTAATCGAATCGACTATTCC